GTAAAGAAATGACAGCCCTGTGGATGGATGACGTTGACCTCTAGTTGTCATCCCGACTACGTATGACAGAGTACACATACAGGCCAGTAGACGAATCATCCCTCATTTCGGCCACAAGCTGGAAAAAGCAAATCACTCGACTGATGCGAGACAACGGTCGGGTTTCTTTTCCATTTAGCTCGCATTCTTCCCACTTGATGTGTGGAGTAAGAGCGTACAAAATGCGGATGCAGAATGGGTCTCCCACCCACCGGTGTACGGAGTAAGGTAGAGGTACTCGAGGACCTCGGGGAGAAGGGGAAGAGCAGCTTGGAAGAGCTCTTCCTCATAGAGACCACAAACGGACACGAAGACGAGGGTCAAGGCATCAGTGTCGCCTTTGCTCGGATTCTGAACATCCATGGATTACCCGACGTGAAGGTGTAGAGACGATGGATGACCCTCTCGAGCTAGCTAGGGTGTTCCCCAGCCGATGACGACAGTCCCTCTATCGCGTCGGTTAGACTAGCTGTTGTGGCTCGGCTGCCTGTGGTGGTGTTACCTTTCTTTTCGTAAATCGATTTTTCCTAGCCCCAAGAACAAAAGAGCATGGGTCTTTTCCCGAGGGTTCGCTTCGTCGTGTCTAGTTGGCAACGGTTTTTTTTCTTCCTTTTTCTTCCTTTCACTTTTTGCCTTGGTGGCAACGTCAGGGGTTCAACCATCGCTGCCTGGCCTGGACGGGCCAGCAAAATAATCCCTGGCATCTAAGATGGGGTTATCGTCCGGCGGGCTGCTTGCAGTGCGAGGTCCGACGATGTCGAGATTACCGTAGAGACAGCCCATGATCTTCTCGGCCTGGGCCGATGCCGTTGTTTCCTCCTTTCGGCGTTTGTTTAATCACTTGCTGCTCCCCTGACCAACTAACTGACCACTAGGCACCATTTGATGTCTTAGGAGTTAAAGAGTCTAGGACAACTGTCTGGAGACTCGGGGAGGAGGAGGCAGAAGAAAAATGGAGCTTTCCCTGTGGGCGGTGGAGATTGGTCGATAGTAGTCTCTCAAGCTACCCCGTAGAAGCGTTAGCTGCTCAGATGGACTGTCTAAAGGATGCTTTGCGCAATCTTCTCGAAGCTCAATGACCTTCCATGCATATATTAAGCCAAGCGATTCCCTAACTCAAACGAGTAAAGTCGTCTGGTCGCTCTATGGGCCGTTGTTCGTATTAGCAGTCACAACTCTTCGGCGTGGCAAGGAAAATCTCGACAGTTGACCCTCTTTTGCTAACTTAGGGTGCGATGCTTCCAATGACTGGATACAGATTCCCTCCGACGGTAGACCGATAGCCACTAGCTTTGCTTCTTATTTACTTTTTTTTTTTTTTTTTTTTTTTTTTATTTTCGGCTCTCTTATCGTTCCTGGGATTGTTGAGTTTGCGCCGCTGGCAGTGGCTAATGCTAATTTACCGCACTCCCCCGGGGACTGTCCCGGCATCCGGAAGCTTCACCTACATCAAGTAAGGTGGTCGGTATCAGCAGACGGTTCTATCTTTAGATCCACCAATCAAATAGCCTGGGCGGCTGTAACCGACGGTAAAGTTATGCATTCAATGCGGTAATTTATCTCATCAAGTGCTCGGGAACTATCACTGCGACATAGATAGGACGGAGAGACCTCGGTACCTGCACCGTCGATTCTGAAACAGTGGCAATCACGGACGAGTCATGTATGTGTCTGAGCGGTTGAGGCAGCAAGGTGTGTAGTACCACGGCGATGATGGTGCTCATGGCCGAGCACTTGAACGGGTAAACGATGGTCCTGGGCGGGAAGGGGAATGTGGAGGCCCGTGTTCTGAGTTCTGAGTTCTGACAGCTCTGGCTGAGCCCCCTTGCGTTTCCTTGGCTGTGGCGTCCTTTACAGTGTGCACTCAGAGCAGAGACAAGATAATCACAAATTGGAATCCATTGGCCGTTGGGAATTCATTGTTCTCCAGTTGACCCATGACGTGGACTGTCCCGACTCCCGAGTCTCCTGTCGTATAACGGATCATTGATTCGTTGCAGCGTTTGTCGGACTATACCCGATTTCCGTAAATCAAAACAATAGACGCTACTAGGTAGATACCCATCATGTGCTGTTTGCCGGATCAATGCTACGAAGTACAGCGGAGTATGGATATACCACACCAGCAAACAACCTGCCAAGTTTTGCTCCCGATTGTTCGAGTTCAATGCCATTAACATACTGACTATTGAGATGAAAAGATTGGAGGCTTGCAGGTGGTAGCAATCGACAAATGACCGAAGTCCTTTATTGGCAACCGGCCCTATCCCAGACCCCAACCAAAAAGAAAGTGGCTTTTGGGTGCAACGGATCAAGAAAGAAAAGCGACCACGGGGGGAAATCAGATCAGATTGAAGCAAATCAGAATCGGAGGTTCTATTTTGACAGCTGCATTTCATATGTGCCTAAGCCCTGTGTAACCGTCTTTCGGACAACAAATAGGCGAGGCAAGCAAGGGTTGGCTGGCATTGCAAGAATTCCGGCTGAGCGTCGCTTTCTTCCCCTCTCCGGCCATGCAACCTACAGCCCCCTCCGCATCGGTTCCTGCAGTAGGCCGCCCAGACCTGATCGATCCCATCCGCCGTTGAACAGGTCACATCACAAAATGTGAGTTATTATTGCCAGACAGCTCTATTGTATGCTTGTGCGTGTCTTGGGATTATGTGTGGATGTGTGTGTGCGCGCACCGCGCCTGTAGACTCTCGAACCGACTCTTGTGCTACGTGGCCAAACTCTTTAGGCTCAATTTTTGGAACACCAAAATTGGATTTAGCCTATACTTGGGTGCCAGTACCTTGGGATTCTTTGGTGCTTTTGACTTGACATCACCCAATTCAACTAGTTTTCTCCAGGAAAATCTACCGACCACGCAGGAACTATGAATTTTTCCCACCTCAAGGAACCACAATCTAGGCCGTTAGGTTCAATACTGTCTGCACCATCTGCGCGGCGCAATGCACTTGGCATATGACATGCTATCGGAAGCCTGAGCCACCCTATGCCTGATTATCGAATTCACTTTTGCGATCATCGAGATGAACGGCCTCTAGTTGCCCAGACCGGTAGACAGCGCTCAACTCTGCCTTACGACATGAGTTACCTTAGATGCTACAGGGGTCCAATTGGGTCGCGCACCGGGAGTCCGGATGTCTCTTTACCACCCGTAAGGACGGGTAAGGTAATCCATTCATACATCCATGATAGTACTTAGTACCTTGCACCATGCCATAGGTGGTGGGCCCTGGTCCAAGACCGTTTCACCAGCGGTGATGAAGGCTGGAGATGATGCCACAGTACAGTAGTGTAGCTTCTCGAAATTGCTAGTCTCAATGCCGCTAGAATGGGCTGCTAAAGGTTTGCGGACGTTTTTTTCGTTCATGCCCGCTTATCGAAATGGGACCATACTACTCGAGTGGTCGCATTGAGTCTGGAATCATCTGCATGCCGTTAGGCTGGGCAGTTCGTATCATAATTCCCATCGTCGTCATTGCCATCCTTATCCTCCTCAACCTCCAAAACCCTCATGAATCATGACCATCAATCATCGTCCTTGCAAGGGAGGCTCAGACCGAAGGGAAAGTCCAGAGCGACCCAGCGTGAGTTTGGGGGTGTGGTAGAGTGACGGGGAGGGGCTGCGGACAACAGCTGCACTGACCACGACGCCCCCAAATCTGCAGTCACGGGGGAGAGAGCCTGGAGGTGTTTGGCGATGACCGGCTTGTTCTCATAAACATCCATCACATCAACCATCCAACCAACTTCAAAGCTCACCTGCTGATCTTACTGTAAGCGTGAGGCGTCCCAGAGTGAGGGAACATGGGACAACCTTTTTCTTCGTCTATTTTCTTTTTCTTCGTCAATTTTTTTCTTGACCTTTGTCTTTTTTCGGGGTACTTTAAATGAAATCCCCAAATGGCGGACGGGATGCGCAGTGGGGCCGACTAGCTTAGCCGGCGAGTCAATCCCTCCCTTTCACAGGTTGAGTCTATTGGCTTTGAATGCAGCTTCCGAGTGCGCTTGCCCTCAGACTTGCAGCCAATTTCCTTCGGTGGCCCGACTCATGTCACGATGGCACTTCAGTTCAAAGCTGGTCCTTCTCTTGTCTGTGTGTCTGTGTCTGTGTCTGTGTCTGTTCTGCTTGGTCCGGCAGTCTGGCAGTCTGGCAGTGGCTCATTCCACCAGCCAGCCTATTGGAAACTCACTTTTGGTTTTCTCTCCCCGCCCAAGAGACAACACCATTCAGGCTCTCCCTCTCCCTTAGGTACCATTCCTCCTTCCCCACTTGCAGTTTGCTCCAGAGAGGGTGGACTGGCCCGATTGGTTTTCGCGCACCCAGGCCGGTGGGACAAACAGGCCGCTGATAAGCCCAGATAGGCCACCCGATGTTGTTGATGCAGGTCTCATTGGTAACGGAACATCCGATCCATGTACTATGTATAACATATCACCCTCAGCTTCACGACGGACGCTGCCATTGATGGACGGTCGGTCTCAGCAGTAAGCGCGCAGGGTGATGTTGGTCTCAGCTGAGCGCGCCCCCCCCCCCCCCCCTCCCCTCGAGTAGAAACCATCATTCATGACTGGCAGAGAGGCGAAGACAGAGGGTAGTGTGTGTGTGTGCGCGTGCGTGGGAGGGTAGAGGATAAGGGGGGCCATTCAATGCTTTGGGTGCTATTTTGGGAGCAATAATGCCTGACTGAGACTCTCGGACGGACTGTGTGGCAACTTCTCAGCCATGGTGAAAGGGCTTTTCAGGTCGGAAACGTTACGGAATAGATTACGACTCGGAAATGAAGGATACAGGAGTTCGAGGGGAGTATTTGGTGGGAGGCTAAGTATCAGGAAGACGGGACTGGATGCTGGAAAGACAGTCACTCCAGGCTATGTAGAGCTCCCTCCTACTTGGGTAAGTCCCAAGTAGACCTGACGATGGAACCCGCTTTCTTCCTCCTCCCCGACAGTGGCAGTCTGTACTTCATATGGAGATGGTTTGGGGGTGTCTATCTAAAACGTGAATAATGAAATGGCCACAGGGTGACAAGACAGAGACGGCGAGGAAGTGGGAAAGCCACATCTCTCCATAGTTGGCTGTAGTCAGTACTACTACTACTACTACTACTACTACTACTATTATTACTACTACTACTACTACTTTTACTACTACTTCTACTACTACTACCTACTACTACCACCGAGTTACCGACTAGAAACCATCGCCTTCCAGCCCCCACAGCTGTCATTTCGCCCTACGGTTATGACACTCTAAAACCACTCTCCTATATCATCTATATTATCAACATGATGATAACTCATGAAATCACAGCCGTCCCCAGCAGTTTTCCACCAACAGCCTCCTCCCGCGTCAATTCTCTGCTGCGATTGGAACAACAGCATCTCCGCATTTACCAATCCGTGACCGTCGGACGTGTGGTCTGGTAAGAATGGATGGATGATGGACGGAGGGCCGAGTTTCCATGCACCATTGAAATGGGGCTTTGAGGGCCGCCAGTGTTCCCACTCGTGCTCATGTGCTCCACGCACTTACGCCTCTTTGGGTTCCCCGGCCGAGGTGGTGGGGACGATTGCTGGTTAGTCGGAGCTGGGTTTCGCCCTCGCCATCTGACTGTCTCTCGACTAAGCTCCGATCCAACAGTAACCAAAAAGGTTCCACTCAATCCTCTCCCAAAATGAGGAATAATGGCAGAGTATTTTAGGTACCTACTTAATAATAATAATAATGATAGATTTTTTTAATTGCTTGATGCTTACTACTGATATCGTGACAGACTGTACTCAGTCCCCGGCAGGCACTTCTCTCTTCCGGCATGAATTAAAGGCGACTCATGATGAAGAATAGCAGTACTAACTACTTAGTAGTCCGCAAGGTGGCCCACCTCCCGTTGGTTCAATTCTGGTCTCCGCTCATCCCAAAATTCTAACTGAATTGGAACTGAGATGTGCACCGGCGCCAATCTGCTTTCTTTGCCGCCCCAGACTAGAAAGTCTACTCAGCATTGATGGTGCATAAGATGGTAAGAAATAATGACAATCACCGGTTGGAGAAAATAGGATCCTCCCACTTACTCTTTCCCCCCCCCAATCCCCCCAAATCCTAATCCTCTCTTCTCCTTGGCCCTCTTCTCTCTCCGCTTTCCATTGTTCCGCGAAAATTATTCAAATTGTCAACTAGAAAGTTTAATATGGGAAGTTCATAAAATAGAGGGAAAGAAAAAAAAAAACACCACAAAACACAGATAGACAGAGACATGGTAGAAGAAGGGGAAAATAAAATCAGTGAACTGATTCACCTAACATATGACACAGTACCTGTCCCGGCAGATTTATTAGATGATTTATTAGTTCTTATATTACAATTACGACTATTATAGACTGATTGCTCTCCTACTGGCACCACACCCCAAAGTAAAGTTCCATGCAGCCCATCTCACCCCAAAAGGGCTCGCCAGACTAAAAAGTACGGCTCCAGTCCTACTGCTCACTACGTACGGCGCTACTACCTCGTAGCACAAGTAGATCAGTCGCTCTTTTATCCACTGTCCTTCCTTCTGGCCGTCTTTTCCTCTTTCCATATCGGCCCTGTCTCTCATTTTCCCCGCGACTGTCCTCGTCCTTCTAATTAGTCTTCTTTATTCAATTCTTTATTTTATTTCCCTTTTTTGCCCTTTTTAGACTCGTCTCGATCCTCATCTGGTCTTTCTCTCTCCTTCCTCTCTTTTTTATCTCTTTAGTCTTAATTCCCCTCCCTCTCGCTCTCTCCTTCATTTGCATCTTCAGTCTTTCGGTTTCCCTTATCGAGCGCGTTCTGAACCAAATTCATTCTCTGGTTTGGATCGTATCGAATAGAGGTGCCTGTCCTTCCTTCATAGATTTGCGATACAAAGCATCAGATATAATTCCACTACCACCACCACAACGAACCATCGTTCTTCGCATCATCAACTCCATACATACAGCGCAGTCTCCTTCACTCACTCCTTCAAGTGTAAGAGACTATCAACATTCTTTCAACCTTGTCGTCCTTGATCTAGACGGCTTCTCGTTGCTCAGTTATCACGTCTACTAGACTGGAAGCTCTAGCGCAGTCAAACTGTCCGGGCATACTGGCCCAATATTATACTTATCCTAATCACATCTAACCGAGTAGATCAAACTCTACTCGCTTGTGCAACCACAACAACTCCACAATCTGTGAGTTTCCTCGTCAACGTGTGCGCCAGGAATCAAGAGGCTGACTCGAAGACTACGATTAGCTCCAGTCACAATGGACGCAACATACACAATGGCACCGACATCGGTGCAAGGGCAACCGTCATTTGCATACTACCCAGCTACCGACTCGCAGCCCAGACAGCATTTCACCAGCCACCCTTCAGACATGCAACAGTTCTATGGTCAAATGCCGCCATTCTCCCACGCTCAACAACAACAACCCCAGCACTGTGTGCCGGAGCAGCCTCTCTATACCGCTCAGTCCGTTATGAACATGCATCAGATGGCTACCACGAATGCCTTCCGGGGTGCCATGAACATGACGCCCATCGCTTCTCCTCAGCCATCCCACCTCAAGCCCACCATCGTCGTGCAGCAGGGCTCGCCAGGTCTGATGCCTCTGGATACGAGGTTTGTAGGGAACGACTATTACGCCTTTCCCTCCACCCCGCCGCTCTCTACCGCGGGAAGCTCCATCAGCAGCCCGCCATCCAGCATTGGATCCCTTCACACGCCAATTCACGAGAGTTTCTTTTCATTTGAGAAGGTCGAAGGTGTGAAGGAAGGCTGTGAGAGCGATGTTCACGCTGAGATTCTGGCCAATGCCGACTGGACTCGCTCGGATTCGCCCCCCATGACACCTGGTAGGTTCTGGTCCTGCATCCACTTCGAAGACTTGAAATACGCCTGCACCACGTGCTGCTATAGTGTGAAAAGGCGTTAGCTGGTCAGTTGTCTAGGGTTATTCGGCGGGCTAACTCAACTTGTTCTAGTGTTCATCCACCCCCCTGCATACACCGCCTGCCAGACGTCGGAGCTTCTGTCTGCCACTAGCTCTTGCCCATCCCTGTCCCCGTCGCCATCTCCTGTTTCCTCCACCCTGATTGCCCAGTCCCAGTCCGCTCTTCCTCTCGAACAGTCCAACTCTGACTTCTGCGATCCTCGCCAACTCACTGTCGAATCCTCAATCAACGTTGCTGAGTTGCCTCCTTTGCCCACCCTTGCATGCGATGAGGAAGAGTCCAAGGTCGTCCTAGGTGGTGAAGCCGTAGCCCTCCCTGTTCACGAGAACCTGTCCCCTGTGTTCTCCTGCTCGTCTGAGGATCCGCTGAGCAGCCTTCCTACCTTTGACAGCTTTTCTGATCTGGACTCGGAAGACGAATTCGTTAACCGCCTGGTCGACTTCCACCCTAGCGGCAACGCCTTCTACCTGGGAGAGAAGCGGCAGCGCGTTGAGTCATATTCACTCGACGAGGAAGAGTTTTTCAGTGAGCAGAGCTTCGACGAGTCCGACGACCAGGACCTGTCCCAGACTAGTCTTCCCTTCCTGGGTGGCTCCGATTTCTCTCTCCCGGCCACTGTTAGTGACGCTGCTGAGGAGATGCGGACGAAGAAGCGCAACAGCTCCCGCAAGTCGCCCAAGAGAGCTGGCTCTGAGAGTGATGCGGATTCTCTTGGCAAGAAGGCACAGGCTTCCGCTTGTGAGTCGGATTCGACGGCCGCCCAGGCACTTACTCAGACTCGTCACAACTCGGATGCCAGCATGTCTAGCTGCTCCGATGCACCGGCTGCTCCAGTCTCCGTAAACCGCCGGGGTCGCAAACAGTCGTTGACGGACGATCCTTCCAAGACCTTCGTGTGCACTCTCTGCTCTCGTCGTTTCCGTCGCCAGGAACACTTGAAGCGTCACTACCGCTCTCTGCACACTCAGGACAAGCCGTTCGAGTGCAATGAGTGTGGCAAGAAGTTCTCACGCAGTGACAATCTGGCTCAGCATGCTCGCACTCATGCTGGCGGATCCGTCGTGATGGGTGTCATTGACACCAGCAGCACATCCTCGCAGACGCCATTCGAGGAACGCAGTCCCAACACAATGGGTGCGGTCCTCTATGATGCTGCCAACGCTGCTGCTACCAAGTCGATAACTAGCGACTCGTCCGATGAGAGCATCATCGAGACGCCGTCTGCTGACCGCCGAGCCCCCAAGAAGCGCAAGCGTGAGGCGGATGCTTGAACAGTTGATCGACCTGGCTTCGAAGCCATCACGATGATATGTGACCAGGAGCCCCCCTATATCACTTAATCATATACTATAAATGACCCTCCACTCCAATGGTCGGTCGAACTGGGTCTCTTTGCGGATTGGCGTCCGGGTTTTGATTCTGGCAGTGACCAGGAAGGTACAGGTGCATGGGTTGTTATTTTATTTTGGAAAGGGCTTTGAAGTCGATTGACACAAGACGCGACTTCACTGAACCCATTTTGGCGAAGCATTAGACCGGCGGCAACGGAACTTGGGCGCACATTGGGAGTCCATGGTTGGACCAAAAACTAATAGAGCGCGTGCATGATGACTCTACACTGAGGCACTGGTGATTTGGGTTGATTTCCTTTTTTTTTTTTTCTTTTTCATCTCCCCCTCCTATTTTTACTCTCTCTGTCTAACATCCTCATCTCCACTGCGAAAGACTAGCTCGGATTCTCTCCTCTTTGGTCCAGTCGTCTGTTTTCGTGTACCCTATTCCCCTCTCCCATATCTTCTCCTTTACTGTTTCTTTTCTTCTACATACTTCTCGTTAACCTTCTGTTCTGTGTCCCCTATTTCCACCTACCTTGATTTGTTCTGCTCCTGTGCAGTACTGTGCTGGTCACATGTATACTTTAATCTTGTTCCCCGAACGTTGCCTCATACCCCTGTGCGCATACCCCTTTCTTTTCCTTCTCTGTCTGTCACTTGTCGCATCCAGAGTGTGTGCATAATATCCCCATATCTGCTATTTATGTGTTGAGCGTGTCATTCGTTCTACAGCATAGCTTGTGATAATTGAGAATTGTGAATCATTGAGTTCCGACGTAGTTTTCTGCTGTGGGGTAATCGTAAAATCTCTTGGTTCATTTCGCTAACTCGGGGTGTCTGCACCGGCTTATCCCTTATCTTTAGCAGGACTACTCCGCCTCGGCAGATCTCGACGTCACCCACTCTTCGTCGACTGATTCTTTGCCTGACAACGCGATCTATGGAACTTGAGCGGTCCGCATGTAGATTGAACGACCGAGCATGACTAACTTATAGCTTGTCAAATACATGCTTGAACCAATCACTCTGCCGCGCGCCCACACTCTCCCCTGAACCCCAGCGGATATTGTCGTAGTCTGCGGGGAGTCAAAAAATCCACCACCGAAAAAAAGACCTTCAACCCCTCATCAACCACGAAACCCCCCCATTTCGACAGACACCCACCACAGCGACAACCATGCCTCCTCAACCGCACCTCCAGCCACCACCCGCCCCCGCGCCAGGCTCCGGCCTGAACGTGATCGCCCTGATCTCCGGCGGCAAAGACTCGCTATACTCGCTCCTGCACTGCATCCGCAACGGCCACAAAGTGGTCGCACTGGCCAACCTTCACCCGGTAGCAGCCAGCAACAAGCAACCAAACCCCACCGCCGAGCCAGCAGTACCATCATCATCATGCCTCCAGCAATCCGTCCCCGAAGAAGAGGAACAAGACCTCGACAGCTTCATGTACCAAACCATTGGCCACAGCATCATCCCACTCTACGAAACCGCCCTGGGCATTCCCCTGTACCGCCAACCCATCCACGGCAACGCCGTCGACACCTCGCGCATCTACCGACTGCAAGCAGAGGACCAGATGGCGGATCATCCACGCCGCCGCAGCAGGAACAGTGCCCACCCCGACGGTGCCAACCACGACATAAACGACAACGCCGACGACGACGCTACACCACCCGACGAAACCGAGTCCCTCATCCCGCTCCTGAAGCGCATCATGCGCGCCCACCCAGAAGCCAACGCTGTGTCCGCCGGCGCCATCCTCTCCACCTACCAGCGCACTCGCATCGAGAACGTCGCCGCCCGTCTCGGCCTCATCCCCCTCGCCTGGCTGTGGCAGTATCCTGTGCTACCGGACCCCAGGCCCACCGATGCCGGGCTACTTGAGGACATGGCTGCCGCCGGGTGTGAGGCTAGAATTATTAAGGTTGCGTCCGGGGGTCTGGATGAGGGGTTCCTGTGGGGGGATGTGGCTGCTTCTGATGGGAGGGTTAGGGGTCGGATTGTGCGCGGCATGAAGAGGTTTGGGGCCCACCGCGAGGAGATTCGCGGGGCTGTTCTGGGGGAAGGTGGCGAGTATGAGAGTCTGGCGTTGGATGGGCCTGCTTGGTTGTGGAAGTTTAGGATTCAGGTTGTCGGTTGGGAGGCGTGTGTAGGGGATGGTGGCGTGGGGTTTGTGAGGTTGAAGGGGGCGAGGTGTGTGAGCAAGGATGTCGTGGAGGGCGATCTGGGTACTGATCCCGAGAGTGTGCGGAGGCCTGACTTGTTGGATGAGGGATTTGAGGTGGTTTTGAAGTCTGTGCTTGGTGATGAGGGTGGATTGGGCGCTACGGGGGATGAGGTGCTGAGGTTGGAGGATGAGGGCGCGAGCGCCTGGGCTGGTGGGCTTGAGGCTGTTCAGACTACGGATGGTAGCACCTGGGTCATTGCTAATGTCACGGCGCCTGAGGCTGGTCCTGGCGCTGGCGAACAGATGAAGGCCATTGCCGAGAAGATCCAGACGATTCTGCGCTCGTCGGGCCGCGAGGATTCTCGAACGACGGCTGATATTGTCTTCACTACGGTGCTGCTTCGCTCGATGTCCGACTTCCCCCTGATGAACTCTATCTACGTGTCGATGTTCAAGAAGCCGAACCCCCCGGCGAGAGCTACGGTGGCCTGTGGTGAAAGCCTGCCAAAAGGCGTGAATATCATGGTGTCGGCGGTGGTGGATCTGGGTCCCAGAGACCAGCGGCAGGGTCTGCATGTCCAGTCTCGTTCTTACTGGGCTCCCGCCAACATCGGGCCGTATTCGCAGGCCATGTCGGTCCCTCTCCAGGGTCCCGAGCACTTGGTATACATCGCTGGCCAGATCCCCTTGGAGCCCGCCTCGATGGAGATCTATGGCCTCGAGCAGACGTGGTTCAAGGGTTTTCCTTCGCGAGCTGTGTTGTCACTCCAACATCTATGGAGAATCGGTGTGGCTATGCAGGTGGATTGGTGGTTGGGTGCGGTTGCTTTTCTGACCGGAGCGGATCACATTGCACAGAGAGCCAAGATAGCTTGGGACCTGTGGGAGACGATGCATCGCAATCAGCAAGAGGAAGAGGACGCCGACGATGAGTCGGCGTTAGATGCGTGGGACCTCAAGTACGGTGGACGAGCCCACGAGCAGGTCAAGGGTGCCGCTAAACCTGAGATACCTCGGTTCGAGGTGGTCGAGTCGGACGGAGCTACGGTTCCTGCCTTCTTCGCTGTGCAGGTGGAGGAATTGCCCCGAGGGAGTGATATTGAATGGCAAGGTCTTGGTTTCCGATGCGACAAAGTCGCATTAACCACCGAGGAGACAGACCATGGACGCCAGACCGTGGTGACCACTGGTCAAAATCTTGGCTACATCGGCATAGAGGTGGATGCGAAATGGGCGGGGCCTGGCTTGGAGTCGTGTCTCCGGCCGATACTGCAGGAATTCACGCAAGGATCCAAGAGCCCTCATGTAGTCATCTATACGACACAGTCATTGTCCCATGATCCATTCTGGGGTCAGATCGTTCCCTGCAAATCGGTTTGGGGTTCGAAGGGCCGGCAGTTGGCCGCGGGGGTAATTGTCCAGAGGCAGCTGTCTGCATAGTAGCCAAGACTCGAGAGGATAAGGACCTGCATTGCTTCACGTGTGGAGGAGAGGTTTGCATGGATTTGGCACAGAGTATGATACCATTTACATCTAAAATAGAGCCTGTACATAGAATCGCATAGTTAGCATATATGCCAGAGTGGTTTCTTCGGACAGGCAGTGACCTCACCTAACTCTGTCTGACTCGGATTGATCTCTGCTGCAAGCCGGTGGATGCAAGAACCCGCTCCGCCACACGGACGGGGTATGAATCAGATGCGATCATTCGGGACAATCCGATGGGCTGACTGCTGTTCCTGATCCAGAGCCGCCTCATGATCGAGAGAAGGAGAAAGAAAGAGATACTATCTGACGTAGTTACAGGGGTTCATTCCTTTAATTCCATCTCCTGATGCACGCCTGACGTGCTGAGCCGGCATGTGATAAGCGAAAAAAACCCGCTCCCGCCTTGTTGGTTCCTCCGATCTGATCAGCTCGATAACAACTTCCTGTCATCCTCTCCCTCCTTCTGCGCCCACTCCCCACCTCTCCCACACCATCATTTCAGGGTCAATTCAGTTGGTATGACGATAGCTCTTCGAGAGTGCTAAGTTACACACAGTACAGCTGCTAACGTCGCTCTGGCCTATAGTCCTTCCTTCCTTCCATCCTTGACCCATGTTTATCGACATGACGTACGCGCTCTAAGAACCGGACCGGTCTGACCATCATCAACACCTATGACCTCGACACAGAGCCAGGAGGAAGACGGATTACTTCCTAACAGGGATCCTGCGTCTGATCCGGAGGCTCTCAATAATCTCCGACAATTCTCCCGATCCCCCCATCCGTACATCCGCCCGGGCTCGCATTGTCCCTCGTCACTGCCTGTGGATCCCGGCGACCGAGCGAAGACTCCCCGCTGGCCGCGGACGTCAAGTGATAGCGGCACAGAAGCAGACGATGAGAGCACAGGGGTCCTGAGAGGCTTGCCGGCGCCACCGCTGCGACCGCGAAAGGGACTGCGCTCGACTGCAGCCGAGATCGACCTGTGGCTTCCGGCCTTGCGCCCGTGGCCGTCGATAACACGGTCCACTTCGCGGAGCTCGCGACGGAGCTCGGGCGATGATGCGGAGGTTGGGGCCGCCGAGCTACGAGATCAGGTGTACCATCGGAAACGAGTAGCCATCTTACAGAGGTTGCTGGAAACTGCATTGCTGCTCTCTGTAGGTGTCGTCGTCCTGGGACAGGAGAGTGCGAGAGCGGCCGTCTCGGCCTGGAGGAAAGGTGTGCGACCTCTTTCTATGTGTGTGTGTGTGCGTGTGTGTGTGAATCTTCTCTAACTAAACTGGCGACGACCTGCAGAACTTCTCAGCTTCTTTCTCATCGTGATCGCTCTCTACGCCTCCTATCCTCTGCACCGAGATGGCCGCCTGCGATTCTCCCGATTGTTCACCTTTGTCGTTCCTTCCGCATTTGATCCCGCTCCGTTGCTTTATCCCGTATTGATACCCGTTTACGTTTCGCTGTCGTTGGCGCTTCACGATCCTGCCTTGATACTGCCTAATATCCTTCTCAGTCTTTCGTCGCTCCCTGCCCAGGTTGTTCCGCTGCGCGAATGGGTCCACGGTTATAGTGTTGTCCATTGGCTGGTGACTTTAATTCCTATTGTCGTTTCAGAGCATCTGTCGGCAGGCCCTTCATACCCCAAACCACTCACCCTTCGCGGCCTCGATGCGGAAGGTTTGACTCTTGTTTTCCCTTTCCATCAAGCGTTGATACCCACCCTAGATTTTCTATTGACTACCAGCATCCTTCCCGCAGAGTTGCAGCTTTTAACCACCGCTCTAATCAATCTCTACCTATTTGCGAAATCACCTCAGGCGGAAATCCTCAAGGCGTTACTATGGCTGGGTGGCATGTGCACGTTCATTGCTTGCCGGGGGGTGCTGCGTTGGGAAGTTGCCCTGGCTCGGATCCCAACCTGGAAGTTCCGACGCTCCCCTAGTGCTTCGCAGTCACCTCGCGACATTTTTAATGTGATCGACCACAAGCTCTGCCAAAAGCTGAGCAGAGCAGGTTCCTCGGAAGATAACTTCTCCGACAGTGACTCGGCCGATGGACACTTTGTGCTGGTCTCGCGCAGGACGATGTTCGACTCGCGAGAGAAGGCGCTTTCCCCAGGGCTAAGCGTCGCTAAGCAAAATGTGACCATGGAGGGTGCCCGCCGGCGATCCCGTACTACGCATCGTCGGCGACATACCTTTTCTAGCTTCGACGATGTCAAACGGGCGGAGAAGGTCAGAACTACGCCGGGTGGCCGGAAAAAGCGCTCGATGGCCCCCGGGCTTGCCTCCTTCCTGTCACTCACTGTACCCCAGGCTCAGGTCCGGAAGTGGCTGTATGCCCTGTATGTCTACCTTGCTGTACTGGCCATTATCATGGGCCCCATTCGACACTATGTCAGTGACCGAGCAGTGCAGCAGCGGGAGCCGTTTGGGTGGGCGTTAGGATACCTCTTTGGTAATATATCCGGCTTCAGGTTCTGGGTGCTTATGTGGGGCTTGGAGTATTGGATCCCTCTCCCGGCTCGTCTGGATGGTGACCTATTGAATACATCCTGTGCCCTCGGCTGGGTTGAACATCTTCGGCAAGATACATTCGGGGAGGCTAATTCGCGCCTTCTGATTGCCGCCTACTGCATCCTGGTACTTGTGACCGGTCTGGCTGTTGTGTTACAACTCAGTCCAATCGCAGAGGTCGACACCCGACGCAAGGTCTTTCATGGGATGATGGTTATGATGTTCCTCCCGACCATTTACATTGACCCTCTATTCTGTGCCCTCGCGTTGAGCCTCGCCTTGGCTATTTTCCTGCTTCTCGACTTGTTCCGAGCCTCTCAGCTGCCGCCGATTTCCCGGCCACTGACGTATTTCCTCGCGCCCTACGTGGATGGTCGCGACCATCGCGGTCCAGTCATTGTCTCTCATATCTTCCTTCTCATCGGATGCTCTATTCCCTTGTGGCTCTCTCTAGCCGACGTGCCTCGGACAGGGAACTCTCCATGGGTGGGGTGGGATGTATCATCCCGCGACGTCAGCATGGTGAGCGGTATCATCTGCGTCGGCATGGGAGACGCGGCGGCTTCCCTTATCGGTCGCCGGTTCGGCCGGCGAAAATGGTTCTGGGGCGGGGGGAAGTCGTTGGAGGGCAGCGTGGCCTTTGCAGTTGCTGTAACCAGCGGGTTGATCGTTGCACGAACCTGGCTTACTCTGGGCCAATGGTCCACAGACGGAAGTAACGGAGCGAATCCCATATACCCCTGGCTGCTCATGGCGTTCAAAGCCATTCTCGCTGCGGGCGGGACTAGCGCGACCGAAGCTATTCTGACCGGGTGCAATGACAATGTCGTTGTGCCGGTTGTGCTGTGGCTGTTAGTGAGAGGGCTTGGCATTTGATGCGGTTGACAGTCGAATATAGTAACGAATACAGCATGTTTTGGTGAAGGGCTCTAGTGATGTCTGCTTTGCTATATACCCCACGCGATGAAGCGCAGCAGCTTTGGGTGGATTTGTTGTGGTTTCTACTTTTGACTTGTGTTTTCCTTTGCATTTTCCCTTACGATTGCCTTTTGTGCGATTCTTTCCTCGATTGATTGTCAAGGCAAATAGCCGAATGGAGTGCCAGCCCGCTGGTGATGACGTGGAAGACTGTCCGAGCTGGCCATGGCGTGCTTCGCTTGTTCATAATCATGCCAACACCATAGAACCTAGATAATAACTTCAATGAGTGTCGAAGGCACCACCCCCACAATCAGGCAGCACCCTAGCAAGACCCATTTGCTGCACTGCATGCATGGTCTGAGGGAAGTAGTAGTTTTCGTACCTGAATCGTACTTTGTCAACCGCCTGGCTAGGCTAAACTAGCTGGCGAGCCAGGAAAGTCCGTCGCTCAGGGACGCGCTGCGCGCCGGGCGGGTTTGAGCTGTGTCGATCGCCACCGATTGAGCGTCGCGGCTATGCCTAGACGGGTTTAGCGGGGGATCAGCCAGCATGACCTTCAGGCAGCGGGTGAACTTTTGGGTGGACGAGGCTTGCTCCCACCCCCATGGCTTATCAACCCGCGATCCGGGTATCTTCCAGGCTCTCGCGGCAAGTCGTAAGATCGGATGTGAGAGGGGAGAGGTGGGTGGGTGAGTGTGGTTGTACTCATCGGCACCTGTCTTGGGTAAGTGGCCGCGCCCGGAGACAGAGGAAGAGAGACAGAGAGAGAGAATGGAGGGGGAAAGAAGGGTTGGAAGGAGGTTGAGTCATTTGATGCGCCATTAATTCTTCTCATTGACCGAGCCGGATTTGCTTGTTGGGTGAAGTGTTTAAAGTTGAGGAAACGTCGGGTGTCACTGACACTGACCCAGTATTTGCCTGTGAGTGAGTGACTGAGTGAGTGGTTTGAGTCACCTGATGAAACCATCAAATTACCAGGTATGGTAAAGATGAATGACTGCTGTGTGAGTTGCTGATCATCGTTCTGGGTGATGATGTTGATGGCTGACACGAGCAACTGTGGCTGAGGAAGATACATAGTATTCTTAGTGTAGGTGGTTCTTGATCGGGACCTGACTAAAAAGCAAGACGTCCAGAGCTGTGTGTCAATCGGGAAAGGCACAGACATTAGGCTGGCATCATGGATTCCTCGATCTTGATGGAAGCAGCGCGACTTGACGAAGCTTCTCATGTAGAACGTTTCCCTGGTATGGATGGACATCTGCACTTACTCATACACTCCAGGTGTATACTACTGTACGGAGTACAGTAGATAGTCCTGATGGGGGAACAAGGGAGGAAGTGCAGTGCCAGTGCCAGTGCCAGCCAGTCAGGAAGTTACTTCCCCAGTCAATCAATCATACTATGGATTGAATCGTTATCGTCTGCCCCCGGATTCATCCTGTTCCGTCCGCGTCTTATCTTTCTTGCGATCTTAGTCTCCTTCCGTTGAAAGTGAGACTACTGATGATGCGGTTATCCTTGGTAATCTCCACTACCCCTGCCTTAATTCCCTCAAGGCTCGATACAGCGCTTTCTCTGTGTCTGTAATGACCTGTCTTTTTAGGATGGATGCACCACCGTCTGTACAGTATATATAAATAGTAAGTAAGGTGGTAAGTAATGTGGAGAATGAATCGGGGTGATGATTGGCTGGGATGCTATGATCCAGTGCATGCCGCCCTGCTGACCGCCTTCCCAAGGTCATTCCGATGATCTTATCGGCCGCGGCGGTCACGCTCTTTGAGTCAGTCAGTCAGTCAGTCCAGTCCAGCTACAACTTTACAATACCGCAGGTACTTACAAGTCTTCCTGCTTGCTTGCATGTCCCACGGATCCAGCTGCTTTCTGTTCCCGCCTTTCGTTCTTCCTCCGTCAATCACATCATTCTCTCATTACACTCTCTTCTCCTCTTCCCCCCCCCTCCCGATTTTCCCCATTCTTCCATTCTTCAGTCATCGCTCCTCATCCCTTGTCTTTTTGTGACTCTGGATCTATTACAAACTTACTCTTTGTTCTCGTCCTTTTTTTCCTTTCCATCCTTCTCCCAAGCCACGCTCTTGTTTGTCATCGGTCCTTTATCCAGCTACTTCCACGCCTCTAGCTACATACTAGAGTACATCTGCCGGATCTTGTATACGTCTACCAGCACCCCAGCTTAGGCCGCCGCTCCCTCCCTTTCCCCCCCCCGTAGCTGTCGCCTCCATCCTATCATCCTCCCCCCCGTCTGTCCGCCTCACCGCTCTCCTACCTCCTACGACGCCGACGCATATTCTCGACCTATCTACTACCACTCACTCGATCTTTCCCTACACCCTGACGCTATCTAAAAGTAGAAAGGCATCTACCTATTCATTCCCTGTCCTGTCGCCTACGCTCCTCCGCCACTTCGCTCGGCGTTCCTTAGCTCGATCCACCACATCCTCCGCGTTCGACCTTATCCTCAACCATATCTTCCGCCTTCCCCGTCTTCTCCCTGACTACCCTTCCTTTATCGACAACCCTTTACAACTTCTTTCCTTCGCCTGCCGCTCCCCTGATGGGCCTCATCCATCCTTCGCCGTCGTCATCCTTACTGTTGAGGTAGTTGTTGGTTAACGGGGCGTGGTCGGCTTATCATACACTCATTGTCGTCGCCCTGTCGCAATCATGGCTTCCACAAGCCATTCGAGGAGGTCAAGGGAGTCCTCCCGTGCTGAGATGCCCATCGGCAACTACACGCGGCTGGATGAGATCGGCCGAGGGAGTTTTGCTACTGTCTACCAAGGTGTTCATACGGTACGTTTGCCATGTCGTTATCCGATAACAGCCTTGGCGGAGACGCCGGGGATTCGTTATCAGTCACCCAAGCTGAAGCCTTTGGGGCCGGAGCTGACCAGGTACTTCTGCAGCGCGACCGCACCTTCGTGGCGATCAAATCGGTCAACCTTTCCAAACTGAACAAGAAACTGAGGGAGAACCTGTCTTCAGAGATCTATATCCTCAAGGACCTCATACATCCCCATATTGTGGCCCTTATCGACTGTCATGAGACGACATCCCACATCCATCTAGTGATGGAGTACTGCGCGTTAGGCGATCTTTCTCTGTTCATCAAACGACGAGACACTCTTGGTGATCACCGATATACGCGAGAAATGATCTCCAAGTATCCGAATCCTCGGGGTGGCGCTTTGAACGAGGTGGTCACCCGGCACTTCCTCAAGCAGTTGTCGAGCGCTCTCAAATTCCTCCGCGATCGAAATCTCATCCACCGTGACATCAAACCACAGAACCTGCTCCTTTGCCCATCCCCATCATCCTATAGCTCAGGAGTTGCCCAAGTCGTGCCATTCAAGGGGAATGAAAACTCCTTCAAACCTACGACGGGGCTTGAATCACTGCCCATGCTCAAGATTGCCGATTTCGGCTTTGCGCGGTCTCTTCCAGCAACGTCCCTGGCGGAAACATTGTGCGGCTCGCCTTTGTACATGGCTCCGGAGATCCTCCGGTATGAGAAGTATGATGCCAAGGCCGATCTCTGGTCTGTGGGTACAGTATTATACGAGATGGTCGTCGGAAAAGCGCCATTCCGGGCATCGAACCATGTCGAGCTGCTTCGAAAAATTGAAAAGGGAGAGGACAGGATCCGGTTCCCTGAGGAGAACCCGGCCTCCCATGAAATTAAGTCTCTTATCCGGGCGCTGTTGAAGCGCAATCCGGTAGAGCGACTGAACTTTGCAGATTTCTTCGAGAGCGGCATTATCACAGGTCCAATCCCTGGATTGATTGCCGATGATGCAGTCTTGCCGTACCGTCCTTCGTCCATAGACACAACCACTGCTGAGCCAGCACCTGCACTGGAACCCCGGCCTGGGCCGGCGCCTGTAGCAGCAGCGCCGCGCCAGAAAGAGGCTCCACATCCCATCGACCGTGTTGAGCCTTCCACGTATCCAGTCGCTCGACGGCCGATGGCATCAAGTTCGCGGCCTGGTACGCCGAGTACGCCTATGCGCAGGACTGGCAGTGCAGATAGACCTTTGTCTATTTCCAAGGCGCCAACATCGGCGGCGGGGTATCCAGGCCCAGTTTCTGATGCTTCGGCTCCTCTCCGTCAGGAGCCAATCGAACGTGGTGCAGCAGCCACGCCCATCGAGCGACAGCGAAGCCGCACTGCCCCATCTGGTGTTCCGCAAGTGGACAAGTCTGCGGAAAAGGTGAAAGAAGAGCGCGAGCGCGAGCGCGCCGCGCAAGAGGTTGCCTTTGAGCGGGATTACGTGCTTGTGGAGAAGCGAGCAGTAGAGGTGAACGCCTTTGCCGATGAGATGGCTCATAGCCCTCGTATTCAAGGAGGCTTTTCTCGGCCTGGCCAAGGAGGCGCCCTATCACGACGTCCAACAGCAATGCAGGGCACACCGGCAGCCGCAAACGCTTCCCCATACGCGACTCCCAGCAAAGCTATGCAAATGATCTCCGGGCGCCCGCGGGCTGACTCGGCGCACATCCGACAAAACTCCTACGAGCGCCGGTACGGACAGAGTCCGACCTCCGCCACGTCGGCTATCTCCAAAGCTCTCAACATGGCCAGTGGGCGCTTGTTTGGCATGGGGTTTTCCCCGCCATTGACGTTGACAAAGGGTGGGCGTTCCCCTCCGTTAGCCTACAACCCTTTCCCTGCCTATCCTAATCCTCAAACGAGCTTGGTTGTCCTTGGGGACAGCACCAAGTCAAATGCGACGTTGGATGAGGATAGCAAGATTGTTCAAGAGCTTGAGGAGTGTGCCACGCGAAGTGATGTCGTTTATGGGTTCGCCGAAGTGAAATACAAGCAGCTTATCCCCTTGGCCCCGTCTGTTCAGACCGATGCTCCTGGGACCACGAATCTCCCCGGCCGGCCAGAGACAGCGGACGCCACTGACAGCGGACTAACGGCCGACGCTATTGTCACTCTGTCGGAAGAAGCCTTGGTTCTCTACGTCAAAGCACTCTCGTTGCTTGCTAAGTCCATGGATATCGCTAGCGCTTGGTGGAGTCGCAAGACTCGGACGGAAACATTCGGCGAGGGGGCGAACAGTAAAGGTGACGCTACCAGCGCCCTTGTCAGCAGCCGGATCAACAACGTCGTGCAGTGGGTGCGTAACCGGTTCAATGAAGTTCTAGAGAAAGCCGAATTTGTTCGGCTCAAATTGCTCGAAGGACAGAAGCAGTTACCGCTCGATCATCCGAGTCACCCTAATAACTACTCGGTCGGGTCATCTCTGGGCTCTGGTGCGTCCGGAGACGTTGTTGTCAGCTCCGGGGTGACGGCTGAAAAATTAATGTATGACCGCGCGTTAGAAATGGTTCGCGCGGCGGCGATCAATGAATTGACGGGGGAAGACCTTGCCGGGTGTGAGATTGCCTACGTCACGGCAATCCGAATGTTAGAGGCGGTATTGGACGAAGAAAAAGAATCTCGGGCCGGTCAAGGCAGCGGCAACAAAGCCGAGGATCGGAGGAACAGCGAACGCATCATGCTAGGTGCGGTCCAGGCGGAGGATCGACAGGTGGTTGTCAAAAGTAGGTTCATCGTTCTTCTTTCTTTCTAGAAGATTTCTAGAATTTGCTAACGTGCCACAGTGGTGTCGAGCATCCGGGGACGACTGGCTTCCTCACGCAAGAGATTGGCCGCCATCACCCAGCGGCAAGCCGTCACTCCTCCTTCAAGCGGGCCGAGCAAGGTGGTCCACACCACATTCGCACCTGTCGCTCATGCAGTTGGAGCCACGCCGCCTAAATAGAACGTCCAAAACTCGGTTTTCTATCCATCTAAGCATGCAGGACCATGCTTTATTGAATCGTTGAAGCACCTCAGCGTTCTACGCTTACTCTTTATCTATTTCGCCGGTTCCCTCTCGACAGGGTTTTCACCAGGGACTCATATATGACAGCGGGTGCATTGTTCCATATTTGCTGCATTGTTGTCCGTGAGTCGCGGTCTATATTCTCGCTTCCTTCGGACCCTCTTGCTTTTCTTTTCTTTTCCTTCTCATACTTGTTTGGGTTTCTGATATATACGCGGTGTCCCGGCCATGACACATCTATTCATCCGGAGTTACTGTTGAGTATATTTATGTTTCCATGGAGGTTTGCACAACTTCTGTTCAGCGTTTGCTTTGGGTAAGGTACACACAAATTGCCACACACACACACACACACACACACACACACACACACACCATTTGGATACGAAATGACGATGATGCCTTGGGATCTCGGAGTCTGGGTGGGATGGGATGATGGATCTTCTAGATACAGATACGGACTGCCAGTCAGACGAAGCTGTACTGTATATACATTATAATCATAGGATTTTTCTTCTTCTTTATTTTCCTTGATTGATTCTTGGTCTCACTGATAGCTGATAACTAGGAATAGTGTTTTCTTGGCTCACGATGAGTGCTGGCCAGAGAGCGACAGAAGAGACTCGACAAGCCTGGACTGTGGTGGGAATCCACAACCTTACCTAACTTTAACTCATCATCGCAGGGGGGCAATGGCGTGCTCAATTTCGGTGTGTCATAGGATTGCCACCAGAGGCTCCAAGCCTCCAAGAGGGCCCAGAAAGGCCCAGGGGGTGGAGAGTTTTCATCCAGCGCGGGTTCCGCCCGATAGCAAAGTTTTTTCCAGTTTTGCCTTACATGTTTCGCTTCAGGGCAACTACTTGCAAGTCCGATCAAGGCCCGCTGGACGAACGGCGGATGCCCGCCAACCACATGGCTTGCCCGCCCCTGCATGATTTTTTCCACACGTCTTGAACTCTTGACGTCTTTTCCCTTTCGTTCTGTTGTCATTCATCTTTTCCCTCTTCTTGTCCATTTTGTTGGCTTTTTGACCTGTTGGTCAGTCTATAGTTCTGCCTTCCACGTGAATCGTTCGCTGCGGCTGGTATACTAGCTTGGTGCTGTCCCTGGACCAGGATATAGATCCCAGTCGCGCTTGCATTGAACTTTCTCATTCGTTTTGATTTGTTGACCACCGGTGTTTTGTCTCAATACGCACAGGCAATCCTCTCAACGCTTGACCCCTCGGAGTTGCTGCTGGTTTGGTTGCCTTCGATTGCATCACATTTAGTCGCAGCACACCATCTCATCTTAGGGTCTCGTGTCTCCGTCCGTAACCACCTCCTCGCCGGCTGGGCTCACTTGTCTTCTACGCTATATATCTTGCGTCTTCTTCGAAGCTTTTCTTGAACGACCAAGGACGAGATTTTCTGATTCTATTTCGACATCGCAATGGGTGAAATCGAACCCGAGTCAGGCTATAAGATGCCCCTCGCCGGCGGCAAGCCTGTCGAGGATGGTCTCCGAAGAGCCGACGGTGTTACCGGACTATGTATGATTATGCCCCTATCAGGCAGTCTCTTGAAGGCTGTATACAGGCTGGTACTGACTAATGGCTCACAGACGAGGGAAATGTCTTCGAGGCCACCCCTGATGACCGTCGTCAGATCGGCGTGATCAGTGCGTCCTTCTTGATCTTTAACCGCGTTATTGGTACTGGTATCTTCGCCACACCTAGCACCATTCTCTCACTTGCTGGCAGTGTCGGTTTGTCCCTCATCATGTGGGTCGTCGGCACATTGATTGCCATGGCCGGTACGGCAGTCTATCTCGAATGGGGTACTGCAATTCCTAAGTGCGTTTCCTTGCCAAAGATGGAACGTTGGTGCTTGAATGCTAACAGAGCGAAGGAACGGTGGTGAGAAGAACTATCTCGAATATGTCTTCACGAAGCCCAGGTTCTTGGTTACAGCCATGTACGCGTCTTATGCCGTTCTGCTGGGTTGGGCTGCGAGTAACAGCGTCGTCTTCGGCGAGTATATCCTCAATGCTGCTGACGTCGAGGTCGGCCGTTGGAACCAGCGTGGTATTGGGTTGGCGTGCGTCACGGTCGCCTTCTTGATCCATTCATTTGCGGTCAAATGGGGTCTCATGCTTCAGAACGCGCTGGGAATTGTCAAGCTTGTTATCATCATCTTTGTCGTCGTGACCGGTTGGGTGGCTCTTGCTGGTCACATGAAAATCGATAACCCTCCCCACAACTTCACGAATGCTTTTGAGGGTACCACTGAAACTGGTTACGGCATCGTCATGGCGCTGTACAATGTCATCTGGTCCTTCATTGGCTATTCGAATGCCAACTACGTGAGTCACTTGGTTGTTTTCTCTTATGGCTTGGCTGCTAACCTCTACAGGCCTTGAGCGAAACCAAGAACCCGACCCGCACCCTGAAGATCGCTGCCCCAATCGCCATTTGCTCCGTCGGAATTCTCTACATGCTGTGCAACATCGCATACTTCGCCGCGGTACCCAAGGACCAGTTCTTGTCCTCTGGTCAGACCGTTGCTGCCACCTTCTTCGGCAATATGTTCGGTGAGCGGGCCGAGAAGGTGATGTCCGTCTTTGTGGCTCTGTCGGCTTTCGGCAATGTCTTGTCGGTGATCTTCTCCCAGGGCCGCATCGTTCAGGCTCTGGGTCGTGAAGGAGTTCTGCCCTTGTCGAAGTTCTGGGCCAGCAACCGGCCGTTCAACTCGCCCGCTACTGGTCTCTTCGAGCATTGGGTTGTCTCCATCATCATCATGTTGGCACCTCCTCCGGGAGACGCCTACAACTTCCTGGTCAAGTGAGTCTTTCCGATACCGTTCTGGTTCCCATGATCCATGCTAACCTGGCGTGTCTTCAGTCTCATCACGTACCCGCTGTCCATTGTCAACGTGTTTGTGTCTGCTGGCTTGATCTACATTTATCTGACCAAGTCGAAGAAGTTCCCGGATTGGGCCCCAGGGATCCGCGCCACCTTGCCCGTTACTATCTTCTTCTTTCTGTCGAACGTCTACTTGGTGGTGGCTCCGTACATCCCGCCCAGCGCGGGACAGAGTGTGTACAAGAGTCTGCCGTACTACCTGCACTGCGTGGTGGCGCTGGGCATCTTTGCGCTTGGCGCCATCTACTACGTGGTGTGGGCAGTCCTGATGCCCCGCTTTGGAGGCTACATCCTGGTCAAGGAGTCTGTGATTGACGCCGATGGCTGGTCCAGAAGTGTCTTCACCAAGATGCCCGTGAACCAGGCTGCACAGTCGTCAGAGCAGCAGCAATAGGCGCGCGCGTACGCGTCTGCCTTGATCCAAGAAATTGGCTCTGACCTGCAAACGATCCCAACACTCGGGACATTCTTTGTTACCTGATGCTTTATGAGGAACGAACGATTCAACATCATCGCCGCTTATGGCATAATCATAATGTTTACATTATTATCGCATTCATGCGGAGTTTTTACGGACGGGTTTTTTTTTTTCTTGATGGGATGGATGCAGCGAACATGGTTCGGGACTTTCACAGTTTCATTCAACATTTACTTCTTATATTATTTAGATCCATTCGAGAGATACCATTGCTACGGTGGCGTTCCGCTACCATACTTCAATTGAGACAAGATTATTTTGTGTGATAGCTCAAGAGATTGTGATTCGAGGATTCGAGGGTTAGAATTCTATGACATGAAAGAAATGGCTAAGCTAGTAGTAATGTCCCAGACCTCTATGGAAGCCCATTCACGGGAAGGGCACACGACTAACGCGTACCCTCAAATCATGAACCCCTCAAACTGGCTGGATCACCGTCTGGCAAACACCGCCGCCCACGAGGGGTAGCGGAACAGCCATATGTCATACGAGAGGTGGCATACGGCTGTGGTTGGCTTGCGTAAAATGAATAATAAGGAAAGGGGAGCGGAGGGAGAGACGGAGAGGGAATTAAATAGGAGATTTGGACGGACTCATGTGATGCGGAGAAGCCCTGTCAGATCCAGCCCTGAGAAGTGGCTGAATGAGGACTAGCTGGTACTAACACTTTGTAATACCGTAGTGATGATACACATCTGTCTTACGGCTCACCGCCTGCTTCTCTGGATGGGAAATTCTTCGTCGCCGTCAATTGTTGATTGAAAGAGATCGAAGGGATTGTTCTCAACACGAGAACAATTGTGCTTGTTTGAGTTCGTTCCATTCAGCTGTCACCTTCCTATTCGTTCTTTGTCTGTCACTGCCTCGGTTGAGCTTGACATCATCCACTTTCTCCTGCCCTTATCGCTCATAAACATAATAACAATATGCGACGTTTTACCTCAGCCCGACGGTTACCGCTTCTTCCCCGGAGCTCCGCCAGCAACAGCAGCAGCAGCAGCAACAGCAGCAGCAGCAGCAACAGCAGCAGCAACTGTTGCTCGTCCCTCCGGACTCTTCCTGCTTTCTACCCCTCCCCCTCCTCTTCCTCACTTTCTCGCTCCGCTCACTCTATATCTTCTGCTGCTTCCTCCTCCTCTTCTCTTTCCTCCCTCCATCTTTCTTCTCCTTCATCCTCATCCTCCTTCCCCTCCCTCACTACTTCTTCCCCTTCTTCCCCTCCCGTGCTTCGCCGTTCTCCTCTTCGCTCCACTACCCTTCCCAAGCTCTCTAAACGCTATTGCTCTTGTCGCAGGATGTGCGGTACACGTCGTGGAGAAGTGTCGGGCTCGACCAACATCACCCACGGTCGTGAGGTCCTGCCCACCAACGTCAAGCCCCTCCACTATGACTTGACTCTCGAGCCCAACTTCGAAGCTTTTACCTATGACGGAACTGTCGTTATCGAGTATGTGCTCCTTCGCCTTCTCTCCTACTCGTACAGGCGAGCTGCAGCTTGAGCTAACACTGTCTTGTAGCCTCCAGGTGAACGAAGATACGAGCTCCATCTCCCTCAACTCCAACGAGATCAAGATCCACAATGCCGTTGTCTCTGCTCAGGGCTCCGTCGTTTCTTCCAACCCTGAGGTCTCCATCAACCAGGACACCCAGGTGGCCACCGTCAAGTTCTCCGAGACCATCCCCGCCGGCTCCTCTGCTCAGCTCAAGCTGACCTTCACTGGCGAGCTCAACGATAACATGGCCGGATTCTACCGCTCCTCATACAAGACTGCCAACGGTGAAACGAAGCACATTGCCACCACTCAGATGGAACCCACCGATGCTCGTCGGGCCTTCCCCTGCTTTGACGAGCCGGCGCTCAAGGCCAAGTTCACCATCACGTTGGTGGCGGACAAGACCATGGCCTGCTTGAGCAACATGGATGTGGCTTCCGAGACCGAAATTGACGGCGGGAAGAAGGCGGTTAAGTTCAACACCTCTCCCCTCATGTCTACCTACCTCGTGGCTTTCATTGTCGGCCACCTCAACTACATCGAGACCAACGCCTTCCGCATCCCCATCCGCGTCTATGCCACCCCCGACCAGGACATCGAGCACGGTCGCTTCTCGCTCGACCTGGCTGCCCGCACCCTGGCCTTCTATGAGAAGGCCTTCGACAGCGAGTTCCCCTTGCCCAAGATGGATATGGTGGCTATCCCTGATTTCAGCGCTGGTGCGATGGAGAACTGGGGTCTGATCACCTATCGTATTGTTGATGTCCTGTTGGACGAGAAGACAAGCGGTGCTGCCCGCAAGGAGCGCATCGCGGAGACTGTCCAGCACGAGTTGGCTCACCAGTGGTTTGGAAACTTGGTCACCATGGACTTCTGGGATGGTCTGTGGCTTAACGAGGGATTTGCTACCTGGATGTCTTGGTACTCCTGCAACAGCTTCTACCCCGAATGGAAGGTCTGGCAGTCTTACGTTATCGACAACCTGCAGAGCGCCCTCTCCCTGGACTCGCTCCGCAGCAGTCACCCCATTGAGGTGCCCGTAAAGCGGGCCGACGAGATCAACCAGATCTTCGATGCCATCTCCTACTCTAAGGGCTCGTCCGTTCTGCGCATGATTTCCAAGTACATGGGTGAGGACGTCTTCCTGCAGGGTGTTCGCAACTACATCAAGAAGCACGCCTATGGCAACACCCAGACGGGTGACCTATGGGCTGCTCTCGCCGATGCCAGTGGCAAGCCCGTTGAGCAGGTCATGGACATCTGGACCAAGAACGTGGGATTCCCCGTCATCACGGTCTCTGAGGATGCGAAGACTTCGTCCATCAAGCTGAAGCAGAACCGCTTCCTACGCACGGGCGATGTTCGCTCTGAGGAGGACACCACGCTCTACCCAGTGATCCTGGGCCTGCGGACCAAGCAGGGTCTTGATGAAGACACCATGCTGAGCGAGCGGGAAGGCGAGTTCAAGGTGCCCGATTTGGACTTCTTCAAGCTCAACGCGGACCACTCCGCCATCTACCGTACCTCCTACACCCCCGAGCGCCTCACCAAGTTGGGTCAGGCTGCCAAGAACGGCCTGCTCACCGTTGAGGACCGTGCTGGTATGATCGCCGACGCGGGTGCTCTTGCGGCGTCCGGCTTCCAGAGCACTTCGGGCCTTCTATCTCTGCTGAAGGGATTTGACAGCGAGTCGGAGTTCGTTGTGTGGAACGAGATTCTCACTCGCATTGGCGCTCTCCGGGCTGCTTGGTTGTTCGAGGATGCCTCGACCAAGGATGCTCTGAAGGCCTTCCAGCGGTCTCTGGTCAGCGAGAAGGCCCACGAGCTCGGATGGGACTTCTCCGAGAAGGATGGACACATTCTGCAGCAGTTCAAGGCGCTTATGTTCAGCAGTGCTGGGTCCACCGAGGACCCGGTCGTCGTCAAGGCGGCTCAGGACATGTTCGAGCGTTTCGCGGCCGGTGACGCGACTGCCATCCATCCCAACATTCGCGGCAGCGTTTTCAGCATCGTGCTGAAGAAGGGCGGTGAGAAGGAGTACAACATCGTTCTGGACCGATTCCGCAAGGCCCCGACCTCGGACGAGAAGACCACCGCTCTCCGCTGCCTTGGCGCGGCCGAGGACCCTGCCCTGATCAAGCGCACCCTGGACTTGGCCAGCGGCGACGAGGTCAAGAACCAGGATATCTACATGCCCTTGAGTGCTCTGCGCAACCACACCAACGGTATTGAGGCCCGCTGGGCCTGGTTGAAGAACAACTGGGATGCCATCTTCAAGCGCCTGCCCCCCTCCCTGGGTATGCTGGGCACCGTGATCCAGCTGAGCACCGCCAGCTTCTGTACGGAGGCGCAGCTGAAGGAGGTCGAGGAATTCTTCAAGAGCAAGGACACTAAGGTGATTTCTCCTCCATATTTCACTATAATGAGTTGCATGACACTGACAACGTTGACTAGGGCTACGACCGCGCCGTCGAGCAAAGCCTGGACGCCATCCGTGCCAAGGTCAACTGGGTCCAGCGTGACCACACTGACGTCGCATCCTGGCTGAAGACCAACGGCTACCTCCAGGGCGGTAAGCTGTAAGCGGCCTCCCCTCGTAAGCTCTCGGCTTCACGATTTAGCCTAAAGATGTGACTCAGGGGGTGAACTCCTGCTAGGGTTATTACATACATACATACTCGCTTGTTGTAGTATATTGCTTCTGTTTCATATTCCTCTTCATTCTTGAGTCTATTTATTCGGTCTTCATTGGGACCACGAAAGATACCAAATATCACAGCACTCTTCACTCCGATTGATTCGTGGCATGCCATGATACCATATTATTGAATTAAGTGAGTAGATGCTCGTGTTAGCAATTGGCAGGCCAACTGTCCCCAAATGGTGACCATTGTTCATGGTGTGCCTTGTTTCAATTGTGTTTGGAAATGATAGGTATGTATGAAAATACAAGAAGGATTGGGAAGTATATACGACCTCAAGCGGGAGCCAAGAAGGTAACACACGGTGGGAGCAAGCGAAATCAACCTGCACACCTAAAAGCAAGACCCGAGATTACACATATAGGACAGAAATATGACCAAAAAAAAAACAAAAGAAGAAGAAAAATAGAAAGGATAAAAGCTCCACAAAAAAAGAGATGGGTATACAGGCTTTTTACTTAGTTACTAAAGGAAAAGAGGATTTAGTCTTCTCTTACCAGACATAATCCCACAACTCATCCAACCAGTCCGGGACTTCGAAGCCGAGCACGGTGTGTCTCGGCCGCCGGTACCATGGCCACAGCCACGACCACGACGATGAATGGGGGCGCAAGGAGGTCCAGCGGTTGAGGAACGAGCGCTTGGGTTTGTGGCCCGAAGCCTGTTCCTGGATGGTCTGGACGATGCGGTTGAAGAGACGGTCGCGCTGCTGGAGTTGCTGGGCGCGTCTTGCGGTCCACCAGTCCGTTTGCTCGGTCGGGTCCAGACACCAGACCACGATATCGCCCTGACGGCGCCGGTCGTCGTGCCAGTCGGTGTTGTGGGTGCGCCAGCATTCGCCGTACGAGGATCCGCGGAGCAACTTCTTGAGTGTGGGCTCCAGCTGAGCGAAGAAGATGAGGTAGTCGGGCCAGTCGTACTTGTGGTTCGTATCGGGCCGTTGCAACGGACGGGGCCGTTCGGAGCGGGCCTGGTAACTTGGTCGTCGGGGGAAGTAGCGCAGCCCACCGGCCATGTTGACACGCAGGAAGCCGGCGGGATCGTCGTAGAATTGATCGGCCTCGTCTCGGTACCCCGCCTTCTGGGTCGCGTTCATCCCAATGGGAGGCTCACAGGACAGTGCCCAGGCGTCGATGGAGGGATATACCATGTGCGAACGCCACGGGGTGCTGTGGCAGGGCATGAGGAAGCCGGCGGTAATGCCAGGCTCGATAGTGCTACCCAGGTTGCTGGAGCCGTGAGCCTGCCGTTGCTCGCGAAGGTATGAAAAAACAGCATTCGGTCCTGATGCATGGTAGATTGTGGTGTAGAGCGCAATGACAACGTTCACCAGCACAAGAAACACCAGAATGAGCCGTTTAGGAATGTGCTTGCAGAACGACTGAGTCACTGCTGGACCAAACAAGTCCACCAGAACGGGGCCTGTCAAGACATGTAGTGCGGGTAACAATGGGTAAATGAATCGCACTTCTTTGTGTGAAATCAACGAGAGCACAACAGGCATAAAAAGGCATACATAAGTTAGCTGAACCTGCAGTTGAGCTTGCGCTCTAACTTGTAAGTCGGTTGTGTCGACTGCACGCAAGCGTGTCCACACACGATACAAGCCCACGAGGGTAAATGGGAGCGCCGTGGTTAGCAACAGAGGATAGCCTTGGGAGAGGTAGTAATGCCAATCGTTGCGCCCGTAAAAAACGGCTAGAGACTGTGCAATATTGAAGTACAGGAAACGGAGAGGCGGGAAAGTCCAGGTCCCGTAGAACGATCGATCGGCCGCAGCTGACACAGCTAGTACAGCAGAGCTGTGGACGAATGTCAATGCTTGTTAGTTAAATGCAGGACGAAGACAACTCACCCCCACAGCACAGCTTCTTGAGCTAGGAGTCTCCTTCGCTCCCAAGTGTTGCGATACAATACGACGCCTGCCAGGACCAGCCAGATCAAGACATTGGTGGGTCGTAAAATGCAAGCGAAAGCTGCGAGCGGCAGACACCGTCTCAACCTATCCTCCACATTTGCACTTTAGCCACTATTTCAAATCATCCCAAATCTGGCGGATGGCATAACATACCTGTTGAGAACGACCTCATCATGTTGACGCTGTTGAACTTCTTTTCTCAAATCCCAGGGAGTGACGAGTGTCCGGCCAGTCTTGGTCTGAACGGGCGCTTTCGGGAGTACCGACCATTCCCACGGCCAAAGACAGAGGGCGACGACGGTGAGCGTTGTCTCAAGACAATTGGACAATGTCCTCGTTGAGCAAAACCATTGCCAAGGGCTTAGGGCGGTCAGCGCCAGCTGGGTTCCAAATTAGTGTTTCTGCGGTGCACATGTCAAGTAGTAATCTGATACGTACCACGGCCGAAGCCTCTGCACTAGCCAGGCCATAAGCACAACGAGCCAGCTTCCAGGTATAATAGTCTCCAACTGCGGCGATAACGGCCTGCGCCGTCTTCGGAGCGGCAATGAGAAGATCCGCCTGCCATGCAGGGGAGAGATGCAGAATGCGAGCGAGCTCGCTGGCAATTGAATAAACAGCGGTAAAGAAGAGAGGGTGAAGAGAAGATCTCAACTGGTGCCGCCACTCCTGTAAGATGACACCATGCGGTGAAGCTGTTAGTCACTGGAATGGATGGATTGGTGAGAAAGGAACATAATTGAAAGGAGTAAGTGGTGCTGAAGGGGGGGGGGAGAGCAAAGAGAAGCGATGCCGTAAGGGTGCAGATGCGTTCCGCCAATAGCGGAGGACAAAGAAAGGGGGACCGGAACTCACCCAGGTGATCCAAGCCCCGTGATTTTGTCCAAAGGCCGTTTGCCAGGCTGGTTCCAAAGACTGGAAATATTCATCAGGTTGGAAGAAGGTGCGGGTAGTCAAGGCATTTAAAAGACGGAAAGCAAGCAAGTAGAGGAAGACGCGCAGGGAGTCGGGTGAAGAAGAGAGAGCAGAGAAGCGAGGCGGGGAGGGAGTGGGAATTCGCGGCCTCAATTCGCGAGGTAAATGCAAAGGGCTGTCGGCGTCATCCGAAGGGAAGCCAGAGACAGAAGAGGCAGTCGAGGAAGAGGCTCTTGATCGGCCTGACATGTTCACAGTGGAACCCAGTCAGGAACCCCGGTTGTATGATCTCCAGATTCTGCAAATAGAGTTATGATGATGACGATAATGATGGTGGAGGATAAGTGTGATGTAATCAAGCCGCTTCTAAACGGTGGGCTGCAGGAGTGACACTGTGACAGTAACACTAGACTACCAGTCCAGAGATATTCAGATACGTACTCCGCCTCTCACCAATCAAGGGTCAAGCGATAAGAAACTTGAAGGGGGGGAGAGGGGCGAGAGGAAGATCCGCCCGTGGCGTACGTGGGTCGGTGGGAAGGTGAAGTTGTTGACTTGTCGTAGACTTGTAGTAATGAAAAGGGCGTGACTGGAGTTTGAATGGAAAGGCCAGAGAACAAAGTGGATAAGCACGGCTTAGTCAGACGGGTCCAGTTGGTGATGCTGTTTCCAACCCCGGGTACACCTGCGCTTAGAGGTCATCCGCGTAGACTTGCACTTAGGAGTCTAGTTCCAACTCCGCAATTTTTCGAATTCTGCACCCATTCTACCACTTGGGAGTAGGGACTCTGCGAACCTGCTGGTTATCCTCGTTTCTCTTGCCCTCGGCCGGTGAACAATTCTTCCCTTTTCCCCCTCGTTTGTCTTCTCGCTACATTTGCCTGTTCTGCCCGCCGCCGCGCATTCCTATATCTTCCCTTGTCCCGCCCTCCATCTCTTCCTCTCCTCCACTCTTCCTCATACATACCTACTTCTCTTCTGCTTCTCGATCGTATACCAACTCTTTCGCACTTAGCCTTCATCTTGTCGTCACTCAATCCCCTCTCCTGTTCTTCAAACACAGCCTCTCACACTTGTCTTCACCATGGCCACCAAGGGCACCAAGCCTTCCAACGGCTCCAACGGCTCCAACGCTGAGGATGGCGCCCACTCCTACCACGCTGCCACCACCCAAGAGGCCATCAACGCTGAGAAGGTGTATGCTGCTCACAACTACCACCCTCTCCCCGTCGTTTTCGCCCGTGCCCAAGGTACCACAGTCTGGGACCCCGAGGGTCGCGAGTACTTGGACTTCCTGTCCGCATACTCCGCCGTCAATCAAGGTCACTGCCACCCGAAGCTGGTCGCAGCTCTTGTGGAACAGGCCTCTCGGCTGACGCTCAGCTCGCGGGCCTTCTATAACGATGTCTTCCCCCGCTTTGCCGAATTTGTCACCAAGTATTTTGGGTTCGACATGGTCTTGCCCATGAACACGGGTGCGGAAGCTGTCGAGACGGGTATCAAGATTGCTCGGAAGTGGGGTTATAAGGTGAAGGGTATCCCCGAGAACCAGGCGCTCGTTCTGAGTGCGGAGAACAACTTCCACGGACGCACAGTAAGTGGGCGCGCGGCCCTCCTTCCTCGTAAATAGAATTAGTCAAGCTAATGTGGTCGTGGTCATTAGTTCGCCGCTATCTCGTTGTCTTCTGACCCCGAATCGCGCGAAAACTATGGCCCCTATCTTCCCGGTATCGGATGCACCATTCCCGGAACGGACAAGCCTATTGCCTACAACGACAAGGCGGCTCTGCGGGAGGCCTTCGAGAAGGCGGGCCCCAACTTGGCCGCCTTCTTGGTGGAGCCCATCCAGGGCGAGGCGGGTATCGTTGTTCCCGATGAGGATTACCTGCAGGAGGCCAGAGCCCTGTGCGACAAGCACAATGTCCTGCTGATCTGCGATGAGATTCAGACGGGTATTGCCCGTACCGGTAAGCTGCTCTGCCACGAGTGGAGCGGAATCAAGCCCGATATGATTTTGTTGGGTAAGGCTATTTCTGGTGGCATGTATCCCGTCTCGGCTGTCTTGGGCCGCAAGGACGTCATGCTCACCATTGAGCCTGGTACTCACGGTTCCACATATGGCGGTAACCCCTTGGCCTGTGCGGTGGCCATCCGCGCTTTGGAAGTCATTCAAGAGGAGCAGATGGTCGAACGGGCTGAGAAGCTCGGTCATGTCTTCCGCGACGGCCTGCTGGCCATCCAGAACCCGATCATCCAGACAGTGCGAGGCAAGGGTCTGTTGAATGCCATCGTTATCGACGAGTCGAGGACCAATGGTCGCACGGCATGGGACCTCTGTATGCTGATGAAGACCAAGGGCCTCTTGGTAAGCCACTGAACGGTTCATCCATGAAACGAGTGCGCCGCTTGACTAACTGTATTTTCTAGGCCAAACCCACTCACCAAAACATCATCCGTCTTGCGCCTCCCCTAGTTATCACCGAGGATGAGATCAAGAAAGCTCTGGACATCATCAAGGAGTCAGTGGCAGAACTGCCCACCCTCACTGGCGAGGCTGAGGATGAGATCATCCCTCCCCCTGAGAAGAAGGTCAAGGTGACCCTTGAGAACTAAATCTGGACGCAATGAGAGAACGATCATTTACATTCTCTATGTGACTTGATGATCTGTTCTTTCTCCTGGGCTGCGACGAGGCCTAGCAATGGTCAGCATCCAGTCCTGACTCATCCCGACCGGAGGCATGGCACGTCCCGAATCCGCATAGGGCCTGCGCCTTTCGGTTCGTGCTTCTGGACTTGAAAAGATCTTCGGGAGAATAGGTCATCTTTCTCGATGGATCGCCCTAGACGTGGTAATGGACTGATGAGCCGGGCAAGCTTGGTGGCGATTGACGACTTGTAACGACTGTTTATGACCTTAGAAGAAGAAGCCTGTAGCAACAAATTGAAAGCCACGCAGTTTCGCATAATTTTCCACGTAGTTGGTAGCACCGGCCTGCTTGATATAAGATTTCTTATTGTGCGGGCTAGTGGGTTGTTATGTTGGTGTTGTCCCGTGCCCTTATGCTGCCACCCCCTCTTTACTCCCCCTCTCCGACCACCAGCTCAAATTAATCCCTCACCCTGCTGTTTATTGCTACCTAACACTATTCTGTCTAGTGCGATGCAAAGGCTTCCTTTTAAGAAGCAAGCATGGGTTTGTCGGTTTCTCATTGATCCGAACCTTTTCCATTCACAAGCTTCAGGTTTCATTACCATCTTCTGCGCACAACATGGGTCTTCACAATCGGTTTCACAGAGCGCCGCCTCCCTACCCTAATCAAATGGCTGCTGCATCAGATCTTTCTAAATAGCTGGTCACATTGACGATATTAAAATCGAATTACGGTTGGTCTTTCCTCATACCGAACCTCGCTCTGCAAGGGAGCAGGCCACTGGCGCCATTTTTGCCCTGGCACCGGCAGCATTCCTGAGAATGTGATCGTCGGATATATACAATGCAAGGGCCGAGCCTATAAGAACCCGAATCTGCTATCGAGTAGCTACTCTCTTGAAATGAAACGAATACCTGTTATCGTTCGTCCTAATTGCAGCCCACGCCCACGCCCACGCCCACGCCCACGCCCACGCCGTCCGCCCAATCTCTGCCATCGATTCTTTTGTCTTCCATATCGTCAACTGAAGGTGTGCAGGTAATACGGAGTACTCCCTCCCGTCGATCTGGTATGAGACCTATGTCGGACTGAATTGCCACTAACATCAGTATCAGGAGTGAACCATAGATCGAATCACCTCTGAAAGCTCTGCGATAGATACCTTACCTGTTCAATCTCTACAGTGTTCATGAAAGCTAACGAACGTGGCCAATCAATAATCGCCGGATGGTTATCTTCGAACTGAACCCCTCCTTTGTGACATAACCGGTTTTCTTCTTCCAATCGTTCCGACATTCGCCACGGTCGCATGTGCTCATAAAACACACCATGCGTTCTGGGTCGAACTGAAACCTTTCTTGTGTTTAGCCCCGTCTATCTCTTTACCCGGTGGTGCTCCTTCCGTACCTTTGAGATTCAGCGTCGCTCATTGCATTCTTGAATGGACCCACACTACCTCAAAAAATACTTGGCTGCATGATCGCAACTCTAGTATAGTCATCATGAGCCAAGATGGGCAATTGAAACATGAGGCCGTCATGATCGATGAAGAAGGAAAGGGGAATACAACGGAGGGCGCAACGTCCTCTCAGTCGACACAGCTTGGCAGTGAAAATGAGAAACAAAGCCAAGACAAGCAAGAGACAGTCAAGTCTGCGCGACGAAGTCTCAATCCACTGCGACTCCAGAAAGCTCCTCCCATACCCGAAGAAAGAGAGGTGTGCAGGGAGTATCGTGCTAGTATCGTCAGTTGCATAACTTTTCAATGGATAGCACCGTTGATCAAGGTTCGTTTACGCTTCTTTCCGTCACTTGTCTACGGCTTGTTCATAGTGTACAACAGACCGGTTACCTGCGCCAGCTAGAAACTCAGGATGTATGGTCAGTGAATCCAGATAGAAAAGTGGACCTTTTAACGGCCAGGTTCGATATTGCATTGAAACGACGAACCGAGAAGGGGTCCAAGAAGGCGCTGATATGGGCTCTTTTCGACACCTTCAGAACCGAATTTATTATTGGCGGTATATGCCAAGTAGTGAGCATGATACTGTCCGTAGTTACACCATATCTTGTCAGGAACTTGACCAGTTATGCAATGGACGCATATGCCGCCCACCATGGCAATCATCCCAGTCCCAACCTTGGCCGTGGACTGGGGTTCGCTTTCGGCATTCCCGTGATGCAGGCTGTGCAGACCCTATGTTTGAGTCAAGCTTTCTACCGCGGGATGATCTGCGGTGGCCAAATCCGAGCCGTGCTTGTGTCCACTATATACACCAAGGCAATGAAGTTGTCGGGACGTGCGAAGGCTGGGAGTGAACTCCCCCATGCGGCTGACAAGCAAGGCACGAAGCGGCCCCAGCGACAGCAGCCGAGGAAAGACATCAGCACCATCGAGGGGAGCGGTTGGGGCAACGGGCGCATAATCACTTTGATGGGTGTGGATGTGGATCGTATTGACAGAGCGTGCGGCTTGATTCATATGCTCTGGACTACACCCGTTGTTTTAGGCGTGGCTCTGATATTCATGGTCATCAACATCGGCTACAGCGCACTTCCAGGTTACGGTCTGGCGGTTTTCGGAGCGATGATACTAGCTTACTTTGTCAAGTCCCTTATCAGTCTCCGAAGAGCAGTCAACAAGATCACTGACCAGCGAGTGTCTTTGACACAGGAGATCCTCTCTAGTGTTAAGTTTGTGAAATTTTTTGGTTGGGAAAGCAGCTTCCTGCAGCGTCTTGAAAACACACGCAAACGCGAGATCAGTTCTCTCCGACGGCTCCTGGTTATACGGCATGCTATCACAGTTGGCATGCTCTCCCTTCCTGCGTTGTCCTCGATGCTGTCCTTTATCACTTACGCATTGACGAACCATTCCCTGTCCCCGGATCGCATCTTTTCCTCGCTGGCCTTGTTCAATGCTCTCCGGATGCCATTGGCGATCCTGAACCTCGCAATGACGCAAGCAACGGATGCTTGGACCGCTCTCTGCCGCATCCAGGAGTTCTTGCTGGCTGAGGAGCGCGAAGAAAGTATTGTCTGGGAGTCCACAATGGCGAACGCTATTGAGGTCGAACATGCTTCGTTCACATGGGAGCGTGTACGTAACTCTGATGGACCGACAGAGTCTCGTCCTAGCCAGGCTGCGATCGCTTCAGCCAAGGTAGAGCCAGCGTCAACCGACGCTCTGGCCGAGCAAGAGGCGCACAGTAAACTCCCATTTCAATTAGTGGATATGGATTTCGAGGTTGGTCGTGGTGAGTTGATCGCAATTATTGGACCGGTGGGTAGTGGGAAAACATCACTACTGGCAGCTTTGGCTGGCGACATGAGACAGACAACCGGAAATGTCAGAATGGGTGTCACTCGTGGCTACTGCCCACAGTATGCCTGGGTCCAAAATACCACAGTACGGAACAATATACTGTTCGGAAGAGAGTATGATGAGGCTCGGTATAACGAGGTGATCGATGCATGCGCACTTCGATCGGATTTGGCTATGTTTCCGGCTGGAGATCAGACGGAAATCGGCGAGCGTGGCATCACCATCTCCGGCGGTCAGAAGCAGCGGCTGAACATTGCTCGGGCAATCTATTCGGATTCAGAGCTTGTGCTCATGGATGATCCTCTGTCGGCGGTCGATGCACATGTGGGCCGCCACATCATGGACAAGGCTATTTGTGGACTTCTCAAGCATCGGTGTCGGGTACTGGCAACCCATCAATTGCATGTGCTTGGGCGATGCGACCGGATCATCGTCATGGAGCATGGAAAGATCCACGCGATAGGAACATTTGACATTCTTATGCGCACAAGTGACGTCTTTCAACGGCTAATGTCCATAACATCCCAGCAAGACGCCTTGGATCAGGAACCGTCAAACACTGGCGCTACTACCGATGAAAAGCCAGAGACCGCACGGAGAGTTCCGGGGGGTGCCCTGATGCAAAAAGAGGATATGGCGACTGGCTCGGTTGGTTGGGATGTCTTGCGAACATACATCAAAGCATCAGGATCTTACCTCAACGTGCTTGTCTCCTTGTGCTTGACTCTTACTGTCAATGGCGCGCTGGTGATGTCCGGGCTCTGGTTGTCCTTCTGGACTTCTAACAAGTATCCTGGCCTGACCACAGGCCAGTATGTCGGGATCTACATCGCGGTTTGTTGCAGTCAATTTATTGCAATGTATGGGTTCGCGGCGCATGTGACGATTGTTGGCGCCAACGCCAGCAAAGAAATGCTTCACCGCGCCATGTATCGGATTCTACGGGCGCCCATGTCATTCTTCGATACTACGCCAATGGGGCGAATCACGAACCGTTTCTCGAAGGATGTACAGGTTATGGACAGCGATCTACCTGATTCAATCCGGCTATTCGTATTGACATTGTCGCAGATTACCGCTACAGTCGGGATGGTGATTGCATTCTACTATTATGTGAGTACCGCAGGAAAAGATACAGTGTACTGTTCTGACTTTCCCATCAGTTTGCTATCGCGCTAGGGCCATTGGTCCTTATGTTTGTCTTCGCGGCGAGCTACTACCGTGCGTCGGCGCGCAACCTCAAACGGCATGAGGCAGTCCTCCGTTCTGGGGTGTTTGCTCGATTCGGCGAAGCCATCGCAGGTTCCGCGACTATTCAAGCGTACCAAGCGGAGGAGCATTTTAAAATTTCTATTCACAAAGCGATTGATGAGATGAACGGCGCCTACTTCTTGACCTTTGCCAACCAACGGTGGCTTGGAGTGCGACTGGACATGATCGGCACTTTGTTGACTTTGGTGACAAGTCTCCTTGTTGTTACCTCACGCTTAGATGTCTCGCCCAGTATTGCAGGCTTGGTTCTATCGTACGTGGTTTCCATCACCCAGAGCTTAGGGTTCACTGTACGACAATTTGCCGACGTGGATAACAACATGAACGCCGCCGAGCGCGTGAACCACTACGGCACCCAGCTGGAAGAGGAGGCCCCCCTTCATTTGACGGACGTCGGAAGTGAGTGGCCCTCAACCGGTCGCATAACCTTCTCAGACGTGCAGATGCGTTATCGAGCCGGGCTCCCTTTGGTGCTCAAGGGACTTTCCATGGACATCCACGGCGGTGAGCGCATCGGGATCGTGGGTCGCACGGGTGCGGGCAAGTCCAGCATCATGGCGGCCTTGTTCCGGCTGACGGAGCTTTCGGGGGGCAGGATTCAAATTGACAGTGTCGACATCGCCACCGTCGGTCTATACGATCTTCGCAGGCGTCTGTCGATCATCCCGCAGGATCCGACGTTGTTCAAAGGAACCATACGCTCAAACCTGGATCCATTCAACGAACACACTGATCTAGAGTTGTGGTCTGCGCTACGCAAAGCGCACCTGGTCGACCAGGAACTTGTCGGCGACAAAAGCCCCGAAGAAGGAGGCACCGCCACACCTGCCCTGACCGACGCGAGTACCCCGGTGCCGAAACGCCTCCACCTCGACACCTTGGTGGAGGAAGACGGACTCAACTTCTCGCTCGGCCAAAGACAGCTGATGGCTCTGGCACGAGCTCTGGTGCGCGACTCGCGGGTGATCGTCTGCGATGAGGCGACGTCGTCCGTGGACTTTGAGACGGACCAGAAAGTGCAAGAGACGATGGCTCATGGCTTCGAGGGCAAGACTTTGCTTTGTATCGCCCATCGACTGCGAACGATTCTGCACTACGACCGCATCTGCGTGATGGGCCAGGGGAAGATCGCGGAGATGGATACGCCGTTGCGGCTGTGGGAGGCTGAGGGTGTGTTTCGGGATATGTGTGATCAGAGTGGGATCACGCGAGAGGACTTTTTGGGACTAAGCGGATAGATATGCTTTTTTTCGTTGCGTGTATATAGTCCAAGAACTTACAGCTGGCCAATCGACTATGCGCCTGCCGGTCCAGTCTGTGTTTTTGCTCATATAAGCCGCTATCGCAGAGTATTGGATAACCAGCCTTGTTTGATACATAAAATAGACACGAATGACATCGAGTTCCTATCCCAACCTGACACCATTGACAGGCGTCTCCCAACCGTCAGCTACAACACTAGCAGACATCGCGATAGACGAGAATAGAACAGTAAATACCACGCAAACCCAAGCCAGCTCGATGTATATATAGCAACTCGAAGCTCGGACCAAGCGGACGAGTCACTACATGAGATTGCTATGGCCACCCCGACACATTGAAAGGTTGTTCCCGCTCAGCGTTCGTTAGCAAACAACCCCAAGACAGACCCTCCCCACCCATTCTCCCCATGTCCCCCACACAAGGGATTGGCCTACCTACCCGGATCTGACAAATATCATTTCTGTCCCCCACAATGAACACCTCCTCATGGTGCCAACCAGTCACTTTCTTTATACGTGAGACGACGTATATAAGAGGGACGATTATCCTGGTTTCCTCGTGATGTATAGATAAGTATCTGAGACACTCACTTTAGTTTCTTGTAAACCATAGACCTCGCATGTCCGCGTCTACCGGCAAAAAGGGGGTCCACACCAAGTCCCAATACCCTCTAGTGTAGAAGTTCATGCCGTGTTATATGTGGACGGACCAGAGGTGTGTGTGTGTGTGTGTTGGAGTGGCCTCGGATGGGGTTGAGGATGGTGATGGTGGTTCGCTTGGTTTCGATCTTCGAGGTTCGATGGGCTGCTGGCTTTGGGCGATGGCGTAGGTCTTCGTTGATTTGAGTCAGGTTTGGAGGTGGGAGTGGAGTGGGAGGAGGAGGTTTGTATTGCTCTGCTGTTCTTCTGGAGGGTTTCATAGATATGTAACTGCTATGCGGCTTGTTGTAGAGGGGGTTGCTTTCTGGTGCGGTGGAGGGGTTCTTGGGTATGGGGTTGTGGGATTGGATTGGAACTGAGGGTCGGGGGAGGGGTGGGGTTGTATGTAGTGGATGCAAGAGGGAATGAGTTGTATGGAGGGGGAGTGATTGATTTTCATTGAGGTGGGTTGGATGGATGTTCGTGGTTATGGTGTTTATGTGAGGATGTGGTTTGGTAGTGACTTGTTGGACGGAGTGTGGAGTAGGTAGGGAAGGGATGGTGACTTCTGCGGCGGCGATGGGGTTGGAAGAGTCTGGCAAATATATCTATCTGATTTGGAAGAGCTGGGGAAAAGAGTCCCTTCGAGTTCATAAAGAGATAGATCAAAATGTAGAACGAATGGCAGTCGACACGAGTGAGATTGTGGAAAGCTGCTCGGGATAATCGGAACTATTCGTATGTATCTAGGAAGGGAAGTCCATTTGGCCAGATGTGCCACTGCGTACTGCGTGCGATGGAAGTGACACCACGCTGACTGACGCGGATTTCATGCAGTCTAGCCTGCATAGGACGTATCAGGCATCACCCTCGGGTCTACTTCGCCGTCTATTACGCTCTGGTCCATGCCACAGGCCCCGGCCTGCATTCTTATTGCCTCATCCTTGGCAGATCAAGCACAGCAGATACATCCAGTACGGGTCAGTCTCCAGATCAGGGTCCATCTTCGGCTTACGGACGGGCTGCTGGGCGTCTCGCCGTTTACGTCAATCCGATCTGACTACACAAGCACACTCGGCAAAGGCACGATCAGCCCAGCTTGGCCATCTCCTGCTAGCCACTCTACCCCGAGATAGACTACCTGCTTGTGCACCGCGCCTGACCCGCTCAACATGTACAATACTACACCGATAGACGGGATCAGCTGTTCCCCTGCCCTTTCCTCCGCCAGAGCCACGTCTAACCTATGAACGACGGGCCCCCGTCACCACCAAGACCAGACGGCGCACGATGATTGGAGACATGACCTTAAGGAGGGGAAAGCTTCGTCTTGCCACCCAACCCAGCCCGGGAAGACCCTGATCAATCCGTCCGCTGTGATGGAGGGAGAGGATATCTGGCTGCCTAACCATGTGGATCCTGGGGCAGTGCTGGCCATTTCAAATGGTAGGATGAACTGCTGCCGGTGATGCGGATGCACTGAGCCTTAAATATAAGCTTATTTGAACGTTCGTTGATGCTGTACACTGCCTGTGAAAATTGGTTGACCGTTCCATTGTTGGTGTTGAGCTGCACGGTTAGGACGGATGGTGTCAGTGTTGCGAGTGAGATGTCACGTGTAGATTGGCGGAGAACTTTTCGTCTTTTTCTCGTTCTACATACCTCGTCACCGTGGAGTGAAAAAAACGGTGGGTTGAAAATTGAATGAAAATCGCACGAGCAGCGAGGATTGATCGGGCTTTGAACCGGACATATAGTAGGGCAACGGTCCACTCAGGAAGCAGACTGAAGGGCGATGGGCGGGCTGCAGGCCGACTAAAGTGGAGACTTGACCATCGTACGGTTGCATTATTAATCCGCACATTGACTGATATGATCTTTTACAGGAGGAGAGCATGGATGGCGGTCTGGCGCAAATTGCAGCACCTTCAATCCCAATGAGATGTTAGAGTCGAAGCCAGGATCTGACCACCCCCCTCTTGCCGGCATTGTCCCGTGCCCTGCAGGCGCAAGGATCTAAGAGTGACACGCCAGCGACACGCCCAGCCACGTCATAGTCGCTATCATGCTGATCGGCAGAAAGCCATAATCTACTCCGCAGCGAAACGCGTTATGAAGAACACCACCGTCAATCCACGCTGGATATGGAAACTACAACGAGAATCCCAGCGTAGAGATATCAGTAAGCGAGTGAGAAAAGTCGAGTTCCGCAGGAAGTGAGCATACTAAGCATAGCGGATGACATGGTGATCATCCCCTTTCTGGTTGCATCACCGTTAACTGTCGCGAAGGCGAGTGACGACGATCAGCGACAGGGGATCTTTGAAAGACACATCAACTTCGGAATTTCGCCATTACTGCTTACCGTAATCTCCGTCCGAGACTCCGACGAGATCCGCGCAGCCGCTGTCGAAGGAGAGCGAGGGAGCGACAGGGATATAGACGGGAGGGGAAAGCCCCTAAAGCCGAAACAGTAAAGCAATACCAAAAACCAGTATTGAAGTTCAAGAACGGAGATGAGCCGATAAATCGCTAGTATAACCAGAGCACGTCCAGGAAAAGGGATAGACAGAAGACAATGTTTGATGGTAAGCGGAAATACGGGAAAAGAGCACGCGAGTGGGGCGGATGGTTCGGCTTGTAAGACCGAGACGCGGTGAATTGCCTGATCGAGAGACGCGAGATCCGTCAGAGCCGCGCCAGGGGAATTGGAGAATGCATCCGAATCCATGAGTAAGAAAGGGGGGCATGAAGCAATGAAAATTTCCCAACACATCACCTCCGAGCTCAAGCCGATGGTTCCCTATAGGGCAAAAAGATGGGTATGGGGCTAGCCATTGATTGCTCCGAGAGGGGCCCGTTCTATTGAACCAAAAATTGATGTGCAAGACAGTAATGCTGTTATGGGCAGTCATAACGTTAGAATAATGGCTCTGATGCCGTTCAGGAAAGCGCAACATCCGATCCGACAATCGTCTATGGCATCACGGATGTACTGTACTTAGGTAAGTGTATAGGTCAAGCATCAATCGCCAAGACCGAGTCAATTTGGCATAACGCTTGGTCAGCCTGAGGTGAAGGAGGGACCACTACACGGCTTGGCGCTGCAGGAGCTCCGAACGGATGCTCTGAGTCCGGGCCCAAGTGCCGTGGCTGGCCGATGATCGCTGACGAGATTCAGGGTAAATCGCAGACGTTGCTAGGGAAAAGTGTCATGATCAACTAGTCCCGCAGCTAGCTAGTCAGTATGCAACAAAGCTCCTTTGGAAGAGCTCTCGTACTGAGGGTGTATATTTGTCCGTGTATACTTCTCTGCGGGCTGAGCCCTCGTCAAAATGTCCCTTGCGACAGCGGCGGACAAGTTCTCCGTCCACCTCAACTATCCTACAAATCACGTCGGGGAGGAGAATCAGAGACGACCAAGAGGGGGAAGAGGAGGTCCGTGATGTCGCAGGAAGCGCCCTAGACAATCGCACTAAACTAGACCCTATGGCTCGTACCATGATACCAAGGATGGGGGTGGGAGCTTGAATTTAGTGTCTTAAGCACGGATGATAATACCTATAACTGATCCTAGAGTAACTCTGGCGGTTGGGAAGAGGGGCTGATGCGTGTCGTGAGTAGAAGATAACTAAGATAGTCGGTCAGTGACCACCCAGGGATCTGAGTATCGTACTGGCCTCTGAGTGGTGGTAAAGCCATAGTTCGTAAAAAGTTCAATCGTGTTGTATGTCCAATTCCGGTTCGTCGTCTTTGCCGTCTCCTCCCGTGTGCTGCTTCTTTCGACCCTTTCGACCTTTTCGACCCTTTCGACCCTTTCGACCCTTTCGACCCTTTCGACCTTTTTTTCGACGCTCACTCTCAGCATCCGAGACTTCCGACTCTGGTCGCAAGATCTGGTGACAAGACCACTGCAATCCACCCTGACCATTGCTAACTATCCATGGCAAGTCATATGGCAAATCCATCCGTCCGTCTTATTAGGATCCCCTCCCTTCGGTGCTGCCGCCCAATGCCGTTGTTAAAAAGAACATACCCGTCACAGGGCGCAAGTAGAAAATTTTCAATTACACGCTGTTGCAGTGCTTATAAATTAAGCCTAGCCCCGCTCGCATTCCATCTGCAAGAAGAACTACACAATTTGCATGGCACTTTTCGGACAGTAACTCGAACCACTGCCTCTACCAATTCATTTGACCTCCTCCAAACCCCCGAGCCTTGCTGTCCCTGATCCCCTTCCAGAGACCTAGTTCCGCCGCGAGACTACGCGCAGGTGATTGTGGCTACTGCGGATTGTTCAATCGACGTCGTGACCTCATTGTTGAGTATATATAATGGAAACCCAGACCGTCTTGGCATCGCGCGAATCCGGACGGAGCTCGGAGAGCAGCTCCCTGGATGCCGTCGCCAACGAAAAACAGAAGCTGGCCGCTCATGACAGCCTCCCCGACCTGGACAATTCGGCCTCTCCGAAAAGATGGAAGACATTCTGGAAGTCGTTTCGCTTTTTGCACAATTTGAGTCCCAAGCAGGTGGACGATTTCATGGCTTCCTACGTCATCTACAACCTCGACTGGTCGGATGAGAAGCAGATGGTTGAGACGCTAGGGCCGAACTATCAGGAAAAGGTCGGTGACTGTCTCAAGGCGTACTATGGCGTCCTGAACCATCTCTGTGCGCTGGGCGACGTGGAGAAGATGTATATTCCGCCTTTCATGAGCAAGAAGGCGACAGTGTTGGAGAACCAGCTGTTGTATGAAGAGTCGATTGCGCAGGATATCGGACTGTCGCCGGGCGATAAAGTGCTGGATCTGGGCTGCGGGCGCGGGCGGGTGGCCGCGCACATGACGCAATACTCGGGCGCGCAAGTCACTGGTCTGAACATCGACCCCAACCAGATCGCTCAGGCACGCTCCTACAACGAAAAGCTCGGCTTCACTTCCAACTCCTTCGTCGTCCAGGATTTCAACAGCTTGCCTCTACCATTCGAAGATGCCAGCTTCGACGCGTTTTATCAGATCCAGGCTCTGAGTCTATGTAAAGACCTCCCGACTCTCTTCCGCGAGATCCACCGCGTCCTGAAGCCCGGCGCCAAGTTCTCCTGCCTCGACTGGGTCAGTCTGCCTGACTACGACCCGTCCAACCTCGAACATGCCGAACTCATGAGTCGCGTGAAGCCTCTCATCGGCGCCGTCGGCACTCCTACCCCTGAAAGCCTGGAAAAAGCCCTCACCGATGCCGGTTTCACCGTCATTCGCTCGGACAATGCCAGCGTCGGAGGCCTGCAGGCTCCCCTTATCGAGAAGGTCGATTTCTATTTCCGGTCGATGCGTCAGCTCATCCTGGGGCTCGTCAAGGCCCATATGTTGCCCAAGCACTTCAAGACCCTGATCAACCGCCTGTGTCTCGATGGCGAAGCGTTCGTGAAGATGGACACCATGCGACTAGTGACGACGAGTTACCGCATCATCGCGCAAAAGCCTCGTCAATAGAATATCGCGCGAAAAGGGTAGGAGCTTCAGGGTGTCAGAATAGGCTCTGGTGGTTTTGCATCCGCTTGGTGAAGCATTAGTTCTCACAACCACGTCGAGTGCCCTCGATGCCAAGCTATGGCGTTGTGTTGCAACCATTGTCGGCTGAGCGGCGCGTTTTCCTGGACAGCATTTAGTTTCGGAGAAGAGCATACAGATGTGCGGACTGACGCCGCCGCAACATCCGAGATTGCCCACTGGAGGTCACAGCCGTTGCGTGCGAAAGTCGGATTCGCCATCGCTGGGTTGCGCTCAACTTTCTCGGCACTTTGCACGGGAGCATTGCTTGTATTTGGTCAGATTCTCATACCCGGCCCTGCCTGTCGTTGTCGCCGCCTTTTTCCACGTACCAAAAAGTAAGTTGAGTGGCAACGTCCCATCACCGGCGCAGCGGCCTGGCTCATATAGCCGAGCGCCGCAGATCGGCGTCTCAAATCCCCGGCCGGAGATGCTGACTTGACTTTCAGTAGTGACCCTCCACCGGGCCGCATTCTAGGTTTATTTATCGTTTTTGATTTCGGCGAATACCTGCTCTATACCCACAAATTTCCGACCGTCATATGGACCCGTCGCCTGGCCCATATCATGCTGTTCGCCAGCTGCGGGCTGAATCCGACACCATCTCCCCGTGCCATATAGATATCGCGATTTATTCGTCCTGTTCCAACTTTTTTTCTTCACATCCTCAGATATCCTTCTTCATGCGCTTTGATTTGACTAGCCGGTGTTGATGTCGTTGCATACGGTTTTCTGGATAAATTCTGCTTTCTAGGATATCCTTTCTCCGTAGAGGGTGGTCCAGATAGAGGTACATAGACTTTTAATTATATGATTTGACTTTATTCATTAAGTTTGGGTTTCTTATCGCTGGAGGCAAACCAGATGCAGAACAAGGCCATCCATGGAACTTAAATCTAAGGACGCGCGACTCGACACAGAGGAGGATGGATGAGTAAGGTTTGTGATCCTGGCCTATCGCTCGCCCGCCCACTCGCTATTATTGTCGTTCGATCTCCGAAATGGCCCCAGCAGGAAATCGGATGGACGGTGATTGTTCGCGTGGAGAATGGATGCTTGATTGGAGATTGACTGACAGACCAACGATCAGATGCATGTCACTGCATCCACGAGACATCCTTCAGGATCGTTGTCATAATAATATTATTTCAGTCATTGAGGATAATAGTTGGACTTGCCGCTATCCAAGCTGGCAAACGTGGGCCAGCAAACAATCCCGATTCGGGGGAAATCCGTCACAACGTGAAGACCGGGCGAAAGGTCCCCACAACGAGACTCACTTCAGGAACGTACTCCATGCTTCTCCCACTCTGATGATAATCACATAACCTCGAAATCTTTCCATCCAGACATCGGATGAGGAACCAGCACCTGGTTCCGAGGACCTTGATCTAGCGTGGGATGGGGGTGTGCGCCTTCACCACGAGGGAGTGGATAACTGCTTGGAACGGGTCCAGAGTCCAGACACGATCCCCTCCCGGGCTCCACCCACCGACTGGACTCCCCGCCCCAAGCTTTGCATAGCAGCCACTTATCTGCGCACGTTGACAGGTTATCCCCCGCCTCTGGATCTCCTGGAGCAAATGCCCCTTGGCACTCACTGGGCACGCATTGCGAATTTGCGACGCACTCTTATCGGTCGCTGGGTCACTGGAGCGGATATGATTCCTGAACCGATTAATACTCCCAGCACAGGCACCAGGCCATCCGGGTGACTGTGTGATCGAATCGTTGACCATGCGTCGAGGCGCTTCTCACGGTTGAATCGAGTCATTCGAGCATTGAACTTGATGATGAAAATCTACGCCCTTCCCCGTACGTCAGTCCATCTCTGGGGATCCGCATGATCGTCCTCCCATCAGTCGCATAGTGCCTCTTGCAGCACTCACTCGGTGGACCCTGCTGCGTCTATCACTGCGAGGGAAAGAGTGTTTTCTTTTCCTTGTAAACCCCGACTGCAATGGGCCTTTCCGGCCTTCACCACGATACGGAGGACTGGCCTCTTCCACTCTCCCGACGAGAAAGTACTCTATCTGCATCGACGCAATCTTCCGGCCAGATCAGCCCGGGCACGTCGCCTTTCACTTCACATCCCCTCAGTCGGACGGCTTCCTCCATCGGCTCACGGTCGAGAGAAGCTTCATGCTACTCATTGCACGAAGACGTGGCCCATATAGCACTCAACAATACCGTTACGATGTGGGTAGGCCCCTGCGTCTGAATAGGGATTTCCCTTCCATTGACGCGATGACAGTACTTTCGTGCGAAGTAACAAATTATTCAAGCTCCGTTATACCTATATCGATGTACGCAAGGATGCCACCGGAAGTCTAAAATGCCTGGAGTTGGGAGGTGGCCCTGGCCAACAAACCCCCTTAGTTCATACCTGTCCGTACTCCTCCATGATATTTCCGCTACAGAGCAGCTGATAACCTTCGCCTGATTCCAGTTAACGAGTCAAAACTCCCCGTCCCGCACCTCGAACACCCCAAACGCCCCAACGAACCTTCTCTACGAATCTCTTTTATGGAAGAGCAGACCGTCCAATCCGCACAGACCGTTTTCACGACCCAGTTATCATACCAATTCGAGGAAGAAAGAGGTGCGCGCTCAGATCGTCCGGCAGAAGGGGGTTTTCTTTGCTGACCACCGAGTCTTCAGACTGTGTGCAGTTTCAGGAGATCATCCTCGCATCGAGATTGGTCTTTCTGGCAGGAATCGCTGAAGCCAAATCGAAGGGGCGTGGCGAGGAATGTATCAGCCAAAACCTCCGCATCCTCCGGGGGCCTAACGGCAGACAAGTGATGCTGTTCTTCGCCAATTCCCAACGCAAAGACCTGAAGCGCTATGTGAAGGTACCAGGTAAGCCGGGATCCCGGGACCAACCGGCCGACGGGCCACAGCAGGGCACCAAAGCACTGAACCTAGAAGCTAACCTCTCCCAGTGAACTGCATTGACAGTTTCAATCCCGGCAAGAAGCCGGGCCGGCCTGTAGTCTTACAGCTTCAACCTAATTTCGATATTCTAACTCAAATGAAAACGCTACAGATCCAGTTCCTGGATGATACGGGTATGTCCGAACGACAGTCATGGAAAACCCGGCAGGCTATTGACTTGGTTTAGATCGGATAGCATTCTGCCAGTTTCTGAGCGACCACATCAAGTGAAAGTGATAGGGGGGAAGGAAATACTACATCATAGTTCGCATAATTCACGGCGGAAGGAAGGGGAAGGAGGAGGGGCTTGCCTCGGATGACGATGCCTTCCACGTGTGTCCCACTGTATAAACTCGCTGCTAGGCGCAAATGGGCGGCGGGTCGAAGGATTTCGCTTTTCGCATCCAGTTCGCACTACTGGGTTCCTTTCTTTGTTCATTTGTCATGGCATTGCATGTATCAGATTTATACCCGTATGAGCAATCATTTAATAGCGTTCGTTTTTATGTTTTTTTTTTTTTTTCTTTCTTTTCTTTTTTCTTTTTTTCTTTTCTTTTTTTTTTTGCAATGCCGTCATCATTTGGTGAGACATGACTCGGGGGGGGATTCCCACGTGGTAGAAAGGAGCAGTAAGAGGCAATTGTAACGATGGGGTGATGAGAATTACTTAGTGGGAAGTGACTGCAAGACATGGATGAGGAGATACGAGAGGAAGTTAGTCGAGTGACTGCTTGCCGGGAGTGGGTCGACCAGAGCACCTTCAGCACCTTCACGCACCTCTCACTCTCCACGATGCTGGCACGTGGGGACAGGAATTGGTCCATGCACTCTCTCTAATCTGGAGGTTTATCTATCAGTCACTAAATATCTACTAGACTCACTACCAAGCCAACTAACCAGCAAACGCCATCGGGCGACCGGGGCCTGAACTCAACCATGAAGGTTCCTAGATTTTATCCACTTGACTGGCCTTACGCCACCCCAATTAGCCCATCCCCTAATGTGTTTCCACATCCTTGCACCTTGTCCACTTTGTCTCCCCATCCCCCTCTCTTACTTTCCTCCTTCGGCCGGGCGTTTTGCCATCGTTGCCGCCCTAAAGGCCTTAGAGGTACAGTACATCCCCTCAAATTCTTCTTCTTCCTCTCATACTTCGAATCTCATCTTTTTGGGGGCTGCGGAATCCTTCAAGATCTTTCTGCACAGACTATCGTTGTTTCATTATGTCATCTGCTCCAGCTTGATTTACAATCTCTACTTAATATTCAATACAGCTTCGACAGCACAGAACTATCGTCATGGGCAAGCGGTGGTACAAGACCGACCGCGCTCAAGACTTTGACCATGAGCAGGTACTGTTCCAAATATAATTGAACTACAGTCAGAGGCCTTGCGACTAATCTATACTGTCCGAATGCGAATAGGATCGTCAAGTCCGTATGCGCCAGGTCTATGAGACTATCGATCGACAGGCTTTTCAATGGATCGTCGTCTTCGTCGCCGGGGTGGGCTTCTTTCTCGATGGGTACACTGTAGGCTACCCACCTGGATCTCCCGGACCAAATAGTCGCTAATGACATCGTGCTCCAGCTCTTTGCAAGCAATATGGCTTTCCCCATGATTTCCTATGTCTACTGGCGAGACCAATTATCCTCCATGCATGTCACCTGCGTCAACATCGCTACCCTCGCCGGCACACTCTTCGGACAGGTTTTATTCGGGTACTTGGCGGACCGGTACGGCCGCAAGAAGATGTACGGGTTGGAGCTGATTCTGATGCTCACGTCCACCCTGGGTGTCGTGATGGCCTCGCAGGGCGAGAATGGCAGCATGAGTGTTTACGCCTGGTTGATTTGGTGGCGAATCATTGTTGGTATTGGGGTAGGAGCCGATTACCCTTTGAGCGCCGTGATCACGTCTGAGTAGGTGTTTTACCAACCCTGTTCACTATCTGTCATCGGCCAGGCTAACAAGAAGAAAGATTTGCTCCGACAAAACACCGCGCACGAATGATGGCTTCTGTATTTTTCATGCAGCCTCTGGGACAGATCGCTGGTAACATAGTTGCCATCATTGTCATCACTGCCTGCCGAAATCAGGGCACTGATGACCTGACTCGCACGGTCGACACCATGTGGCGGTGGGTCATTGGCATTGGAGTCATCCCGGGCGTCATCGCGACCTTGTTTCGTTTCGTGATTCCGGAGTCTCCTCGCTTCGTCCTTGAGATCGATGACGATCCTGTTCAGGCTGAGTTCGATGCCACTACTCTGTTCGACGACTTCCACGCCAGCTCTCCGTCTACCTTGACCGGTTCCTCGCATCCTGCTGGAGACTCTGCAAGCTGGCACAACTTCGCTCTCCCTGGCATATCACTCACGACCATCACAGCTGGGAAGAACGACGAAGAAGATGAGGACCATGAAACCCAGCGTTCCCACTCTCAGGCCGAGATCCTGCAACCGGCCACTCTGAATTCTCATTGGCACCTGACTCGCCGGGACATCCGCCGATACTTCTGGGTGGAAGGGAATTGGCGTACGCTGGCGGCCACCAGTCTTGCCTGGTTCTTCTTGGACTTCAGTTTCTACGGTATCAGTCTCTCCAGCCCTCAATTTCTGGCTAAAACATGGGGCTCCCTCCACCTTTCCTCTTCCGCTCCTTTCTGGAAGACCGACGACCGAGCTGGTGCCAGCGTCTACAACATGCTCCTCGCCAGCTCCACCCACGCACTCGTAATCCTCAACAGCGGCAGCTTCCTCGGCGGGATCCTCCTCATCCTCTTGATCCACAAGCTCGACCGGACCGCCCTACAAAAATACATGTTCCTCGCCCTGGCGGCCCTCTTCATCGCCCTGGGCACCATGTACATCACGGTGCACCAAGAAGGCGCCCCCGCCATAACCCTCTACATCATCGGCCAAACCTTCTTTAACTTCGGTAAATAAATTTTCCGCAACCCCAAACAACCCCCCTCACCACTAACAAGATCCGCTACAGGCCCCAACGCAACAACCTACATCATCCCCGCCGAGATCTTCCCGACGCGCTACCGCGCCACCTGTCACGGCATCAGCGCCGGCGCCGGCAAGCTAGGCTCGATTCTCGTCCAAGTCTTCTCAGCCTACTACAATTTCGGCACCGGCCAAGGCGAGCAACCGACCATCCGCCACGGCTGGATCCTAATCATCTTCAGTGTATGCATGATCCTCGGCGCCGTCGTCACCCACTTCTGGATTCCGCCGGTGCAGCGCGCCGAGCGCGGCACCTCCTCCTCCTCCTCCTCCTCTTCTTCTTCTTCCGCACGGGGCAAACTCTGGGGCGGCCGCACCGAGACCCTCGAGACGCTGGCGCTGGGCCGGTACGGGTGGAAGAGTCGCTACGCGGCAGCCGGCGGGTCGGCAGATCTGCCGAGGAATCGCATCCATGTGCGCCAGAGGGTGGTTGTTACCTAGGGTTTTCATGTGGAGTTCGGGTTGCGACCTCTCTTTCGTTGACGATTTCCTTTTTCCCTTCCCTATCTGAACACTCTTTACTCTTGACCCTTCTTTTGTTTCTTGTATGTACTTTACTTATACCCCGGTGATTTTATATGGGTTTTGATACTGGTATGGGTGGATAACGTGTCATACATACATATGTACATACGTACATACATAGTATTTCTTTTTTTCCTTTTTTTTTTCATGTCGGACAGTACGAACTTAGCTCAGAAAAGAGCATCAGAGATCTAATTACAATTCTCGTTCCTCGACAAACTACATCCTCTATACGACTACAGACGGAGTACTCAACATTCGAAGCAACTGGAAGAAAAAGAATGGTATTCTAGGAAAATCGCAACCCTCTCCACCCCTTCCCGATCAAGACAGAGGAGGGGAGGCTATTAAACACTAAGTAAACAACTACCTCAGTAGTAAAGAAAAAGCCACTACCACGCTCGCGGTTCTCCGCTCAGCATCTCGAGCCCAAGTCATCAACGGATAAAAAAGCTTAGTGACCCTCAGCGTGGGCGTTGTTGTTCACCTGGCCGGCCTGGTGGTCCTGCGTCGAGCCGGAGGCGCCCTTGCTGGTGTTATCGTAGGACGAGTAGTCGTAGTCGTCGACGAGGTGCTGGTGGGCGTTAACGCCGGAACTGTGGTTCTCGTAGGTGTTGAAGTTGGAGTTGTGGTCTTTCACGCCGTTGGCGTCGTGATGGTAGTCTACCACTTTGGGGTGAGCGGGAAAAGGAGCGGGCGCCGGGGCGGGGGCGGGGGCGGGAGCGTGGTGCGCAGCCGGAGGAGCGGGGGCGGGAGCTGCGGCGGCGGGCTCAGGGGCGGGAGCGGGAGCGGGTGCCTTCTCCGCGGCCGGAGCAGGGCGGCTAGCGCCGGCGGGATAGGCGACTTGGTTGTTGTCGCCGTTGATGCCGTCGCCGAGGACGCCGTTGATAAACGGCAGGCCGCGGCGCGCGGCGCCTGTCAGCTTCGTTTTCTCGCCGGTGACTCCGCCGAGGGCGCCGGAAGCCGCTCCGCTCACGTCGGGCAAGCCCTTCGCGCTGTCTGCTCCGTGGTTAAGCAGGTCGGTGGTGCCCTGGCTCTCGGCGGTGGGGAGCTTAGACATGGCCTTAGGGGCGGCGCCATCGAGAGGGGCGGCGGCGGCGGCGAGAGCAGCACCCTTGTCTGTGCATCATCAGTTTCTCGGTCTGTTTGCGAAGGTTTGGATAGCATGGAAGAGGCCGGCTACATACCGGTCATTGGGGCAGCGATAGCCAGGCCAGCAGCGGCGAAGAGAGACAAGAGAGTGGAGGTCTTCATCTTGAAGTGTTTTGGGTTGAGTTGGTGAGGGAGATTGTTAAACGAGTGTGAGATGAGACTGGCTTGATGCTGATGGAGAACGAATGCTAAGCTGGCGACTCGATGGCGTCTTTATACCTTTCATTTCCGCAGAAAATCGGACTCTGTCGTGAGTGTGACAGGTTTGACGGATCTATTCCTGGTAGCATCGCAGAGTCAGATCTGTGCTCATGATCAGGAAAGCTGATCGGCGAACCCTCATGATCTGCCATTGCGTTGAAAGACTAGGGGGGAGAGATCGGTTTCGCTGTGGGGACGAACTCCTTGACGCTTGCACTCCCCTGGCATATCTGACAGGTAGCATGCTCGGATAGTAGATCCCGACGTGACGTATCTGATCAAGACAATGATCGAGATACGATGGTCGTTCTGGCCCTTTGCCATTGCCTGATTAAGTATACCCCTGAGCCAAATTGAACTGGCTATCGATCTCATTTCATGCGAACGTTCATTCATGAAATGTATTCTGCAAGGGATGCAGATGCCATTCGCGCCGATACCCCGATCATAGGGCACGGCGCATGAACTCTTGCCGATTCCTGCCTTTTGCGGATGGACCCGTTGGAGGTGTCATACTTCACACTCAATAGCTCTGATTCTACATGCAGATGATTTTTCGGATGGACAGCCGGCGGCGTCCTTAGGTTTAATAGCGGTGCGCATTGTGAGAGATCAGAGAAATAGTCTCTGGATGGGGCATTCGACAGAAGTTGCTATGCAGGAACTTCGAGGATATGACTTGGTTTGTTATATTCAATCTCGATTATGCTAGAGAATGGCTGTTTTTTGCAGACATTAGGAATGACCCGGTCCTGGTTTAGTTATACGAAGCGTTGGAATGGTGAAAGAAGTCGAGTAACTTGCACATCTTGGTGGATTAGCTGAGTTGCGATCTGGGATAGGCAAGGCAACCAAAGGTCCTCAGATCGGCCAAGCATGGAGTGATGTGACATGACAGAATGAAAGAACGAGAAGTTAGAAATCAGACTCTCCTGAAAGGTGACTCGAGAAATGGTAACTGCCGCATTTGGTGTATGGTCCCGAGGCATCAGTCCAGGCACAAAGCCAGCTGGGCCACTTCCTCTTTCCTATGCCATCTTCTGTCATAACACAAGTTTTGTTCATTCATAACATATTCTAGTATTGATTCGGACAAATTAACACAAACAGATCACGGTCATGAAGGTACCTGCTCAGTAAACACATTGAGAATACACTGTCACACCGACCATCCCAGGTACTGCCCACAATCCTGCACATCGCCTCCCAATTTTCCTTCCCAGCAAAGTCCTCCAAACACTTCAGAACCTGTCCATGGAGCCCAGCAATCCGTGTTGAACAGTTATCGTTTTCGTGATGCGAATCTTCTTGGGAGGGCGCAGCGATCCAGAAGTCCGTGAAAACTCACTTCCAGCAAGCTCCACACCACCACTAGCGACGCTACTTAGGAACGCTCCAGTATCATAGTTTGTCACGACGGTGTCCAAGGCTAGCTCTTCATCCTCGAGCATCGGAGAGAAAGCTCGACGTGTGTTGGACGGAGTGAGAGGAACAGAATCATGGAATCGATTGCTTCCTCCGATAGTGTGGAGGGCGATATCATTATTGTGGCCAGGATAGTTCTTTGCCCCACTTCTGCTTGGTTTCGCGAACCGACTTCGGAGAGAGTGGATCAGTGGCGGGAAGGCAGGCATACACGCCGCAAGAAAGTACACCCCGGGCTCGACTTCTGTCCAGATGTTGTAGGGAACCGAAGTCCACGTATCGTCATCGTGCCCGTCAATGCCAAAGAAGATTCCGAATCTGCAGCAGGATGTGATAAGGCCTCTGTGTGCGACGAGTGTGCAGATTAGCCTAGTTCACAGTACAGCCCGACGTTTGCCAATCTCGAGTCAATTTTAGAAAGGGGAACTTACATTCCACCAGTTGCGAATATGATGCCAAGTCCGATCTTTTGACTTCGGGTAGTGTTGAGTCGATACACCATAGGAAGAGGTAAGGCCAGCATCATCACGTCCGTGACGATGTTCGGAAAGGACATCCAGCGATAGAAGGCTCGCATGTTGAAGCACTGAACCTTGCTCGCCAAGACTGGATCAAATCGATAACTCATAGGTGTACACCCGAACGTGTTGGCAAAACCGATAATAAGATAGTGCAGCACGATGATGAGCATAATGATGTAGGTAGTGATTCGCTCGGATCGAGACTTGAAGAAGCGGAGGTAGAAAGCCAACATGGCCAGCTTGGGTAGAGCTGTAGCCAGCCCCCAGATCCAAATACCAGCGAAGTGTCCTTTCAAGAAGCTTCCAAGTTTTGAGGGTGTTTCGTTGACCTTTTCGATATGATATCCCACCCCAGCGAGATGGACCATAACTGCACGCTGTGTTAGCTTCTCATCAGATAGCCTCTCCTTAGCCTCTTTATCGTTAAAATGGAGACCAGGTGTGAACAAACATGGGTTGCAGTGTGCCTTTCACAATAGGAGGTGGGGAACTCACGTATGCCAGAGATACATAGACAGATATTGGCCAGAAGAGCTGGCAACATAAGCCAGTCATCAACCCCCCATTTTCTTCCCTGTCTCATTTGCACAGCGAAGCGTACAGTTGCAAAGATGACTTCCAGGATAATCAAGGTCACAGCTACTGCGATCAGCTGAACCCCACAGAACTCATCCAGGTATCCAGGTGGATGTTGCTTAACGGAGGGGGATGACATGGTGGAAAGAAGTCAAAAGGTTGAAGAATCATTGAGACGAAATTTCGGCGTCTCACCGATGAGGGGACAGAGGGTGTTTTATCTTCGTTGAAAGAGTTGTGAGCACCTAGGTAACCATTCACCTGATCACAACTGATCAAGACATCGGTTTACTTATCAAGGATGTTGAACGGGATATTCCGCTAAGTAGACTGAATTTCAAGGGCCTTCATTCACTGCAAAAACTTATATACAAGACTTGTTCACCAGATCTTGAGAAGTGTGGTGATACCAATCACACAGCTTTCCAGTCTTCGGTCTACTATATCTAACGTTCACCAGTATCCGTTTTCAGCACTAATCTTCTCACAAACGCTTCGCCTCAAAAACACTGATCCAGACGTGAATCACAACACCAGCCACTCCACTCTGCATATTTTACAGAATCAATCCAAATCAACCTCTACCTTACAACCTTCCTCATGAAATCCGCCTCGATCACCACCTCCTCTCCATCTGGCGTCCAATCCGTATACCTAGGCTCCGTCTTCCACCGCACATACCCCATCTTCTCATACCACTCAGCAACAGGCAGCTTTCCCTCCCCGCGAATCCACTCGATCCACCTCCGCCTCTCCGGGTCGGTATAGTACTCTTTACTAACCGCGTTGAGGGTCACATACTTGCAACGCGGGTCCTGGCACGCCCGCTCCTCCACCAGATCCATTGCCTTGCGTCCGAGCCCACCTTTGCGGTACTCCGGGAGGATAAAGAAAGACTGGATGGTGAGATTGGTGCGGTCGGCGGTGGCGAGATCGGGGTCTGGGGGGTTTGCGTAGGCGTCGAGCGAGATGTGACCTGCTTGAATTGGGCTGGTGCTGGCACTATCACTGGTCGAGGTGGAGGTGGTGAGGTTGATCCAGAAGAAGGATTTCAGGCCTGCGTCTTGCTTTGCACGCCAGGCCAGAAGAGCCTCATCGGTGTGATCCCAGCCACAGATTATGCGTTGGTGCTGGAGAGTAGCATAGTCGGATGGGTGATGGAGGTTGATGGGGGTCAGGGTGACTGTGTAATCCGACATGATTCTGGTTTGTTGTTTTGGAGAGGGCGCAAACAGGGCATAGTGTCAGAGAAGTCTATCTGATTTGGTTTGGGTTTCTCTGATTTCTAGTTTATTTTCAAAGCCTTATTCCTGTGGGGTGGAGTAGCGGTGGTGTGAGTCATAAATCTGATCTTATCTAGATATTGATCTTGGTATATCAAGCGTATTTGGGAAAGGTCTACACACGTCGCTTGGTATCGCGCTGCGTGGTCTGTATAGCTTTCTGATCTCTTCTTCGCGAAACTGCCTATTAAGATCTCCATAAGGATACATCATAAAGCCAACTGTCAAATATATCGTTGCCAGGATTGAGCTTTCTGCAGCATGAATTCGATGCGGACATGATCGTGGCCCTCCTCAAGTACGGTCTCCATTACAAGGCCATTCCTTGAACATGTCGCACAGCTGCGCTGCAGATTATTGGATGCTCTCAACAGACAAAGAAACATCTGTTCTGTGAGCTTCAGAAAGAAAGTTGATGATCTGGTGAGATTACAGATTCGTTGTTAAACTTCCCGACTTTGCGAAGGGGATTTTGCTTGGCCTGATGCTGGTTGTGCTGCCAGCAGCAAGGCATAAGGCTTCTCTAAACCGCATATCATCTGAAGCCATCGAACCGGATTGGTTGCAGCTTACACACGCCGATCGCCTCGCGACGAATAGTCTCCATATAACCGTCGTCAGCAGGAAACGACTACCTTCCACCTTATCGCAATTGTTCGGCGGGCTCTGCACAAGTGCTGGAAGTTCATGCGACCACGTAACACAACTGCTTGAAGAGAATGGGTGGTTTGTCATCACAATGTGCCTCAAGTTCAGCCAATTCATTGACATGTTGCTCATCAATTCTGCAGATCCCACAACCATATTGCCCTCTAATTGGAAGCCGTTCTGTCCAATATCCTGAGCTTCATCTTGCTACCTATAAAGAGCTTCGGTCATAAAATATCGCAGACAAAACACTAAAACTGGTCATGATGGTTCAATGATGAGACCTGAGCTGTAGATCATTGCTTGCAAAAAGCACCTCGGAGGAAGCGAATGCAACTTACTCAGATCCTGCACAAACGTCGACATTGATTTCCATAGCCCAGCCATGCTGTGCAATATCAGTGCTTAATAATTCTCAACTCCTTTGTGCATTTTTCGTCACAAGTTGCCCGAGGCACCGTTTGGGATGATGTGCAGCCAAAATCTTTCAGTCATCGTCCAACAAGCCACTGCGGGGAAGACCGGCTATTTGCGGGGTTGTTCTTGTCCTTGTAGGACAAGAGTCATGACCTCAGGAAGAGTCAGCGCTGAATCATTGCTTTTCCCCGGGTTCCAATCAGATGAAACACGGAGTGTTTGGAACCCCCGGCAACTTTACCAAGTAGAGCTGGAGGGGAAGCCGAACTGCCGCTTATATCGCATAGAGCATGCATAAGCTTAGCTTCATAAACCCCGCTCGCTTGAGACAAGCAGCTGTCATATCTTTGCCCCTTGAGCATCCAAAGATTCAATAAATATCGAGTCGAGCTTTTCTTGAATCAAACAAGATGGCCCTTGAAGAATATTCGCTTCCCAATGAAGCGGCTGAACTGCTACGCAAAGGCATCCTGCAAAACCCTCTGCTGGCTTCGAATGTCCCTGCAGATGGCAACACCCTGGCTGCGTTCGTGGAATTCTCTGGAAACGCAAAGCCCAGCATCCCGGTGAACTGGCGCTTTGCGGAGAGTATCTCCGCCCTTAAAGGCCTAGAAGCTCTCTGGCTGAACGCTTTGCTGAGATCGAAATATAACCGCGAGCCTGTGCATGTCCAAATCGATACGTGAGGGTCCTTTATGTGTCTCTGTTTCCCAGCCCATACAGATCACTACTAAGCAAGACGAGGCAGCGACCATGCGACCCTTTTTATCATGTCCACCCTCTTACTTGATGTGGTTGATGACCAAGGCCTGACACTTGGTGCCTCTTCGGGTCCAATACAGCGCCTGATGAAGATTTTCCCAGCTCCTGGCGAAGATCCCGAACAGGGTAGTCTATATCGTGCGGCGCTCACCAACATCTACAAGACCAAGGACGCTCGGTTCTACCACGTTCACGGTAAGCTTGTCCTAGACAAATGAGTGAACGTCGGGCGGGCTAAAGCATTGTCATTGTAATGCAGGCAGCCTAGATGCAACCCCTTCACTGACCGCATTAAACCTCCCTCTGGAGTACGATGCGCCCTCAACACTAGATGCAATCGAATTGATTCAACACCGCGTGTCAGAGTTTGACTCTCAAGAGCTCGACGCATTGATGAACGAGAAATTCCGCCAAGCCGGGACAATCTGCTACACGACGGACGAATACATGAATACTGATCATGGGAGACAAAACGCGGATGCCGGTCTGTACGAGCTTCAGCATATTTCCAGCGAAGCCCAGAAGCCGGTTTGGTGGAACAGCACCCCTGACACCGGGGTTGCTCGCCCGCTTGCAGGTCTTAAGGTAGTGGATCTGACACGCGTGATTGCTGGTCCCTCCATTGCACGGGGACTAGCAGAGCATGGCGCCAGCGTTATGCGCGTGACTGGCCCCGGGGTTCTTGACGCTTACGCACTTCATGCGGACCTGAACTGGGGGAAGTGGAACTGCTCGATCGATCTGAAAACAGAGCGAGGGAAAGAGGAGCTACGCCAGCTGATTCGCGGCGCAGACATCGTCCTTGATGGGTATCGGCCAGGTGTGATGGAGAAGCTTGGGTTTGGAAGGGAGGCCGTCCTGGAAATTGTGAAAGACAGACCCTTCGGATTGATCTATGCTCGTGAAAACTGCTATGGCTGGCACGGGCCCTGGAAAGGCAGAAGTGGGTGGCAACAAATCAGTGATGCGGTATGTTTCCCTGTCCTTGATCCATGTTCGAAGATAACAAGCTAAAAAAGTCGTTCTGTGGCTGAGCAGGTATGCGGTGTCTCTTATCAGTATGGAAGGGCAACAGGCCACGATGAGCCCGTCACTCCGATATTCCCAAATTCTGACTACTGGTGGGTGCTTCTAATGTTGTTTGTGACTGAACCACGGAGTATTTAACTCGTTTTTAGTACCGGTGTCGCTGGGCTCTGTGGCATCATCGATGCTATCATCCAGAGGGCCGAACGAGGGGGCTCCTTCTATGTCGATGTAAGTCCGCAGCCAGTCTCATTCCAAATAACCAGGACAGCCCAGGCTAACATCGTTGAGACGGCGCTTAACTACTATTCACAATGGCTAGTGAATTCTGTTGGAGAGTATCCAAAAGAGGTCTGGGAAGAGGTATGGCAGAGACACGGTCGGCTGTCATTCCGCCACTACGACAATATGCCTGCGACGATCCCGGCTGTCATGAATTCACTCTCGACCAACTGCGCACCACAGCTGTTCCAGCCTCGCTTCTTCGAGGTTCGCTATTCGGCTGCCGTGGATCGCCATTTCAAGTCTGTGCGGCCTATTCTCACATTCCCTGGCAGCGAAGTGACCCCCAAGTTTAATGTGGGCACCCGGAGCAACGGGCACGATGCTGCCCGTTGGCCAGATGACCTTCGCCAGGAGATCATTGCTTAAGGCTGGCGATAATTGCCATGCGGTCTGGTTGCACTGGCGTCGAGATAATGAGAAGCTTCCAAGGCCAAGCGTCGTAGATGTCCTGTAGAAACTAGTATGACTGAGAGACCAAGGATTGGAAATTCTTTTCTCAAGAAGGCAGGATCTCATTCATGACATGACAAGAAGAACCAGAATGCAATCTCGGATCACATTCTCAGAATCTCCGCAAGGCCTGGGCAACCTTGATCAGAGGCATTATGTGCTCTGCACATTTTCATAAACCTTAAATTGTCCAAATAAGGCAACGAGGCACTAAGCATGAGAAGCTCATCGGGTGCTGCGATAAGCGAGATTGTACTAAACTCTTATCACAAAGCTTATCAGTCTGCCTCTAGCAAAAGTAATGCCGCATTTCTCGAACAACCAAATGCGATCTAACTCCAAATAATTATAACAAATGCACATTTAACCGGTTACATCCCAGTCCACAATCCCAATGCCACCCAAAGACAGTAATCAAGCAAAAACACCCAAACCCACCAACCCACCCAGCAGAGGGAACAGCGACCGGGCGGCATTCAGCCACGTCCACTTCCACAGCAAGCCCTCGACCTCGGCGTCGGCGTCGGCGGTCCACTCAGACTCGTGGCGTGCCCACTGCGTCAAGCGGTCATTGGTCTTCTTCATGAACGTCAGCGTGAACGGCACGATGCCCAGCACCAGCGCCGCGGCGGCGCAGTAGACCTTGGAGCTGTGGCGGGCGGTGATCAGGCTCAGCGGGGTGCTCTCGCGCACGCCCCACGCCAGGTACAGAAAGGTGGAGGCGGTGCTGAGGGCGATGAGTGGCGCGCGCTGGGCGCCGTACGTGTAGATGGTGCGCCATTGCTTGACGGTGGTCGAGAGCGGGATCTTTTCCCTGTGGTGCGCTTCGATCAATGGCGGAATCCCCATCAGGCTGAGGGAGAAGATGTTTCCTGGGTTGCGCCTCTGGGTTAGTTGTCTGGGTTGTGACGGTGTGTGGTTCTTCTGTTTGCGGGGAGAGGGAGGGAGCGAAAGTACCGGATAGCCAGGCTGCGCCAGTTAGGCCTACAGCTTGGGCGATTGCGAAGCTTGAGGTTGAAGGAGTGATTGTACTCATTGTGTCTGCGGGCTGTGTAACTCTGTGCTTTGAAAATGGTTTTTATGCAAAAAGGGATTGGGGCTTTGGGATAGAGGCTGACTGCGCAAGAGGAGGAATCCCTCTCTTTATAGCTGACATGCGGCGGTGGTCCATGACGACACGCGCGAACCTTATGATCCGACAGAAATAAAAAGCTTGTCCTGTAAAGGTGGGCCCATGAATTATCAGGAGCGCCATCATGACTCTCTGCAGCTCCTGCAAGGAACTCTGAGGAATGTGATTGAGTGGAAGGGGGATTCGTGGGTTGCTGGGAGGATTTAGCTTGCGCCGGCGTGGCTGACTCGGGTTTTGCGGGCTTTGGAGCGGGTTTTGCATTGTCCGACTGCGTTGAGGAAGGATTGGGAGATTTGTCGGTAAAATGGTTTGCTGATGAGGTGCCTGCCAATATAGTCTCTTGCGAGTAGAATTGGCTACGGTCGCATCTATGAATGAGTAGTTCCAGTAGGCGGGACATGGGGCTTTTTCACATCGCCCGCGGCTTCGTTCGGTTTAACCTTAACAAGGTTACAATAAGCTCCTTTCCTCGTCTCCACTTTGGCAGGCCCAGCTTGCTTGCTCTTTCTTCACGACCAGACAACTCTCGAGGCTTTAGCTCTAGGCCAATGCTAGTTCGCATGCCTGGTTGAACTTGAATATCATAAGTTCGCCGCTTCCTGTCTGGGAGCACGGCTAATGATGCAAAGACGCGTTGACGCGCGTTTCAGACACCCTTTCACAGACTATTCGCACCATTGATAAATTATCTCATCGGTACCTTATATCAAATAAGAATATAATGCAGTGGTCGTCCTATTCAATGGCCCCGCATTTTCGAGGAGCACGCTTTGGCTGTGATGGGCCCTGCACGCAGCTGCACTTATAAACTTGACTTGAAGGTCGGATATGCGGAGACAGCGACCTGTCACTTGCAGGTGCACCTTTATAGCAGGTGCGGAGGACAGATAAACCCACCGCCATGACTCTGACAGACGGATCATCATGCAAGGATGCGCAACAGAAAAGTCACGCAACAATCTCTCAACCTCCTCCCCTCGTTGACCTCAATGACAACATTGGGGTAAGTATGGCTCTCTCTTCTATTATCCTACTCACCCACCTTTCTTCGAACATCACCTAACTCAACTCGCCAATCGAGCTCTCCTGAGGTAGCGACACGCCGATATGCTCTTCTTTCGCTCCGAAGCAGCCACTGTGTCACCTACGGTTCAGGTGCAAGGTTTCCCCAAGAATCCAAGCGCGATCACCGTACAAGCTTATCCTCGCAGCTCTCTTTCATTCAAGTTCCGCAAGACACCGACACGCTTGTCATCCAGAATGACGCTCCCTCGGACAAGGAGTGAGCCATTTCAGGCACACCCTTCTCCGCGTCCGCAATTTAGAGATCCACATCGGCAACCTTGAAGAACGGAAATATGAACGACAAATACATTCCTTCTCACTGGTCCACCTCTCGACTTCTAATAAGTTCCCCAGAGAAGCCCTCACTCGAACCCCACGCGTCCACAAAGATCGAGTCTCGCATCTGATGATTATCTTTCATAAAAGCGGGATACTGAAGGGTAGCCTCGGAGGAAGCGGGCTGAACTTCCCGAAAGAATTGCGCGTTGCAGCGAATGCCACGGTTGGGCGACTCTGCGCCATTGCTAGGCGGCGAGAGGCCACTTTGTACAGGAGATGCAGGATTGGGAGAGGGTTCGGGAGTGAGTTCCAGTTGCCGACGAGACTGCAGGATTCAGGGGCGGTGCAATCGCTCTCGGTTGTGCTTATACTTGCTTATGCTGTTAGGAGCGTTGAGGGGAATTTAAGATTAAAGATCCGGGTGGTGGAATAAAACCCCACTCTTGATTAATCGCACTCCGACTGTCAGGGTTTGGGAGCCTAGGGATCAGTAAATGGATACCGTACTCGTATAAACCTAAGTTTGTTTGTTCCTGACAAGAACCGATGGAACGGAGCAGGCAACGGCTCGGTCGTATCCGTATCCCGATACCAAAATGGTCAGGCCGGCAGCGGGGCTTACGATCTCCGATTCAGCCCAGCCAAGCTAAATGTGTTAGTTCCTCTGCTCTGTAACTCTTGTTGGTACTCCAGTACGTAAGAACAGCCCCCCAAAAAAAGAAACCCGGCTCTTGGCTGGTCCATCTGGACCAGGTTAGGGGAGAAGGAAGAAAGAAGCCTCGCACGAACAGTTGCAGGATTGTTGCTGCAGTCGGTAAAGCAGCCCCGGCCGCGCAATGACCGTGCGGCGCAGGGCTGATGGTACGAATACGATGACGGCAGCGACGCTGAATGTTCATGGGGTTTAAATACTCCCAGTGTGCTCTTCAGAGTACAGAGACAGATCTTGCCGATAACAACTCGCAAAGTAGCTGTGATTTTTGAGTGGCTTTGATAAGTCAGAACAATCATGATGAGTTTACCGGACAGCGACACGGAGAGCACTGTGTCCAGCCAAACCAGGTACTAATTGACTTGTTCATCATCATCCATGATGTCGAGAACCACTTCTCTGATCGATCTTAATGATACAGACCTACCACTGCAACCACTCCTAAAACACATCATCAGCTCTTTCCCTTCGCCTACCCACCTTCCAAGTCGACATCTTGTATCCGATTCACCTCGCGTCTCCTCGTCCAAATCCAACAACTCATCTCCTCTTCGCGGGCCCTCCCCATACTCGAGATCTACCGGCCCTCCAGCTTTAGCAAGTCTATCCCAGGCTGTCCTAACAAACTGCACGGCCAAGACCTCTACGTTGTACAAAGCGACTCCTATCAGAAAAGCCCCGCTACGTCTTTGACTTCCAACAACAAGAACAATGCCGACAATCCAGTGGTAGGAGTGATATACACCAACTACAACCACCCCTGCAGCAACACTAGCGCCGGCGCGACTACTAGCAGCAGCTCCACCGACACCAAATCCCAACAACCCTCATCATCATCATCATCATTAGCAACAACACCATCATCCATCAACAACGCAATCCACCTCCCTCAATTCCAAATCACCTTCCTCGCCTCCCGCACCGCCCGCGGCGGTTACATCTTCCAACTCCTCCCCACATCATCACCATCAACGTCAACCTCATCGACATCCACCCGACTCACCCTCGAACTCGCCAAGAAAAAGCCCAAGCGCAAACCCCCGCCAAGATCCCCTGACACCGATCGGTCCTCGGCGTCTAACAGCCCCGACGGCGACGAAGACAAGAACAAAAACAACGGCAACAAGGCGCCGTCGGATCACAAAGCACCAGAAGAACCGGCGAGTTTCCTACTCGGCATCCGAGGCAGTGTCGATCCCACTACAACCCCAGAATCCACACCACCGCGCTCCCGCCCGTGGCTGGCCGGTGTATCGCACAAGGGCATTAAGGTTCTTCTCGGTGGGGAGCAGCAGGAGCAGCAGCGGCATCGACTGCTGGCCGAGGTTGGAGCAGACTCCAGCGCCGGAGCTGGCACAGATGTCCTCTACACGATTGTTTTGATGTTGGGGGTTTATGCTGGTCGGATGGAGGGGTGGTTTTGATTTTTTTTTTCTTTCGTTCTTTCGCTTTTTGAAAAAAATTTCAGGTCGTCTTCACATACTTTCTGGGATGTATGGTGAATTTACTTCAGTTAACTAACTACTTAGCTTGGTGTTTTTGTCAGGATTAGCAATCTCAGGGAAAGAGGATTTTATGATATCCAATTTGATTAGTAGTTTTACTGGGAAGCTTGGCGTTTTTCGTTTTCGTTTAAACTTTTTCTGGTGTTCTGGGCCACCCCCTTCCTACCCTCCCCCCACCCCAACCTCTCCGTAACGTAACGCCGGTTTCTCCGTCTCCGGAATCCGTTGCTCTTCCGCTTAGTTTGCATATTTGTCTGTGTCTCGGGGCCGAGGGTGTGTTGAGAGATTTACATACTTCTTTTCTTTTGTGTGTTGTGGTGCATTTACATTATACACATTGACTCTTAATTCAAGCATAAACGAGCTTAGAGTTAAGGACAGAGTATGGTCCGATCGATGGTCTGCAGACTGTCCAGCTCGCGGGCTATGAGGAGTTGAGGGATTTACATTTACATAACGTTCGTTTATGCCTCACTATGCGTCGACATGCATTACATTACTCACATGAATTTGATGATTTCATCCGAGTATGAGGTCAAGAATACAATGGGGCCCATCAATCATAATGCATTCTATCTTACTTGGGAAAGGGATGAGAAAGGGGTTCAACCCCGGCATCCTCACTTCGCGATCCCCTCTTCCAACGCCTTGATCTGTAGCGCCAACGTCCGCGAATAATACCGACACAACGCAAGATTCCCGCCCATAAACCAGAGACCCGGGTGGCCGCTGCGGCGCCAGATGGTCCGCATCTCGCCCTCGGCATCCATGCCCCAGATATCGCCGACGCGGTCGGCGACGGCGTCACCGAAGATGGGGCGGGCCTGGGTCCGCATATTCTGGTAGCCTGTGGCGAGGACGATCTCGTCGGCGGGGAGCTCGGAGCCGTCGGCGAAACGCAGGCCGTGCGGTAGGATCTCGGCAATCTCCTGGCCGTGCTTGACCTTGATTTTGCCGTCGGCGATGAGCTGGCTGGCACCGACATCAATGTAGTAGCCGCCGCCGCGCTGGAAGTACTTCATGATCAGGCCGGCGCCTGCGGGCCCGTTGTCGACCTTGAAGCCGGCGCGGTCGAGGCCGTCGAGCACGGCGCGGTCGTGATGGTTCTGCGCGCGCGTGATCTTGACTTGCTGCGCTTTAAGAACCTCCCAGGGCAGACTCCAGAGGTAGAGCTCGGCGTCCTCGGTTGGTGGGCTGTCCTCGTCGAAGAGGCCCTTCAGGCCGATGTCAGTGATCGAGGCGGACGAGATCACGCACGTCGAGCTGCGTTGCACGATCGTCACGTCGTACCCCTTCTCGTAGTAGTCTTGCGCGATGTCGTGGCCCGAGTTGCAGGCGCCTACCACCACGGCTTTTTTGGCTTGCGGTCGCGCGAGGTCGCTGACTCCGGGGAACTCGCTGCTGTGGCAAAGACGATCGCCCTTGAAGCTCTCCAGGCCCTTGAATCTGGGCATCTCCTTCTTACCGGAGTGGCCGGTCGCTTGGATCACGTGGCGCGGTTTCAGGGTGCGGGTCTCAATGCTTCCGTCCTCCTTGCGGCGCTGCAGGTCAATGGTCCAGACATTCTCGGCCTCGTTCCACGATGTGGATTGGACGCTGGTCCGGGTCCAGACGTTGAGCTCCAGGAGCTTGACGTAGCACTCGAAGAACTCCGCCAGTTTGTCCTTGGGCGTGAAGACCGGCCAGTTGGGCGGGAATGGCACGTATGGGAGATGGTCCATCCACACCGGGTCGTGGAGCACCAGCTGATGGTATCGCTTGCGCCAGTTGTCTCCGACACGCTCCTCTTCGTCGATAATCAGGCTGTCGATGTCGAGCATTTTCAGACGGGCGGCCACGCTGAGGCCCGCTTGTCCGGCACCTGGCAATTGAACGTATTAGTAGCTTGATCACACCTGAAGGTCAGCATGCTGATGCTTACCGATGATCAAAACCGGCGGAGGGTTGCCCTCCAGGTTACTCTCTGCGTTTCGCCGGTCCTGCCAGTTCTTTCTGTCCTTGTTCTCGCCATGCTGCACTCCCAGCGGCCGACGATGGCCTACTCTCTCTTCGTAACCAACCAAGTTCTGAAGGGATGTGAAGAAGGTGAAGATCTTCCATTCACTGTTGACTTCGGCAACGCGTACGACCCCCGTTCCGCTGATGACAGGGCTGGAAACTTTGATGAAGAACTCGACGCCCTTGACGTCGCCGAACGCGTCGATTGGGCCCACGTGAGGTGTGCGCAGCCCGGTCGATCGATCAATATCGATTTTGGTGGGCAATTGTGCGGATTTGAGGAGGGCCTGGATCTGGTCACGACCTTTGGCGGTACGGTAGTCCCACGTCAGACAGAGATGGTCACGCCAGTACCCATCTTCCAGGAAGAGACCGCTGATAGCCTCAAAGTCCCTTTGGCTCAGCGCCGTGTTGATCTTATCCACCAGCTGCGAGGCAACACTTTCGGGGTCGACATTGGTGGATGTGAGGGTCGGAGGAAATTGTGCTACCGGGATGTCAACCGAACCCGGCAGATACTGGGCAGAGGTGACGGCCATGATGAATTGAGTGAGTTTCTGCTGATGCACTGGGAGAGGAGAACTCAAAGCTTCGTAGGGAAAAGGCGGGGGAGTCACCAAGTGGCTTTCTCCGGTGTCGGGGAGGACGAAGGGGAGGAAAGCCAGTTTTATCAGTGACCAAATTGCTGAACCCCGCTTTGAAGGACCGATGCGCTCCCCGATGCTGAATTCCAGCTCTTCTGAGCCACTAGCTCTGCAGAGCTGGAAATGGTGCAAGTCCCGCCCCGACAGCTGGCAGTCGAGGTCACACTAAGCTGTACTTTGGGCTCATCTTAGAGGTCGAGATGACAGCGACTGACCCCCACGGTCCCACCACCTTGCCGATCTTTGACATGGGGAAGAAATGGAAGACTCGCCTTGCTTGGTGCGGGGGTCTTTTGCATTCATTGTGTCTCGGGGAAAGCTGCATTCACGATGTTAACCTCGGGTAACAACAATCGAGTTGTTGCGGATGATGAAATAATGGCTGCAGAAGTCTCTCGATCGCGCTAAAAGTTCCTCATGCTGACCATGAACGAACCAATCGCTACCACCAGGCTAAACCTTAGCTAAGTAGCGTCGCCGCTTCTGTGACGACCAAATTGGCTAACTCAGAATACTGGATTAGTCGGTTCGAAAGAGAAGACGACGGTGAAAAAACACAAATAACCGGAGTGAACAAGAAGAAAAGGGGGAAAAAAGGCTACACTCCCACATGCAGTTTCGAACCGCGCACCAAATGATCTCGTGTCATGTGATCTTCTACCCGAGCCAATGGGAAGTTTTCCGCGGCAGAATTAAGGTCCGGGCCAGTCAGTTGATAAGACTACGGAATACTCATCGACCGTGGAGTCCACCAGCTCAGCTTTCATTCCAAAACTACACAGATCCACCTCCTAATCATGTGCGAAATCAATCTGCATCCGATGGCACAGTCTGGGTCTCTGAAACAAAACAATTCATCGGTCGGGTGCCGAGAAGAGGAATTGCACAACTGATCCATGATCCGATCCACCTCTCCACCGAAGGGAATGCAGATCCCTCACCAAGTCCTGCTCACCGCGGAACAGCTCTCAAGAATTGGGCATGCGAAGAACATGTGTTGCCGTGTCACTGACATACTGCACACTATGCGGATCCTCGACTCAGGAATCATTTTCCGTCCCTGCCGAGCAAAGCTTAAGCGCACACCATAAAGTAGGAATCGACAATGTCGACACATGGGCATCCCGACATAATGGTTCATCCAGCAGGTTAGTCCATCTTGTGTCGATGGCGATATGACCTTGCTTTGTAGCCAAGCTTCAGAGCTAGTCTGGCGGGCCCTGGAACTATAACCAAATTGGCCTGCCCTGACTCAGGGGCCTTTATCTTCATCCTAGGTCACTCTATGTTTGTCAGCGACCAAAAGCGCACCCAGGAAAAAACCCAAGAACAATGTCATGCAATTTCCGATCCCCAAGTCCTCCGACCAGCTATCTCGTCCTGAGGCTACACCGTTCGCATATTACCTTGGAGTTCTCATTGCGAACACGAGATCTACTTTTGACCGACACTGCTACAACGCAGCTCGCCTTGGCTATCTATCCCCTTTACACGATTGCCCCCCCGACACTCGGAACCCTAGGCGCAACCTCGCAGAACCTTTCCTCGACGATTTTAATAATTCACCTACTTTAGTATATCATCAAAGCCACCCGTGGCCCTGTTCCTTGTTTGGAATTACGATCCCCGGCATCTCTTAGCGGGCCCCATTGCCATCTGCTCCAGTGGGTCCGATTAGCTCCACTGACGAACTCCCGATCGAGTTGCCGCACATGCCGATCTATACCCTGAGTTCCTCCCCAGCTAGAAATTGCCTAAATAGAGAGCGTATCAAACCGCACTCCGCTTATCCGCGCCATGGCACGGAGACTGGCGTCTGCGGATACTTTTCCTGACGACTCTGTTATTGCACGAATAGACGGCGTGTGATGCCGCTGATCAACCAAAATGCCTCCCTAGGTTTCCGCGCGGGCTTAAGCCAAGCAGAAACCCCTTACCCCCAGGCCCAGTATAAAGCACCGCTGTTGTCGCAGCTGATGGAACAAACTGGTCTTGATCGCAAGTTAGCTTCCGTCCCTCAAGATGGTTCTGCCTGGGCTACAATATTCAGCCTCGGCTGTCGTTGCGACTGTCCTTCTCGCTGCCTCTGCAGTAAGTGCGGGGAACTGCTCAACAGCCGGCATCGCCCACCCCTCAATCCCTGATGGGCAGCTTTTGCACCTATCTGCTATTCCTGTCCCCAACTACCGCAATGACAACACTACTTTGAGCTTTTGCAATGTGACTGTTACGTATACGCATCCCGGAAAGAATGACGCCATTCATACCACCATTTGGCTCCCTCTATCGAGCTGGAATGGCCGGCTTCAGGGCTCTGGTGGCGGAGGTTACGCAATGCGTCACGACGGTTCGGTGCTGGCAGAAGCCGTGGCATTGAACTACTCAGTCGTAGCCACAGATGGTGGCCACAATCTGGTCTCCCAGAATTCAGTCGCCTGGTCCCTTGATGCATCGGATCATATCAACATGGCCCTTCTGGATGACTTCGCCTATGTTGCTCTCAACGACGCGGCCCTGATCGGCAAGCAAATTAGCCACAGCTTCTATGGCTACGGGCCTGACCACTCCTACTGGAACGGTTGCTCCACTGGTGGCAGGCAGGGACTGATGCTTGCACAGCGGTATCCTACGGCCTACAATGGCATCATGGCTGCGTCCCCAGCCATCAACTGGCCTACCTTCCTTGTCGCCGAATACTGGCCGCAGTTTGTCATGAACCAGCTTCAGACCTATCCCCCGACGTGCATGACGGATGCCATCACGGCAGCCGCTGTCGAGGCCTGCGATGGCCTTGACGGCGTCACTGATAGCGTGATTTCTGCTCTTGACCTCTGCAACTTCGATTCTCTCACCTTGGTCAACCAAACAATCTCGTGCAATGGTACCAACCTGAGAATTACCGAGTCAGCCGCTTTGACAGTCAATTTGATCTGGCAAGGCATGCGTTCCTCCAATGGAACAATCCAATGGTATGGTCTCGAGCGAGGCGCCCCGCTCTCTGTGGGCAGCGGTAGCCTCGCCCAAACCATCTGCAATTCCCCTACAGATTGCACGGGTTCTCCTTTCGCGATCTCCTCTGACTGGATACGCCGCTATGTCCTCCAAGATCCTTCCTTCGACCTCACCACTCTCGATCACACCGACCTAGATACTATCCTGTCACGGTCGATCGCGGAATTCAACTCTATCATAGGAACGGACGACCCCGACCTGTCCAGCTTCAAATTGGCCGGCGGAAAGATGATCACCTGGCATGGTCTAGCTGACCCCTTGATCTTCCCCAAGGGAACGGAGCACTATTACCGCCAAGTGCAGGAGCTCGACCCTGCCGTGCGGGACTTTTATCGCTTTTTCCCTGCGCCTGGTGTTGAGCACTGCGAGGGCGGGAACGGGCCGGTACCGGTTGATCCGTTGTCTCAAGTTGTTGAGTGGGTGGAGAAGGGTGTGGCTCCGGAGACTCTGCCTGCGCAGGCTGCGGATGGTCGGACGAGGTCATTGTGTCCTTGGCCGCTTGTTTCAGTGTATAAGGGCGGTGACGTGATGGACGCGAACTCGTATACTTGTGAGGGAAAGCAGAGGAATTGGTTTTGAGTAGTGTCTAGTGACTAATATACACAATTCTTTCTTCTTTTCGTACGGCTCTCATTCTTGAGCATTTTTTTGCTAAAATCGCAAAAGCATTCCTAGTGATTTGGCCAGAAGTGGGACTAGATCGTGATCTTCAACTCAGGTAACGAAATGGTTGGGATGATCGCTATACTGTTATAGGCTATTTACAGTATCCTGGGCTGCTCCGTCATCGCTATCAATTGACTACATCATAACCCAGAGCCGAGCACGGAGCGTTCAGAAGTATACGCTTCGAGAAAGAGACACCACCGTGTCGAAATCCGATTTAAAAGTTCTTTCGTCGAAAAGAGACATGCTATACAAGAGGGAGGCCTTGTGTTTATCAAGTCACTTATTTGATTCAGAGGACATCCTTGTCCTGAGATTCGTCTACAGCTACAGCCAGGCAAAACGCCCATTATTCCCCGGCGGAGGGGTTACTTCACCTAGAAGGAGAGTACCGGAAGATAGTACAGACGCGATTTTTGTTCCATGAAGATAAGAAGTGGTTCCGACTGATGGGCTTTATCTGACTCCCAGCTTCACCTTCTGGGTAGCGGCAGGTTGACTTCAAGTTGGTTTCTTTACTACGGCCAGGTGAGAGTCAACTGCCAATCTGATAACAGCGGAATCAGATTGGATCGACTGTTCTCAATTCATACTGTTCTTTATGACTACATGTCAAGGTCATATACAAACTAAGTAAGAATTGGAATTTTCCACGTAGATATGATGATACTGTTTGCTCTTGCCCTTATAACCCGCCATCCGGTAGTTCTATCAAACTGTGCCGCAACTGCGCAGACATATCGATGGAGAATTCTAGGCGGAGTAACGCCCCAGCCGTTATGAACCTAGATACCGACAGGTTATATGGATACTCTGGGCAGACGGCCCTATAATCAAAATTCTCCCACTTCCCATCCAAGAATCCCGCGAGAACACCGAGCCCGGATCACCAGACCCAACCGGGGGACCATGCACGATGGGTTCCTGTACCTAATGATTCTCAGGAACGAAATAGCCAAAGTTGCATGATCGAGTAGTGAGTACGGTATGCGTAAATGATATTGTTTCCCAAAGCGAGGTAGAACAAGGTTTCTAGTTCATATACTATTGTCATCAGCACTTCTTAAACATCAGCATCTGTTTAGTTCATAATGATATTTAACAAGTTCACACTTACTGCATAGGTATATACACCCAACGAGAGGCAGCTACTAAAGAATGGCAGTGCCGCAAAATCAAGTGCGTATATCTCCCCTGCTTGAGGGGTTCACTGCCTAAGGACGCACCCACGGTTGTATGCAAACGAAACGCGCCAAGCAGTTTGGGGTGTTGGCTCTGATTCCTTTCAGACGCAACATCTGCGATACACAGTGCTTCTTGATACTAGTATCTGTTTTGACCTTTGCTACCTGAAAACAAAGCCAACAGCAATGTTCTTGTATTTAATGCCGCTTCGAACCGATGAGCCGATAGAAGGAAGCCACGGTCGATGTTGGTGAAGAGACCAGCTGCTTTGTTTGTGGCTATCAGCCTTTTCGATTGATAACATTTCTGCTCAACGCCCAGATGAACTGTATGGATTGTAGACGTTTGTACCGAGTTACGATTACTCTCTAGGTGCTTGAATGCCATGGCAGAACCACCTTACGGGGAAGCACGGTTAGTTGCCAGAGGCCTCGGTGACTGAGATGGGCCTGGATTGTCGATTCTGCAACAAGCATCACGGACTCCAAGTCGAGTATGAACAGCACGGGACAGACTCCACAACTTTGCCAGAGATAGAGCTCTTTTGGCGTTCTCCAGCTTGGCTGTGAGTTCCTGGATTAGGGTCTGCTGTTCCCCATCGACATCTTATCCTGGCGTTGTTCGTTACTGACGTTGGATTAAGGGTCGTATTTTATACCTCAACCTCCTCGTCATGTCCAAGGCTGGCGACAAGATCAGTGGAAATCAACTCCCGACAACCAACACGGCATGGAGGAGGAAGTTGTGCCAGGGGACTTCGCCAGGTTCTGATGTCGCAGCCGGATCGAAGAACAGAGTACGAAAGATCTCTCCACTCTCGTACTGGGCTTCGTCATCGTATCCATTTTCTCCTGCACCGACGGGTCCTCGATGTCCTATTCAATTCGCGTTGAGATCTTCATCCATATGGAGTGCCATGGGCGAGGCTGTTGCTATCTGTTGTTTTCCATTATTGGTTCTTGACTTCCTACGTACAGGACAAGACATCAGATAGAATCTAGAATTTACCGATACGACTTATGTCCTTGTAATAATGGAAGATCTAAAATTTCCCCCGCTATACCTACAAGCAACAGATAGAACCACTGAGAAGTCCAATGAAACGCCCCAGCCTGCGACCGGGACCCAGCTTGACATCTTTACCCACAGAATCTGTAATAGAATTATGCTAGCTAGGATCTGTTGTCTCTTTGATACAGATGGAGACTCGAACTTCTGTCTGTTCCAAGCCTAAAGCCCAGCACAACCCCAGGGAGAACCTGTTGTTTGTGGCTAGTGTGGCCCACGCAATCATACGTCCGGCTTAGCCATCAAATTAATCATGTTGTCATAAACGCCAGCAAAAACCTTCCCAACGCCATGCAGCTCAGTTAACCTTTAAATCCGAATTTACTCATCCTGGAAGTCGTCCTAGATTTTCTCCTCCCCCAACGGGTTATTGATGTCCTGTTCAGTTCGCGTTGACATCTTCATCCATATGAAGCGCATCATGGGCGAAATTGTTGCTACCTGTTGTTTCCTCTCACAATCTTGGTTGGCGACTACCTAGGTAGAATGCATCAGATGGAATCAAGAATCAGTTTCCACCACGGAGGCGAAGAACCAGATGCAGCGTGCTCTCCTTCTGAATGTTGTAATCAGAGAGCGTACGTCCATCTTCAAGCTGCTTACCAGCGAAGATTAGACGCTGCTGGTCCGGCGGGATGCCCTCCTTGTCTTGAATCTTGGACTTAACGTTGTCGATTGTGTCTGAGGATTCAACTTCCAATGTGATCGTCTTGCCTGTCAGGGTCTTGACAAAAATCTGCATACCACCACGGAGACGGAGAACCAAGTGCAACGTAGATTCCTTTTGAATGTTGTAATCCGAGAGGGTCCGGCCATCTTCCAATTGCTTTCCTGCGAAAATGAGACGTTGCTGGTCAGGTGGAATGCCCTCCTTGTCTTGAATTTTGCTCTTCACATTGTCGATGGTGTCTGATGACTCGACTTCCAAAGTGATGGTCTTTCCAGTGAGAGTCTTGACAAAGATCTGCATACCACCACGTAGACGCAGGACCAAGTGGAGAGTGGATTCCTTCTGGATGTTGTAGTCGGAAAGGGTACGGCCGTCCTCAAGCTGCTTGCCAGCAAAGATCAGGCGCTGCTGATCGGGAGGAATGCCCTCCTTGTCCTGGATCTTGGACTTGACATTATCGATAGTATCGCTCGACTCAACCTCGAGGGTGATGGTCTTGCCAGTGAGGGTCTTGACGACTACGATGGGGTTAGTGTATGCTCCAGTCGATGTGGCCACCGAAGTGGCAAATCAGCCTGAAAGGTGAACTTACAAATCTGCATACCACCACGAAGGCGAAGCACGAGGTGAAGGGTAGACTCCTTTTGAATGTTGTAGTCGGAAAGAGTGCGGCCGTCCTCAAGTTGTTTGCCGGCGAAGATCAAGCGCTGCTGATCGGGGGGGATGCCCTCCTTGTCTTGAATCTTGGACTTGACGTTATCGATCGTGTCGCTCGACTCGACCTCGAGGGTGATAGTCTTGCCGGTCACTAGTAAAAGATGTGGCGTTAGAACTTGGCCTCAAGGTAGGACTAGTTGAAGGAATGATACTCACATGTCTTGACGAAGATCTGCATGATGAAAGACGTGTAGGAGGCTGCAGTAAACGGTGTAGAAGGATATGAGGTGGTATGGGAGGTGTGTGAGCAAGAAGACAGATGGATCTGCGGGATGACAGATGGGTATGGATGAAAGAAGGAGGAAGAGAGCGAAAGCAGGATAAGGAGGCTTAAGTAGTCAGGCGAGGAGGGAAGAGATGAGGGGAGGCGGTCGGCGGCGGCGGCGGCGGAGGCGGAGGCGAAGCGCCTTAGTCAGAGTCGAGCAAGTGAATAATAGTTAACAAAAGGCAACCACCTGGCAGGGCCGGATAACGTGATGCAAGGGAAGGGGGTGGAAGGAAGGATTCACTTAATTAGGCAGTGAAAGAAAGAAAGAAGGTCCGTGTTAGTCCGACTCGACTCAGGCAGCGCCCCCACCGGGCACCTAGTAACTCCTAGCCCATTCTCTCACCATGGACTAAGTGAGTGAATGAATGGCTGCCGTCTTCATGCCGTGTTCATGCGTCATTTGGCTCCTCCAATCTACTTGACTTACGGGCGCGCTTAGAGGGAATCTACTAGAACCCTCAGGCTAGCTATGTGTAACCATTGGGTGAGTCCTGACTCACCCAATGCTTGACCAGGGGGTTATCTGTCTCCTGAACGCAACCATGCGAGTCTGTTGGTTGACCAAATCTCTGACTGGGTTCAGCCGACGATTATTCACCCTGCTCAGCCACACCTGCCATTCCATGAGGGAAGGAAAAAGAAGAATCATGGATGCATGCCTGCTGGTATCAGTTCTGGCGGCAGTGAAACGGTCTGGGCAACGCCTATCCGTACCCGCCACTGACGCCACCATTCGGCATCTCACCCCGGATACACATGAGTCCCGTCTCTTCGTTCGTGTTCCTCTTTCTGCTCCGGTGGGTAAGATACGATGCTATCTATTCTACCACATTCGTACAAGATGCTGCTATGTGGGATCGTTGACCTCTCCATTGCAAGAGTCCAGAAACTTGGATCGAAGCTGGACAGTCTGGCGATTGATAGCGGCGATGACGTGTAGGGAACTCCTTATCGGGGCTCAGCTGCTATCGGGGCTAGAAGCGGAATAGCGGAGAGACTACTTACGGAGTACCTAGCGTTAAAGAGGGTCAGGTGATCGACGTATCCGGAACACCCCCGCTTTCTCATGGCCGGCTACACCTTGGGGTAATCCTCGCCATCTCACCTGCTACCGAGAGGGAGAAAGCTATCATGACTAGGTCTAAGCATATGCATGTTTAGCAACTCCTATTCTCCATTGTTGCTTGCATTTCCAATAGTATTTATTATAGCCATCGAATCCATCAATTTTCCTCACCACTGAGGACCCCAGACCCCGTGCCAATGGCTAATTGCTCCCTCGGAACCGAGCCCCCGTCCTCTAATCGCATCTCCCGACTCAGAAGGTTCTCCTAGTCGATTAGCTCGTTTTTGGGGCAACGACTGACCCAATTTGAGCCCCGTTGAGAGACCCAAATCTGGCATCGACCTACGCGTGATTCTCAATCGAACTAGAGCTACGCCATTCTATCAGTCCTAGGCATTACGATCTTTACGTAATCGAGCATAGTCAACTAACTTCTCTTCGAGGCTTGAACGTGAGCCTAGAATCATTCCCGTGCCGACCTAGAAAGCCAATAGTTAAGCCACATGCTGACTCTCAACAATTTTATGGCTAAATACATGTCCATAGGACTCGTCTTCAATGATACTAGCTTATCGAATTGGCCCAGTCAGTATACCTTCCTCGTTGTCGTGTTGGATAAGCATAGCGGTGGAATATGTCCTCATACTCAAGTGTCGCCGCAAACCTCAATCGCAGTAAAACGAACACCTGAACAGACAGAACGAAGGATGCACCGGACATAGCTCAGACCGATCCATAAGTCTGGTCGGACTGCGAAGGCTGACGCGCTATCATGGAGCTAGACTCGATTTTGTAACCGGAGGGTTAGGGCCGAGGTCGACATATGAGATAGCGGATCGATTCAAAGATTAGGAGCTGGAGTTGATCAAGACGTAGTTCTATCGCAATCGCGGTGCTCTATAGCAAGCAGAGGCTTAGAGAAGTCGGCAACAATTGCTCGACTTAGCCAAACGACTCAAATGGCCCTGGAAAACCGAGAAGTGAAGCTGTTTGTTGGATAGTATGTCATGTCAGGGTAAGTAACTGCTGCAGCAATAAGTACCGAGTTGAGTGTTTCTGTTATACATCCAACCCCTCATTCATTGAAGAAGCTCAGCTTTGAATCTGGCGCGCTCGCGTCACAACAATATGAAGTATCTGAGCATCTGTTCTAGTGAGATTCAGCTCAAGGCGCGTTTGCCCACGGCTACAGATATCAGGGCTCAGGGGCTGGAGACAGCCAACGCGAGTTCTTGAAGAACAAGCCTACCAAGCAACTTGAGTGCTATCATGCGAATTTGAAGCGTCGAGAGTGACATACCTCTGAAAATCGAACAGTAACAGCACTGTAGCTTAGCCATTCTAGAAACCCTTATATTAGCCCATGCCTTTGGACGCTTCTCTGACATTCCTCATGATCTAGATCATTATTCACTATCGGCGCAGACACTAGAGGCCAGCTAAGTTGGGATAGAATCTCTGGCTGCGGTGGCTCTTGAAGTGAATGTCCTTCCAATTTGTTTGTTTGCGTTTGCGACCACCTTCTCCAAACAAACATGATGACCACCCTTTCCTCAAACATACACTGTCAAACACTACCTACTCGGCTTCACCGCAAGGGAAGAAGTTCTTGTCTTCGCTTCCTCTGATCTTTGCAGGTGCTTCGTGTTCACTATTGGCATCTATTTCTGAGTCCAGTTACGATCCTCGAGGCTTTCTCCTACGTAAACGAAATACTTCCTCACAGTGTGACAGGCTCAGAGCCTCTCACAGTCAATAGGCCCCCACATGTTCGAATGCGAAACATGCACTCGCCGATTCGCGTCGCGGCAAGCATGCTACCAGCACATGGATGCCCAAGACCACTGGGAGACATTTGAATGTGAGACCTGCGATGAAGTGTTTCGTACAGAAGAAGAGGCAGAGGACCACATGCAGGAGTACGATCACTACGCGTACGACTATCCGTGCGAAACCTGCGACGAAGTATTTCACACAGATGACGATGCCGAAGCGCATATGTACGAATACGGCCACTGGGGTCCCACAGTCCCATGCGAAACCTGCGAGAGGACGTTTTACAGTTCCCAGGCGGCCAATCAACACATGGACGCTCTCCAACACTGGGCCCCCCGGTTTGAATGCGAGACGTGCAATGCCAGGTTCCACACACAGGGCGCGGCGAATCAGCATATGGCTGCAAAGGCACACTTCAAGAACTACTGTTCCACCTGCAAGATCAGGTTTGAGAACGAGAATAACTTGCGGATGGTAATAAAGGCACCTTTATATTTTTGGATGGTGATGATGATGACCGAGACTAACTGCCTCTCTCTCTATCCTAGCACCTGAATTCGAAGAAGCACCGTGGCCGCAACGTGCTTTGCCCCTTCTGCAAGGACGCGTATACTACAGCCAGTGGGCTGGCTCATCACCTCGAGACCGGCTCCTGCGCTCGTGCTCCGCACCTCAACCGCGAATCCATACACAAAATTGTCCGCCGTCTCGATACACAAGGCACCATCACCAACAAGTTGCTAGAGTGGCACGACAGCGACTCTGGTGAATACCTGGCCTCCTCAAACGCCTACAATGGCAGCGCTTGGGAGTGCTATATATGCCATAAACCCTTCAGCAATGTTTCGTCGCTCAACCAGCATCTGAACTCGCCTACACACAAGCAGAGGATCTACCATTGCCCCAATGTGAGAAAGTGTAAAAAGCAGTTCCCCATTCTGGCCGCTTTGTTTAATCACTTAGAAAGCGAGTCCTGTTCCTATATGAGGTTCGAAAAAGTCCAGAAGCATGCTCAAGACCTCTTCACGGGCCGAAAGCTGATGGGCTTTTAAGCAATCTTTTCGAATATGGCGGGTCAACTGATAGTCATATTATGAGGCAGAGCTGAGCGGTGGAAGAGGAGTATGACGAATTCATGTGTGGGTGTTTTATTCGCGAATTTCAGATTTGTGTACCGTTTGTGCTGGGATGTATGTTCAATATCCCCAGCTGTCGTGTATCGCCGGTCATTATTCAGTCTGCATGGCGAAGAATGGATCCTTAACCTCGTAGAGCTCATACCCAGAGAGCAAGGGACATAGATTGCAGGAGATTGCAGTATCAGTAGTATCCAGCCGGGTTATACATTCAGATAGACAGAAGCCAGAGCACTGTAACAACGAGATCAAAGCCAATTTTCGCTCCGTGGACTTCAACAACCCCCTTAAAAACAAAGCTCGCTGCTGAGTCTACTCTCCCAAACAAGACCTCGTGACTTCAGAGCAGCCGTGCTACCATCGATTTCTTATAGATACGCAACACTGTCCTCTATCAGCTTAATGTCACCCACGTTTGACCCAACACAAGCCAGACGCTTCTCTCTTTCTTTCACAAGCCTGAAGCCTTCCTTCAACAACCATCTTCAGGTGCTGAACCGTCCAACGCCCAACATAGCGCTCTCAGCACCATGGAAAACCCCTCGATTCACCCGAGGGTGACACGCAGCGACCCCTTCTTGCAGACGAAACATCGAAAATTCCATACCCACATTTGACAAACTAGCCCCTCTCACTCACAAATATCTACCTAGCCTTTCAAGACAATGCCTAATTGTGACCATTTCCGTCTGAATCTGCCCTACCCTTCTCGAATACAATCTCCAAGGTCATTACTACTACCCTTTCCCAAGATGATATCTGAGAGAGGGCACTGAAAGAGTACCGAAGTGACGTTAGGAAGAATTTAGCTCTCGATCACATTGAGGACAAGAAGACCAAACAGCCCTGAAAGATGGGATCATTGGTAGATAAGAGACGCCCTTTATCATGATTCCACGGAAGAAGGCGGTTAAAGTGCATGTGTTGTGCAGCCATGAAGCAGATACATACATACTTCCAGCCCAGCGCTAACCCTCGATGAGAAAGGGCTGCTACGTCTTGCAATCACCGTGCGTGAGTGAGAAGGGGGAAAGGGAGTCGTGCTATCTGTGGTCAGTTGCTTCAGGGGAGGCGTTGGATGAATGTGCTGTCTAGGTCTCTGGAAAGTCTGTGCTCCATACTAGACGAAAAAGACAGCATTTTCGTGAGAGTAGGAAGTGATTCGAGGATGTTTGCTGGGCACCTGATAGATCGGAGTTGTCGGTTGTATCAGGCAAATGGGTTAGGGGTGTTTCCCAAGGCTGACTACCTATTCTATGAATTGTAAGATTTGTGCTTCGTTGAAGGTGAAGGCGGTTGGGTAATAATGGCTCTTTCGAGAAGGGTTTATTGTCTAGAGGACTCTTAGTCGCTTTTTCTAGCTCAGGGCTGCGTTGATACTCTTCCAACGGGCAAGATATCTATGCTGCAGTGGAGTGAGACTTGGAACAAAATGCTCGGGTTTTGCGCTGCAACTTTTCCTGTCGAGGTTACTGCCGCGGTGAATATCTGCTTGAGTATGAATCTCGATGTGCCTGAGTAGGGTGCAATAGTTCAAGTACGGACACTGCAGTTCAATGCTCCATGCTTTGAGCACGGCGGATAATCCTAGCGGTCTGGCACTAAGCTTATTCCTGGAGTCACTGACACTTAAGCGCGCGTCGGTGCGAATCCAGGTACAACACTGCCCTGTCTAATGATTGAACAGACAATTTGCAAGCGAAACCCGATATCACGAGCTGGGTTGGTAGAGAGAGACCTTTCTACAACTGTCCCTCCCGGACGACGGCGCAATCCCTTCGGATATCGTGACCAAATATCTACAAAAAAGTTACCGTACGCCACAAACCGCAAACAAACAAGCCCGGATCCATAATTGATCATCCGAAAATCTGGTACAATAGATCGGAGGGGGAGCCTTAAGTTCATCAGATCGGATCGATGTCGGATCCAGCGCCCTCCCGGAGGAAGATGGGGGAGCGACGGGCCCAAGTCAGTGCGCGTCTTTCCCTCTGGGTCCAAGGCGAAGTGGGATTGAGCGCTTGATGATAGATAAGAGAAAACAGTAAAATCTCGGCAGTTGGAGCTGCAACTTTGCCTCTCCGCAAAAGGGGGAGGGGGAGCAAGTGAAGTTTCAGATCGAGCGAAGGGTCGAAGAATCGAAGTACTAGCAGGTCCACCGGCTGCTGCGCGGGCACTGGCATCCAATTCAGCTCGGTTCCACGGAGAATCATGCCAGCGAATAGCAGTTGGAGGATTCCCATGGCGCAGGGAAAAGAGCCTATCTAGCTCTCGAGACTACTCCGTTATCTGCTTACTTGTCATTTGCCTCTCCTTCAGTCGAGTAAGCTACAGTTCTTAGTAACTTGTTGCTCACATCCTCATTGCGCTTTAACTGGAGGGAAGGGATGGGGATCCCTTTTCCACCTCCCCTCCTCTTCGCTCCTTTCTTCAGTCCGTTGGGTCCGGTGAATCAATAATGGATTGACTGTGAATCCGACCGACACCTTGGACTGGACTATAAGCGATAGTCTCGCGCCCCTCTCTATTCTCCTCTCCCCCTCTCCCGTGACCTGTCCGAATGTGTAGTTTTTGTATGTTATCCCCCTCCCCGTCCTGATGATGGACGTGCGTGCTTGCGGCGCATTCAAGCGAAAAAGAAGCAAGCATAAAGGAACACACAGGCGTGCGTCAGACCATATGCATTCGACAGTATGGTCTGAGCCTGTCATAATCAGGTACTTACAGGGAGAGGCCTTTCACCCTTGTCGTATCTATCTATATGGCATTGCATTATTGCCGACTGTCCAGGATTCTGTACCATGTAGGTTGAGGTCCAGATTTAAATCTGGGACTACAAACTAGCAAAGTAGCAATCAGAATTAGGGGTAGTAGTAAAGCGGGCATCGCGTGGTCCCGAACCAATTGAACATCCAGGTAAAGGAGAGGTTTTTTTTTTTAAAAAACCGCTGCTTTTCTGTTTGGACTCTTGCACCAAGTAGTGGAGAGTTGTCAGCGGTGGTGGTGGTGGTGGTGGTACGGAGGACCGGGGACCACATCAAGTCTACAATTCTTAGGTCATGCCCCGAACTAGCCTATCCAGCGTCAAATCTCACTGATGAGTGACTGACTGACGGTAGTCCTTCCGACGGTACGACGTCGGGTCAGACAAGGTTCCATTCTTCCTGCAGGCTGATGTCATGGCTCGTGGGGTGAAAGGGCTAGTGATACGATACTGATCACACGCTGGGCGGAAGACCATCTACGTTGATCGGGGTATTCGGGAGAAGGGGTGTCAAAGCTCAGCTGGGATACTACTCGTAAGTAGAAAGAGAGGGGTCGGAGGGGTCAAGGTCGATAGTAATGTGCTTAGGAATAATTACTCGCTGCGATGATTTAGGGAGATCATGCACCAGAATAAAATGGTTGCCGTGATCAGCGCGGATGGGCGCTCTGTTCCCCCTGATGAACATGACCTAGCATATCAATCAGCGAAGTGAGCGTTCGTGACCTGAGACAAATGGTTGATCCACCCGAAAATTGGTTAGATGCCTTCGAAAACAAAAACAGTCTGCATTGTACGGTGTAGTTAGTGAAATACAGTACTGCCGATAGTGAACTGAAGCTTGAGAACTTCCTAATTGAATTCTGTGATTGACGGCGAGAATCGGCCGGAGCGAGAAAAGCCACCTGTACTGTATGGGGGGAGGGCACATCTTCCCCGGTAAATTTGGCCCTATTGTGCTGTCAGTGGCGCTGACTCGCGCAACCACAATGAATCCCGACCGGAGGCACATGATTTGAATCAGACATTCAGACAGCTCTCCAGGCTTGCACACTCTTGTACTCTCTTTCTTATCATTCTTCTATGAATTGACCCTATAGAGTTCACCGATAGTAGACTAAGTCAGTCACTAAATTGAAGAATGAAGAGAGTTTGCGCCGGAGGCTGAGCCGGAGATGGGAATGAATGGGAAACGGCTCAAGCTTGGGATGTCTTGGCAAGACCCCGCTAACGTCAGCGGCGGTCATGATTGGCAGTATTTTCTCCCCGCTATGATGTCATTCAGCTTCAGCCTCTTTTGATCATTGGTGTGATTTGCCCGCCAGGCCCCAGTGGGCTTTTCCGTCGCTATTCATGCGCCGGCGTCCTTGTTGTGCTGTAGATTCTGGATCGCTTCATCTTTCTGCAAAAAAAAAAAAAGAGCAGCCAGGGCAACGGCTATGTTCCATGACGACGGCTTACCCTCCACTGATTTCCCCAGCCGTAGATATATAGATAGTCTCACTAAGTTGTGCACCCTTCAATTGGTTTCGTTTCCTAAATTTTCGCAAAGCGAAGATGCGCTCCATCCATTGACTATGCGACGGGCCCCATCATGGCCGCCCTAACACCAAAACCCCCATGTTCAACGGTCTCTATTCTCGTCTAGGACCATTCCCCATCCCCGCAGGCAACGGACGGGCGGAATCATGGAATCGAGTAGGGAAGGATTCCTCGTTTTACCTCCTCTGATGAGCATCAGCTTCCCTGGTGTTTGCACCATTGGTACTAGGCCAACTAACACCGGTCGACCCCTGAAAGCCCGAAGGGGCCCAGAACCCTCCCTTTTTGGGCAATGTCGTGGCAACTCACTGCAAACCTGAACAGGGTCCAAGGTCGGCAAGTCCGCGACAACTGCTGGTGGTGGTGGTGGCTGGAAGTCGGACAATTCTCGTTGACGCGGAACTTCGCAAGCATCATCGTTGTCAACCGAATGGCACTAGATGCATGGGCCGCTGCTATACCCGAGCTTTTCCCAGCCGGACTGTACTCCTTTCCTTGATTTCAAGGCAGAGTTGTATACCTCTTACCTATACAATTGTGTACCAGGGTAGACCTCCGGGGTTCCACGTGCCATCAAGCGAATTGCCTTGATGAAGGTTGCTCTGAGGTTCTAAGAGAGGACTGGGCAGTGGGTGGTGCACATACAGTGGTGGAGATCCGACGCCCATGCCCGAAGGGAAGGGATTTCGAAGATGGACACACCCTACGTCAGTTGTGGCCCTATGATTTCAACGTGCATCACTCCCGGATGGAGATGCGAATCGGGTGTTCCCTCGTTTGACTCTGTTCGCAGAAGCCAGGGAACAATGCATGGTGGGGATAGGTAAGCAAAAGTAAGACAACGGGGGGTTGTCCAGACTCTCTCAGACATGGCATACTCACCATTACTGACCATTACTGAGGCAGCCTGGGCACATAACTCTCTCTCTGTCTCTGTCTCTATCTTCCGAAAGCCGAAAGAGAAGCAATTCGACTGGATCCCTCCGTGACCGTGGACCGTGGGGTCAACGATGATGGAATTGTGCATTCTTGGTTCGGTTAGTCCACCATGGCTGGCTTGATGAATGGACGCCCGCTGTTTGTCCTTCCCTTTTTCGATGCCTTCTCTCGCTTCCCCACATCCATTCCCAACCAATCGCTAGCTTCGATATTTGTGGGATGTTTGACCTAGATATTCTGAGGCTTTTTTTCCCTTCTCCTTCACTCTATGGTGAAGTCTCGGTATTCGGTCTGACTCCGTACACGAGCATTTGTTGCGCCTCCATACAAGATGGAAAGTGATGCGAAAATTTCTTGAGTTGATTGATGATGCGAGTCGTGTAGAGATAGCTTTGACATACTGTCAAAAGCTTCGAGAACAAGCACTGATGGAAGGTATAGACTGGGATGTCATTCAGTGACTCTCGGGATGACGCCAGAGGATCCCGTCATCGGGTGTTTTAAATGCTTGAGTCCCGCTCTTTCTTTCCATCCCCCCTCCTTTCCTCTTGAAGGAGACTCACTGATTTGACTGATCGTCGTCGTCGTCCTTCTGCAATAATAATAATTCTCATCTTTCTTCCCCCACACCATTCATCCCACCTCCCCGAGGGTTTGTAAGCTATCATTATTTTCATATTTGATCGTTCAACTTTGTTCATCTCAATTGAACTGTTTGAACTGTCAGCTTTGCTTCCCTCTGATTGGAGTGATTGACATCAAAACTCCATCTCTGATGTGGCCGTCCTGTATGATGCTTGCTGCAGCCCACTGTGTCGGTGTCCAATAAATTGACCGCTTCGCACGAATATCCATCCTGTCACTTATTTTTTCATCTGAGATTCTGCTCTTTTTTCATTTTTTTTCCCTCTTCCCACTCACTGATCCCCTCCCGAGTCCTTTCCTCCCCCCTTCGGTTCGTCCCATGAGGGCAGATCCACCGTCCCAACCACATTTGCCTCATAATTCTAATCCCTAATTGAATTCATCGAATTCTCTCTCCCCCATTCTATTCTAACGGTGACTAAAATAAGGAACTTACCCGTAAGTCCACTTAGAAACCCAAGGCACTGCGTGCTCTGTGTCTTTTCCTTACCTCGCATCATTTGTGATCTTGTTTCCACAAAAACCCCCCCGGAGTATTTTTCTATTAAGATTTTGACTGTTAATTGCAAATCGTGTTCATCATCGGGGCTAATTCTGCAACCTCTCGAGTTCTCAGATTACACCTGACCACCCTGCAACTGGAAAACAGTAACGGAAAAGAAGAGAAACAAAAGGTGCTTTACCTCCTGTAAGGTACCATACAGTATCAGTTTATTCATTATTTTTTTTATTTGTTTATCGGTTGTCCGCCAACCCAGCCCACTTCTCCCTCCCCTCCTCCCTCTCTGCCCCTCCACTTTTCTGGTTCCTCTTTGACGGCGCGCCTAACCAAACTGTAAAAAAGAGAGAGGAGAAAAAAGAAAGCCAGAAAAAAAAAGTGAACAGAAAAGAAGGGGAAACAGAAATTCATATGCTTCTGTTTGCTCAACCGGTGTCCTCCCCTCAATCTTTCTCTCTTGATCCCTCTCTCGCTCCCTCCCTTCCTCATCTTCCCCTCCTCCCTCCTCGCTAATACAACGTTTCAAGGTCACTTGTCCAAATCGGGAACCTTCCTCTCCCATCGCCTCTTTTGCCTTATCGTCATCATCTCTTCTTCCCCTTCCTCCCTTAATCTATTATAATTTGCTCTTTTACCGTCACAAGTGTTCAGAGCTGGTTGAAATTATTTGATACCCAGGCAGTTGACCTGTTGAAAGAAGGAAATCGGGTTCAAGGTGGGAAAAGTCCCTCGTCATGCTTGTTTGGCAATCGCGATTGTTGTTCTTTGCTTGAAGTCTCGAAATCTGGCCGTCGCCGTCGTCTTTTACCCCTCCCCTCTATCCTTTCCATTACCTTATCCACTGTTCACCTTGCGTGACTCTGTCTCCTCCTGATCCACGCAGCTGTTCTCCCTGCCTGGTCTCCATCGGGATCCATTTAGTGTGTGTGTGTGTTCGGTGGTCGATTGATATCTGCAATCTGCACTGCACCCCTCCTCCCCAATTCTTTTCCCTTCCCTTCATCTTTCCACACGCCACCTTCAACTCAGATCCCAGTCTCACCGTTTCCCTCTGATACCATACCCCAGGTGGCAAAAGCATATCAGGAGTAACACCTACAACCTGCAAACCAACTAGATTCCTTGTCTGTTCCTCTCTTTTCCCTCACGTCCTTGTCGCCTGGCACTTCATTTCACATACTCCTTCCAGATAGTCTACCCCGAAGTGGTGGGCTTTTCCTCTTTCGTCTTGCGTGCACAGCTGTTTCTACAGTGCTGTTTAACCTGGTTCTCTGTTCTCTGTGTGCTACTGGGTTGACCTGCCTGAATCCCCGTCGTAACACCCTCGTGGCGTAGGGTCATATCACCAGGATCGAGTCGCGCTGCTCTTTGCCATTGCTGTTGTTGCTGTAAAACTGTTATGCGAACCGGAAAAAGCGAACACTGACCAGAGAATCATCTACAGATTCGTGCCGTGTAATTTTTCCCAGTATACCGTGTTCGCAGGCTTCCGTTTTGGTCTCGGCGAATACCCGGAATAGACCGACCCACAGTGTCGAAACAAGACAGCGCGCAAGAGCCATACATCCAGTTCGGGTGATCGCGAGAGGGCGTTTGGACTTTCCCCTCCCCCGCCAACACGAGTCACTTCTTCAAGTCGATCCAGCCAACCGAGTGACAAGCCTCATCTCATCACCACCGATTTCCACCGATTCCCACCATGGCTCCCAGCACCAGCACTAAGACCGTGGAGGAGTCTGTATGTGCTCCGGGTATCCCTTGTCTCTAAAACTCTCTGTTGATACTAACTGTGCGCTAGCCCAAGGAGAAGACCAGCAGCACTAACAGCACCACTGCTACCAACGAGACCAACAACAACAACAACATCACCAACACCACCACCACCAGCAGCAGCCCTGCCGCTGCCGCCGCTGCTGCCGCTCCTGCTCCTGTCGAGACTTCCAAGGGCAGCAGCAGCAGCGGTGGCGCCTCTGCTGCGCCTGCTACCGCGACCGCCCCCAGCGCTCCCGCCACTAACCCGCCAACCACGCTGGCTGAGATGTCTGAGACGATCGACCAGAACACATTCGAGCAGATCCTCGAAATGGATGACGAAGGCGACAACGAATTCAGCAAAGGGATCGTGTTTGGATTCTTTGATCAAGCAGAGAGCACCTTCGATAAAATGGAGAAGTACCTGTAAGTCTTTCCTACTTCTTTGATTCATGAGCATCAAAGAATGTTGGGCTGACCACAGACCCCATAGAGCGGACAAGGACTTGGGCGAACTTTCTTCTCTGGGCCACTACCTGAAAGGTTCCTCCGCCACCCTGGGACTGATTAAGGTGAAGGACGCCTGTGAGAAGATCCAGCACTACGGAGCCGGCAAGGACGAGACCGGCACCAACGATGAACCCGACCAAGAGGTGTCGCTTGAGAACATTCGGAAGACCTTGACCCAGGTCAAGAAAGATTACAAGGAGGTCGAGGATTTCTTGCGCAGATACTATGGCGAGCCGTCCTCTTAAACCACAATCCAGAATATCACTTCGAAAAACCCAGAAGACGAAGGGGCAAGGTAGAGAGAAGAGTCTGAAGCAAGCAGGCCGGGTTACTGTCAGTTAAACTGGATGATGCCGCGTGAGAGAGTGAGGCCACACACTCCGTACAAAAAGACCCAATGCAAAATCGATCACATACGAGCGGAGAGGTGACCACGAGCCAAAACACCCCCTCAAAAGGTAGTCTTTGCCATCAAAGCTGCACCGCAAGCGAAGAGAAAGGGAAGGGTATCAACAACATCTGTTTGTGTTTTGTCTCATGCACACCATCATCCACGTCAACGTCATGAATCATCATGAGGGTCGATCGCACATTTCTTTTATTTTCGTCTAATACCCATCCCCCTTCCCCTCTCTTCGTTTTTCCATCTCTTCGCGTTAAAATCTAGCCCGATGTCTGTTTCTTTTTAGACCTACTTGTATGTGAAACCTTCGAATCCTCCAAGCAAAGGGAAATTTAGGATGAGACAGATAAACAGACACACTCCCAAGGTAGATGATATGGTTTTCTCTCTCTCTCTCTCTCTCTCTCTCTCTCTCACTTTCTCTCTCTTGTTGTTCTACCTTTATCTCGCCAGTCTAGTGGTAGTTTGTTGACTCGGTTTTGCGCAACGGGGGAAGGAAGGCGGAGGGAAAGATGGGAATATTCGGCCTGCCAACGTCAATTGTTCGTTCGTGCGGCGGCTCAAGGAGGAGAGATGAAGGGAGACGATGTATGAGTGGATGTGTATGCATGTATAAGAGAGAGAAAGAGAGAGAGTGTGTGTATGGGTGTGTGTGCGCGCGTGCGTGCCTTGTGAGTTCGTGGGTGTGGTTGGGTAGAGATGTGATCTTGTCGAACCTGTTACTCCGTCTGAATGTACCACCCCTTGGCTGTCTCACTTGAAACCTTCACACAGAGGACCAGATTGCGCGACCATTCGAGAGCCGAGGGGTCTCAGTGAAGGATAGAGATCTGCTGGGGGGAAGGAGGAAGGTGTGGATAATTCGGATTGTTGTATGCAAAGACGGAAATCGAGAGTCGGATTATCTGTTTGTCTGTCTGTCTGTCTGTCTGCGAACGAACGCCTTGGCCCGGTCATGGTCATCATTATTATCATCTTCTTCTTTCAGTGAGTGGAGGGGAGAGGGAAAAGGTACAGTGGGTTGGTGGTGTTGGTGGAGTTTTCCCCTGCCATTTCAGCTTTCAAGTCCTTTTATATTTCTTCCTGCTTCCACAGGGCAAGCATTTCTTCCAAGTTCCTCTTCTCCTCCCCACTTTCTCTTCCCTGCTGCATCTCAACCTTATTCTCTTCCAGGTATGGGTTGACTGATGACCGATTGATCGCCCACAAGGGTAGAAGCAGTCAAACTACATCCGACCCTGCAATCCAGACCGGACGGAGTGTTCGTTTGAATGTTTTTCCCGTTATTAGCGAACGGCTCTCTTTTTGTTGTTGTTGTTCCTCGGATCAATCCGTCCGTCCACCCTCCTGCGTTCCTACCTACCTACCTACCTACCTACCTACGCATCTATCCAGCAGATCAATTGAACCCTCTGGCGGATCAACGTATCTCCTAGCCAGGCGACATACACTTTCCTTTTGACAGATGGGCCTTTAATCCGGTTCTTCTTCTCGATTCACATCCAGGACTCTTGACTTAAAAAAAGAAAAACAAGAGATAAAAAACAAAACGGGTACAGTTTGGTTACACAACCGACGGTTAGACCGGGGAAGAGACGGTTCGCACACCCACCCTTTCGCTGCTTTTTTGTTTGGTTGGAACTCTGCCAACCTCATCTCTGAGTTCTTTGATGAATGTCTCGGTTGATCACTGATGGTAAACAAACAGGATATCGGATCGAGAATTCTTCGTTGCAGCTTTGTACTATCGTGGATTGAATCAAGATTGCCATGCCTGTTCGTTCTGTCTGTATGCACATTCGCCCCTAAGCTGGAAAACAGCAGAGGAAACGACAGGAGAGGCTATGTTACATGCCAAACCTGCACCCAGTCACTTCATCAAGTCAGTCGAGCATGCAAGTAGAGTCTTGGGAAGGGTCGCGTGACTCCTCCGAAGCACTGGACTGTGATTGCGTTGTGCACTGGATACGCTCTCTCGCCGAAGTCGAGAGGCGACAGCCATCTTATCACATCTCCTTTCTCTCCCTCCCTTGTCCTGGGAGGTAATCAAGAATGGCCTGATAACCGATCTTGCCTCCAGGCCACACATCTCCTGACGATCGGATAGATACATACACTCCCCACCATCACCACCCCATCTCGACTGCGTAGGACGGATGACGGATGATTCCGACCCGGGGTTGCTGGGATTCAAACGGTCTTGATGGTCTGCGAGAGTGGAACTCAGAGAGGGAGAATTCTTGGATTCTATCTTGCTGGGGGCAAAGATGGAGAGGTTTAGTGAAGGGTGAGACGAAACACCAGACTCAGTTTCCATCACATAGATCCTCCCTCTAACCCAACTCACAACAGACCCATCACCTCGAACCCATAACCAAAATCAAAATCCTCGTCATGTCCATTCCACCTCGTCGTACAACTAACTCTCTTACCATCCACCTCGATTTCTCCCAGTTTTCAGATCCATCCATCAACCACCCCAGAGTCCATTGTCCAATCCGGAAAACAGGAAAACAGGAAAAAAGCTCCAGGGACAGGGCCACCTGTTTGATTTTCTATCCCTCCCACCACCCTTTCCCCTACCTATACTCGACTTGTTTACTTCATCGGACAGAAACAAACCCCTGCCGACCCAAGAATCCGTTCCTTCTTTTTCGTTCCCCCAAGTTCTCCTCCCCGAGATTGATACAACCCAGGGAAGTCCTTGAAGGGGGGGTAGGGGGTGGAGGAGGAATATGGCCTGACCGATAGATCTATATATCTACCAACCCGAGCCTCGAATAATTTGAACTCGCATCCCAGCATCGATTTCTTCTTTCTCTCCGTCCGCCGTCTTTCCTTTCTTCCTCATCTCAATGCATTAATACCATCATTCCCTTGATTCGAATTCATCCCACCTGTCCTTATTGAGTATTGACATCGATACTAAAACCCCCACCTCGCCTTCCTCCTAAAGCAGAGAGGCCAGACTCAAAGAACAATACATCCAGTCCCAAAAAACCGCACTCGACCCATCAATGGCCGTCGGCCCCCGTGCCTCCAAAGAGGAGTTCATGCAAGCCCTCGGCTTGAACTCGCACGATCCGCAGCATGAGCAGTATTACCGCGCCATGAGGGTGAGTCCACGTCATAACTCTTAAATGATATGTTCTCCAAATCCACATATACGAAATACACATACACTCAACCCCATTTCACCCCACTCTACCTGGATTCCTAAGTCCAAGCTTCCGTCCCGGGGGAGAACCCCCGGACCCCCCTTTCTTTCAGCTTCCTGGCAACCTCATCTCGACACCAGAAATAAGCATGAGGCAGGGAAAGGACCCCAACACCTCTCTTTCAACCCCAAGCAACTCATTCTATACCAGAACCACCCCCACCCCCAAACTAACAATACATTGATTTAAAAAAAAAAAAAAAAGGACGAAGCAATCCAAACGTACAACCACCTAAACGAAGACCGCTCAAACCTGCTGGACAGCGTAGCCGCAGACCCATCGACCCGGCCCCCGTACTTCTGGCACCATATCCGTCCCGAGCGCCAACGGTGGGGGATTCTCGAGATCGCCCGGAACGCCGGCCCATTGACGCGCCCGCTGTTTGCGCGCGGGGCTGTCGCGGCGCCCTTGTCCTCGGGCTCGCGGGCTGGGGCCGGGGCGGGGGCCGGGGCGGCGGTGGTACTGGGGGATCGCACTACTACTACTACTACTACTACTACTCCCTGTACCTCCTCCGGTGGTGCAACCTGTAGTGGGAATGGAGGTGGAGAGTATGGACCGAATTGGGTGGCCGGGTGGTTGCTGTATAGCGTGTTTCGGTCGCGGGATGTGCGGAATAATCGGAATCGCAGGCGTGGGGAGGAGAGGGGTATGTTATTTTCTTCTCTTTCTCGTTCATTTGTTGGGGTTGGGTTCGTTGAATGGGTGATTGCGTTAAGTGGTGAGGAAGAGGGAGGACAGGAACCAGTTTCTAGAAGGTCATGGTTGGTCTTTCTATGTGCTGGGCAGGAGGATACATATATACATTGGTTCTGGTACAAAAAAAAATATTAACAAGTTTGTCTAGGTCGCTCGAAATCGCCTCAGAGACTGGCACAGACACAAAACCAGCCGAACAGCGGCGTCTCGGGCAAGAAAGAATATTATGATCCGGTGCGGAATGGGTGAAAGAAAGTCAAGGCAGGCCTGATACGGGGGTGAACTCGCGAGAAAGTTGGAAGTTGATCGTGAGACGAGATGAGAACAATGTCGAGAGATAGCCTAGAATAGATGATTCTCCAAACCCCAGGCAATTTAATCGTCGGTATCGTTGTTATTCTGCTTGGATCCGTTCTTCTGAGCGCGCTCCTGTTTCAATGCTTCCGTCACGCGCTCGTCGCGCTCGTCTTTCATCTCATCCCATTCTTCGTCATACTCTGCCGCGATCGATTTGATCTCCTTGCGGAGCGAGTTGCCCTCGTCGATCAGTGACTCCCACAGACGCAGATCCACCCCTTTCCTCTCGTAGAGCTTCTTCTGGCGCGCGTTGATCGTGAAGTCGAGCGCAGACCGGTACGAGATCTCACGGTTGTGGTAGAGGAACCACAGATAGCCGCCCATCAGCGTCGACAAACTGACCAGGTACGTGACGGGCTCCATGGTGTCCCAGCCAAGATCGGTCTCGAACGTCAGTTTGTACACCAGGCACCACCAGAACGCCAGCACACCGAACCCGCCCATGGCCACGCGCTGCGCCCCGCGGTGCGCCAATGCGTCACATTCATGCTTAATGTCCGCGATGTACTTGATGCGCCCCGAGATCTTCCGCAGCCGCATGCGCAGGAAATGCGTGCGTTCATTGAACGAGGGAACCGCCACATGGATCTGGTGCTGGCCCGTCGGCGCTCCTTCGACCGACACGATGAACTCCCGAGCTCGTGCGGCGTCGCGGATGAAGTCCCCGACCTCGGTGGATTGAGACCACCGCACAAAGCGATGCTCCAGGGGCTTCTTGCCAGGCTCGCTCCGTCGTAGGTATGTGTATGTGTCGTCCTCCGAGGGTTTCTTCTCGTCCGACTTCTCTTCAATCTGTCCGAGCTCCTCAAGCTTGCGCACTTCCGCATCGGTTTCTTCGTAGAGCGCCTTCCGCGGCCGGATGGGGTTGTCCTCGAGTTGAAGCGCGATGAAGGAGACAGAGGGGGCTCGCGTCTGTCCATCGTTGGCTTTGAGGGGCGGGATTTCGGCTTGGATGAGACGTTCTAGATAGGACAGAGGTTGCTGGGGGTGGATAAGAAAGGCAATCGGCTCGATATCTGCCGGGGCCGTCAGCAATTCGGTCTTTTGCGTCCATCAACCAAACTCCCAGCGAGAAGAATCCATACATACCCTTATGATCACGATGGTATTTAGTCGACAGCGGAAGAAGCAGCTTAAACAACCTCGACGGTGTAGTCAACAGTTTCCCTATCGCCCCTTAATCAGTCTCTGACCACTCGAAATAGAAACCGCACAGTGAGAAAGGCGCTCTTACCCTTTGACATCGCATCCCCAAGCTTATCACCACCCTTCTGAGCGCCGCTGGAAACGTCCCCATCCTCATGCCCATGCGGCCTCGCATCCTTGATCTTGAGCCGCTCCACTTCCTGCTTCGCATCCTTGGCGAGGAGGCGAGCATTGACACTGCCGAACCACCGTCTCCCCTGCGCATTCGCAGCAACAATCCCAATGTTCGTGCCGCTGTTATACTTCTTCGCCGCCGCCGCGGTTTGGAATTGCCGCCCTGGCGCTCGCACGGCACATGGTGATAGCAACCGCAACGAGGAAGTCGACTCGGGGACCTGACTCCCCCATTGTGCCCGGGGAGGAATTAAGTTCGGGATTCGACCTATTACAGACCGCATATTGCGGTCAGGGCTGAGAACGGCAATCGACAAGGGGCATATAATCGGGGAGGACAATTGGGAGGGTAAGGAGGGGTTGGGTGGTGGTAAAGGTGGTAAATCTGTTGCGGTTGAGGTTCTGGAATTGGTATCAGGGTTCAGCGCCGAGGATTGGGAAGTCAATTGACGATTGGGGTGTGGATGAGGTTGATATCATGTTGGCACCGATTGCTGGTTGATGCTGTCACTTTTCGCCATTACGTGGATCGGCCGTCGCGCTTTCCTGCCTTGGGGACGACAACTGGAGACTCCCCATTTGGGCGGTTACGTCATGGCGTGTCAGCGGCTGTGGCGGTGACCTGGATGCCTGAGGCGGACAAAGCCATGCTCCAACAAGCATTCTTCTTAGGAACTGACGTGGTTCCCCTGGGGTTCTAGACAAAGCTTCTTCTGACTAGTTAGTCAGTCAGTCTCTTTGTTGTATAGAACCTGACCTGTATTCGTTCATCCGCCCTATATTCAGAAGGATTTCGGAAAACGAATGAGTTACAATACACCCACCGTATGTATGTACATACAAACACACATACTATACTTAGCAACAACTTGCGCACATTCAATTCGTGAGACATCACATCACAATCAGTCGCATACAGACAGACATACAGACACACACCGCCACCTCCAGAAGAAGACACCGCTGGCCGCCGCAATGCAACCCTCCAGAACATACACATCTCATCCACCTGGTATCCTGTGATCCCGTGATCCTGCCAGCAGACAGAAATCCCTCCATCCATCCCACCCTCCACCCTCTGCAAACGACATTGATCACCAGCCACAAAAGAACAAAAAGAAACAGTTCGATCTATCGGATATTCGGGTTCATGTCATAAAATCATATCGTCATCAAAATGCCAAGCCTTCCCCCTTCCATCCTGCCCACCGAGCCACTCTCGTGAAGAGTCAAGACAAAGCCTATCGATCTGTGGGCACTGGGCACGGCCAGTGTGAGCCTAGACCCAGCCGTCCATCGCGCAGGCAACGCCTACCGACTAAACGCCAATGCTCGAGACGGGCCCATGGCGGCTTGTCGGTCGCAATCGATCATCCGGCCGCCTTCGTAGCTCTCCGGACTACTGCTGCCACCGCTTCGGCTCTCCCCACTGGTCGTCGAGGTGTCCTCTGGGTCGTCCACCGCGTAACGGGCCTTGCGCCCGGTGCCAATGGCGACCGGAATCCCCTGGATGGCCCCGCCGTGGTCGTGCCCGGCCGGGTACATGCCGTCGTTGACGGAGAAGTTGCGGCAAATCAGGTACGCCCGCATCGCTGCATTCTCCCGGGCGAGGGTGTCCGATTCGCAAACGGCGTCCGTCTGGTACTCGCGGTTGTTGACTCGGACAATGCACGTATACCCGGTAGCGCCGCTGTATGATTCGTACAGAGGTTCCGGCCAGCGGCGCCGTCGGCAGAGACCTGTACACAATGGTTAACTATTGGGCGGGGAAAAACATGGGACAATGACACAAAAACAATGCTCCCTCGCCCACGGAAAGCAAATCAAAATGGCGAGAGCTCGAACCCCCAAAGCCGCACCGGCCATGGTCTTGCTGGACCTTTTTTGTCCTTCATGACATGCATAGCAGTAGTGCCCAGGGAGGCAAAACATAAAAAAGGGACCTCCACAACAGCAGCCATGGCCACACAGCCACAGCGAAGGTGTTTTGAAGCGGTGACCCCTTAGATCCAATCATAGGAGGCACAAGGGGGTTCGGGCGAGAGCGCGCTCGACGAATTGCAAAAAAGAATAGCTACATACTGGCAAGATAGAGAATATAGTACATCGTAGAAACCGGTCAAGGCCCAATGGGTCGTATGGTCCAGGCCAGTAGTGGTTCAGTATTCGCTGCCCCAGGTCGGTCGACACTGCACAAGATCCTGGCGGTCACACCGATAACATCGAGACGAGCCTATGTAGACTGTGTTTGTTGGTGCCCAATGACCACGCTCTTCATCGGACGGCCAATGTGACTTGCTATATCTGACAATAGCCAGCAGCGAGCCCGTCACCAGGAGCGGGAGGATTGGATCGAGAAAAACCCAGCGAAAAGAGTAGAACGACTCCGAAGCCGTAAGGTAAATTGAGAATAACAGCCAGGAACAAGAAAAACACAGCGTGCCCTACACTGGCGGAGGGTAGTAGGAGGGGGAAAAAGAAATGCGAGTCGAGGGGATATCCTTCATGGCCGACCAGCTATCCGCGCAAATAAAGAGGTGGGGCATCTGGTGCAGCCCCCAAAGCTTTTAATCATGATTGTTATTATCGCATAATCTTTTCCCTGAGAAATAGAAAAGCGAAAAGGGTCCCTTGAGAATCGGCCACAATAGAGAAGAAGGAGGCAAAAACCCGAATGAAAAAAAGCCATAAAGTTTTTAAAGGAAAATACCCATAATGTGAATGGAATAAAATTGAACTAGGCGGCTTGCAACTGGTTCATTTGGACCAATCTCCACCAGGTTGACCGAGGGGAAAGACAACAGACGAATGCCATGCCTTTGAAAACGGTCCTAGACCTCACACTAGCTTTGTCCGTCTTGTTGCCGTTCTGCTCGGAGAACAGAATATGGCAAGCGTTGATGTGCTGGCATGACTTTTCACCAGTGGACCGAAAAGAAAGAATCTAGGACGTCCTGGCCCATCGGCCACCGTGTAATTCGCCGCCGACCCAGGCGGCTACGATTGACATGTTGTTCAGAAATTTGAATGTCCGAGCAAATCGGTCGTCTCGGCCCTCATTCATTATACTGCAGAACATGGACCGGTTTTTCCTGGGCGTACCTAGAGTGGTCCATTGCTGTAGTCAGCGCGGCTCTTTCCACGCCCCCTCCCTTCTGTTTTGGGTCACGGAAATTTCCTGGTTTATTGCCCGCGGTTTTCTCTCCTTGCCAGATCCTGCATCTCGTACTCTGGTGGGAGCGATAGCCCCTCGAAACCCCGCATTGTGAACGAAGAGCTGTGATCCGGTGAAATGTATCAACGAAGGCAATGGAAGGACGGGAGAAATAACCCACGAGAAAGGAGGCGCGGTGAAATCCTGCTAATGCAGAATGATGCTTCAGAACAAGGGGTTCATGTCGCGCAGATGAATCCTAGCATAGAACGCCCAGAGAAAAGCCCTGAATTCTTGTGTACAATGGAGGGGGGATGGTCGCTGGTTGCTGGTCGAGAGAACGACAACAACACCGTCCCGGCTGATTGGACTGGAAAGCGTCCCCCTTCCCCTCCCATTTCTCGCCCGGGTCAGTGCTAGCAGACGATCACGATCCTCGAAGACTCGGTAAGCCATCCGAGTTCCGTAGCCCGCTTTGTGTAGCTGACCGCTCTCTCGGAGCCAATCCAGAGTGAACTTGATAACACAGACAAAACTGACCTCGCGGCCCGGAGTGGGATTGGACACAGAAAAAAGGGAGTCAAAAGGGACCACACCACTTGCGAAAGTTGCGATGTATCAACTGCTGCATGAATGAATTCCAAATGGGATCTACTTCGTAGAGTGGCCGCACAGAAGAACAGCATCGGATTGGCCCAGCCCGCATCTCTTTCGTGGGTGCCGTTGACTGACAGGCAGGCATTGCGGATGCACTGATGAGTTGGCAATGACGCTGCGTGCGGCGGGGAGGGAATCCATGCCACTTTGACACGAGGGGCAAAGAAAGGGAGGGAGGGAGAGGAAGGTCAACCTTGCAGAGTAACATGAGCAAATTCCTTCTTATTCAGCGCCACCCCGGAGTATTCAGTTTTAACTGACCTTTCCCACCCCTCCTATTTCCCCTCCTTTGATATGACGGATGGACGGGCTGCAGCAGGTCTGTCTGTGCATGGTGTAAGTCTGCCTCTGGCTGCCTTTGGCGTTGCAACCCCGTTAGATTTGCGTGTGAAGAATGCTTTTCTCCGTTTGAGTTGCATCTCCGTGAGCTCTTTGTGTTGTCTTCCTGTCTCTACAATTCAGATCCCGATGTCGTCGTCGACCTATCTTTCTGCTGGCGCGTGAATAGTAGAAGAAGCAGGAGAAATGAAAGGGGAGAAGTGGCTCATCGACGGAGGCGATGAGTAATGGAGGGGTAGAGGAGGGGCTGGAGTCGTAAGTTCTGGCAAGAGCCCAGAACTGCTAGAACTAATAGACTACCTACTAAATGTAGGCATAAAAGGACGCAATGGCCTAGACAGCCTGCAGGGTAGCTTGGGTGGGACGAAACTGAACTCGAGTCGAGTCAAGGCGACCCCAGGTAACCCCATTGCTGCGCGAACAGTTCGTGCGACAACCCTTTATCCTCACTGCTATTCCCTTCTCGCCTGTCAGCCCGCGTGGCTGCTGAAAGAGCACGTCCTTCCTGCTCTCCCCGGAGTCACACAGATTTTCTAGCACTACATTGAGTCTTACATGCATTATACTGTACAAAGTGAGATCCACCCTATCCTGACCCAAACTCTTGTTCTCCCTTCCCCCCACTCCCACTAACCAAACGAGACTGCTATGCTGACTATCCCCCCATTCACGCCCACGCTGGTTGCCTTTCACACCACAGGCGTATTCCTTCCGCAGCCGCGTGGGGGATCACGTAGAGTGGGTGGAGAGCTGCAACCTTGTCATTCTCGTCAAACACATTCACATCCGCTGAATCGTCAGCGGAAGTGACCATAGGGGTGTACTGCCACGAGAAAGCTGACGCGAAGTCCTCCTTGCCAGAGACGCTGGAGGTTGTATGATAGTGACAATGCTGTGTAGTGCTTAGACCCGCGAGGGTGTAGCAGGTATGATACGAATCTACATGTCTGTACGTCTCTCGGTCAGCCAAGGCACCGGCGCCGATATGTTAGAGGTAAATCGTACTTTCCAGGTTTGTCACGAAGGCCTCCGTACTTGGCCTGACAACAACCAAGAATGTATCTGGTTAATCCTTCGCGACTGTAAAGGTTGCCGACGGAGCTCTTCTTAGGGGCTGCAGCGGATCGAACCCCGTTCAGCGCAGACTGGATCAATGGCCAGCAAGATCCGACCCAATGGCTGTAGCACCCGTCCACCAGCTTATTGGTTCTCCCCGAGAAGCCGCCTTCAGGGGCATACTGTCGAGCAGAGAGCCAGGACAGGAGTAATTCGACATCCATGCATCTTGTCCTGTTAGCAGCAATCAGGGCAAAGCGAAGAGAAAGCAAACGCTGCTTACCTCGCCACAGTCACTTCGGGTTGGCCCAGGATGCACAGACATGCCAAAGCACAGAATGCATAGGCGCCATGTGCTTCAGACCCGGGGCTTCCGGAGATCCCGCCTTCGAATGTTTGACCTGGAGTCCGGGATCAGCCTGGTGCAATTAGCTGAAGTGGGAAAGCACTGACATCGAGAAAGGTACGCGGAGAGACCACTATCGAATGTCTCGAGACCATGTTGCCGGGCTTCGGCTTCCGGGGGTAGAATAAGTGGCAAATCCAGGAGTGATATGATGACCATGGCGCAGTAAGCGCCGCTGAGCTGGCAGTGAGTACGAGATAGCATGTACGAAGAGGAAGAGAACTAGCTTGGGGAATTTACCGCACGTCTTCTTCCCCACCTTCGCACACTCTGAAGCCCCCATCGGGCTGCTTCAATTTCCCAAGCCATCTCCACCTGAGTCTAGGTCAGCATGCATTAGAGGCCAGCTAGGGACACAGGTCGACAACGCACATCTTCTCCCTATCGACTAAGCTGTATGCCTCTTCGCCTCCGATCATCGCGAGGGAAAGCACCGCAGCGTAGCTAGAAGCGCAATGGGACAATTGGCCATGGCCACCTCCAAAGCCCCCCGCCGGGTTTTGCATAGGTATGAATGTGTTAATAACACTAAGGAAACCATGAGTCTCAGTCGGCGCTCAATCTATCGGTAACAGAATCCGTCCCGGAATCGGCCCAGATCCATCCTGAATCTGCAAAACACCCAATGGGAGTGAGACTAGGAAGATGAGCAGTTCACTTACCGTTCACGAACTCTACTAATGTCCTCACCCAAAAGGCACAAGGCTGCCAGTGCCCAGTAGACCATCCAAGGCCGGCTGGCATCCATTGCAGCAAACCCTTCCGGGTACTCTTCTAGAGAGTCAAACAAATAGCCTATATGCTCGTCCCTCATCAGGGCGGGCACGCCAAACCGATTGAAAGGGCCATTTTGGGAGCTATGAATGCCCCTCAAAAACGGTAGGCATTTGTTGACCGTCTCCGCTTGGGTTTCGGAAGTTTCCGTGACCAGAGCATCTAAGAGCAGAGGCGGCGTGGTGAACAGATCTGGCACACCGGGTTGCACTTGGGGTTCACACATGCTGTTGTTGTTATTGTTTTTCGAAGAAGACTGGTGGTCAATAGTGGGCACAGAAGCTAAAGGGCCTGTCGTAGGTAGCTTAGGCCTGAAGGGGAGGTTCTGCGTGTTCCCAGGCCTCGGTGCTTGATTGGAAGTAGTGAAACGAACTTTGCGCCGCTGTCTCCCTGAGGCCGCGATCACGATCGGCATGGGAAACCTTGATCAAGCTGGTTGGGGAATTATATGAAAGTTTCTAACTCTTTGTTTGGAATAAACGCGGGGGAAGGTGATTTAGGAACTCATGCGGCTCATGAATTGTTCTTTTTCCTGTCAATGGATGATCTCTGCTTCTCGCCATCCACGGAATCCATTGTTCTTTCTCGCTGGTCAGGTGTTGGTGGGGTTTGGCGGTTTAGTGTTGACCCCTCAGGCATCAGTTCTGTCGAGTTGGGGGAAGAAGCCAAGTGTGCAGTTTGACCATCTTTCTCTCCCTCCCTACTCCCTCTCTGTCTCTCTTTTACGTTTTTTTTCTTTCTTGTTGCCGCTAGTCTAGTACTCGTAGGTCCTCGCTCGCATCCTATTCTCCCTTTGTGTTTTACTTAGGGGCCATTTGGCCATCTGGCTCGTGGCTGGGAGAAAGGAGGTGCAATATCACGGTTGAGATGACTGACACGTTCCACTCAACCCTTTCTTTTTGTTCTATCTTGTCTTCCAGCCATTGCGGATGTGGAATGGATCTTCGTCTGGGTTGACCAAGATAGGCTAGCCAGCATTCCGGCCTGATTCTTAATCCTAGCTAAATTGATCCCCTGCCGGCAATGGGCGGGGGTCTGACACCCTGGTTTACAATACGAAGACCATCCATCACTCACTCATCACTTCAAACCCTATGGAGGTTCCCAGTTGCTCCCTCGATTGGGGCCGGATTTTACCTGCTCGAGGGTAAGATGGCGGGCAGTTCTGCCGAGGCCAAACAGGTCATGAGCTATTCATCCCCCGTCTTAACCTTAAAATCAGAATTGATCCAGGTAGGATTTAGAGTTAATCGATCGCTGCTGTCTCGTCTTCTACCGATGACTAAGGGCCTCAAGCACTGACCATGGGACTAGGAAGTTTCCATCGTCGGCATTCTGGATCTCGGCCTAACAGGACTAAGTAGCACGAATCCGGGCTAGGAGAGAGTGGGTGTGCTAATAATAAGTTATAAAATTCAATGATTGCCTTTTATCTAAGCGCCAACACTCGTCAACCGGCGCGTCGACAGGAAATTGCTGGCTGCGCTGCCGAAGTAACGACGGGTGTTGGCGATGTTTCTCGCGTAAAGCCGCTGGCGTGGCAAGCTGCGAGTCAGAAGTCAATGAGACTGATTGTTTCATGGCCGGCACATCGATTTGTCGAGCGGCCTTGGGAGTGGAGCCCACGGGCCTTCGTTTCTGATACCCGCCCATGCAGAGCGTTTCTTTACGCCTGGCTCGGTACCACCTGCTGCTATAGGGAGAGACTCTCTGTAGGTCTAGTGAATAGACATACATGACTAGTTCCAGGGCTTCGGCCAAGACCGTTTTTTTTTTTTTTACTTTGCGAACACGGTCCCGTGAAAGACGCGGGCGTTGACAGTGCCCTGGTCTTGCAGGTGTGTTGAGAGCCAATTTTGGACCTGTCATTCCGGCGCTCCAATGTGAAAGGCAATGAGCCACTAAGTTTGGCGGCTATGGGATTTTCATCCCTTGACTCTTGCTATAATTAAACCTAGACTGGACAGAAGGCAGCAAGCGACCATGGAGAGATACGTAAACACGTACCCAGCAGAAAGGGTCGAGCGCAACCTGACAGCACAGATGTAGAAACAGATGTACTGTACTGTAGGAAGATCGTACCAGCGCAGCACGGGATTGCATATGGCCAAGAATGTCCACCTCATTAGTTAGCCAAGGTGTCTTATGAGGGTTGAAGGAAACTGTAATGATGAGGTCTCGGTTGCTATTATCCTCATCGCCATCACCATCATTATCATCACTCATGATCTTTCATTTTCCTCATCATCAGGAGATGCAGATATAGACTCCTTTTTGCGTTCCATGCCCGACATCTCTAGCTATTAACAAGGACCAGGATGCTATCAGATGGTGGAGGTGATTGGAGCTCATGCACAGTCAGCCACCTTGTTGGCAACGAAGCCAACATGTGTGCACCATCATGACCCCATTGATCAGGACAACTGAGTGCCATTGGCTGATGGCCATGATCTACCTAGTTTCGGGACTACTAATGTACTATGACCAGGTCCCGGGCAAGTGCTGAGTCTTGATCTACCTAATCAGGCAGTAGAAGGCAATGTCCACGATGGTAGGCACTGTAAGTAGTAGATTGTCGAATTACACTGCATGTTTAATTTCCTCGCTGTGATCGTAGTTCTTTTCTTGCTTCCCTTCCCAGAGTGCCACCTACCATGGAATGAAACATCGTGGAGAATACATCCATGGTGGTGTCCAGTGGGCTGAGTTGAGCACCAGCGGAAAGCGCCTGTGCCCTGTAGTAACTAGGTCAGTGGCTGCGGGGCCAATTCCGAACAACGGCCCATCTTAATATTGCCACGACCAGGCAGATCGGAGCTCCATCATACCAATAATCGTGTTGCCTTAGTAGTCAATAGAATTCGAGGGCCCCTCCCAACCGATCTGGCCGGTTTCCACTGATCTTCCTGTCCCGAATGTTGCTCCCGTGTCTCGCCAACGGAGAATTCCGTTTCGTACCGTGGTCAGTTTTGAGCCTCCAGAGTAAAGAACTTGGAAGTTAGGAAGTAGTGCTTAGGAAGTACAGTACCTAGTAGGTACAGTACAGACCTCGACGGAACTGTCAAACATCATTGATGGCCGTCATTCCATCCCCAGTTCCAAGGAAAAGAAGGGTAAGTTCAGTCGGTGCTACCCTGTCGGTAACCCATTGTCAGGTGGGCAAGGCAAGTAACTGTGATTTTCGTCGGAAGTGGTTGCGCCAACGGGATACGATGCAGCCGGTGCATGGCCTGTATTCGACTAGTACCGCCTTCCATCGTCGATTCGGTTAGCGTTCCTGTTCTCTTTCATGTCTTCTTCTGCCTTTGAACTCTCGTTCATTCATTCAGTAGTCATTGGCGACAATAATCATGAGACTCGTCAATCGGGCGAATCTACGGTCGTGCCGAACTGGATCAAATAGAATTTTCAATCTTTTCTTGCTTGGGTTGATCGAGAGGGTCCAGCAGAGGTAAGTAAGCTCCAGATAGGGACCCAACTAGACTAGGTAGTTCTTCCAAGTTATAGTACAAGACTAGACTACTGTAAGTAATAATGAACGAAGTACGTGCAGTGTCTAGTCAACTGTATAGAGTCTAATCGTGGTTCTAGTAGCCGGCGGGAGCACACCAATTGCGATGAGAAGTGAAGTTGATATTGTCATCATCTTCTGACTGACATTTTCCATTCCACTTCCAATTCAGACAGAAAAGAAAAGAAAAGAAAAGCACGGAAAATAGAGAGAAAAAAAGTTAGACCAAAAGAAAGAAAGAAAGAAAGTAAGTAAGAAAAGAAGGCAAAAAGAGAAAAGTAGACGTGGATGTCGGAGCAAGCCAGACGGGGCCGTGGTAATTACACCGACTAAACCGGGTTGGGGATGAAGTCTCCTTCCCAGGACTCCCTAGCGTATCTCCGGCCGACGCAACTCCCGCCTCACCGCTGCTTCTTCGACTGTCTTCAACCACCACCGCATCCCCCAAAATCCCCACTTCGGATGTCCCTAGTCTGTAAAGTCTGTAGTGAATTTTCACCCTATACCACTATGAGTAATTCTCTAAAGCCATGGCCTCATGCTATCCGCCCACCCGCCTTCATTTTCTTTTGTCTGCTCACTTGTCGTTGTCTTTTGCATCCCCCGGATTCTGTTCTGGGCTTTCTCTTCCTCAGGCTTCCCTCACGCCCAGCTTTTGTTCCGTCCATCTCATCATCCACTTCTTCTTCTGCTTCTGCTTCTGCTTCTACTTTTGCTTCTTCTTTTTCTTCTTATTTGTTTTTTGTACCACCCACAACTGTTTGTGTGTGTGTGTGTGTGTGTGTTTCTTCTGTGTGTCTCTTATCTAACTATCTCCAGTATTCATCCATTCATCCTCATCTCCTGTCTGCCACCACCCACCCCCCTCTCCCTTCCTAGTCGTCTATCGCTTGATTTCCCTGTCACCTCACCTCGTTTCTCTTTCCTCACGTTGCCTTTTTCCTTGGTTTTTTTCCTTTTTTTCCTTATTCTCTTAACCCTCTCCTTTGCTTTATAACCAAACCCTCTTAACGAATTCTGTTTGATGCCCGCCTTTCCTTTACTCCCCTCTCTATTTCGGTAAATAGTTTCCAGTCCGTCACCATGTCCAATGTCGATTTATCCAGTGACGGCTTCATTGGCCTAGACTACGACTCGAGGAACTATCTCCAGGCGCAGACATGGCCCGTGGCAGTGGATCACCAGCCCTCCCAACGACCAGATGGATCGCGAGATATCTCGTCCTTGCAAACCAGCGGTCACGCCTTCGATCAGACGGTAGTTCATGACCCTAACTTGATCGTCGACTGGCAATTCCACGGGCAGCACTTGCAACCCCACCTTCAGTACACTCAAGAGGAAGCGTCGTCCGCCCCTCAGTACGCTACCGCCAGCTATGGCATGCCTCTCCACTCTTCGCCCGTGGATCTGATGCCCCCAACCCATGACCATATGAGCACGAGCCTGCTCGATGGTCCCTACCTGTCTCTGTCTGCCCCAGTGGAGATGGTGCCCTTTCCTTATCAGGACTTCCAGACGGACCTCATGGGGTTCACGGGGCCCCACGGCCTCCCGGATATGACCTCTTATGCTGCGCCGCACAACCTGATCGAGAGCAGTTCACCGACCGACACTTATCTGGAGGTCCGGTCTCTCACCAGTTCAAGCAGCGACAACGGTTGGAATACCATTGAGACCCGCCGCCCTCATGAGTTCACCTATCCCGATCAGTTCTTCATCAATCCCACGCAGACTCTGCACGACAGGAGTCTGTCGGAGTCGTCCTACTCGACGTCGTACGGCAGTTTTGTGGAGATCACCAATCCGATCAACTCGCCTGGTTCCGATACCAACTTCGACGCGGCGTTCAACAACAGCCTGACCCGGCGTGTATCCTACGACCACGCTTCGCACGGCTCAGTCTCTCCAACGGCCGTGAGCCCTGTGGCTATTGTACGACCCGTTCCAGTGCCGGCCAAGAAGCCGACTTCGCCTCGGTCTGCCGCCTCGCAGTCATCTTCTGCTTCGCCGCCGAGCAGAAAGCCTTCGCGCAAGAGTCCAATCGCTGCGAAGACAGCTGAGACCAAGGTTCGGAAGCAGACGCAGAACGGGAAGCCGGAGACCACCGAGAAGCGGATTGGCAAGCGCAAAGGTCCGCTCAAGCCTGACCAGCGAAAGCAGGCCAGCGAGATACGGAAACTGAGAGCTTGCCTGCGGTGCAAGTTCCTTAAGAAGACGGTAAGAGCTCACCGCGAAAACGGGTAGTCTTGGCTTTGTGCCTGCTAACGCCTCCAATAGTGCGACAAAGGTGAACCGTGTGCCGGTTGTCAACCGTCGCATGCTCGCTTGTGGCAGGTTCCTTGCACCCGCATTGATATCAAGGAGATTGGCTACTTCATGAAGGACTGGAAAGCGGACTACGAACGCCACGTTTCTCTTGGATTCTCGGTTGGAAACATCAAGGGTTTCTCGGAACACGAGACGACACTCTACATCACGCACGGATACGGCCAAATCCTTCCGATCAACGCTCGTGAGGTGTACGTGCGGGACGAGCAATGCTTCAGCGTGGACTGGGTTGAGACCATGCACCGGGAGCCCACTGAGTTCGAGGTGGAAACTGCCAAGCTGTCTGCGGGAATGGAGGGTATCTCCCATGCTATGCTTTCCGAGTATCTGGATCGCCACATCGACGGCAACGGCACTTTTGAGAAGTTTGTTGATGACTATTTTGAGGGCACGCCTTTCTTGACCCAGATGCTGAAGACTGCTTTCCGCTACTATTATCGCACGAAGCTGCCCGTCATCCGCAAGGCCTTGAAGCTCATTATCGCCTACAACCTGACGCTCCATGTAACCTTAGTGGAAGGTTTGGGTGAGGAGCAAGGCATGCCTGGAAAGATCGACTCATCAGCGTCGAGGTTCAAGGGCAAGACGATGGCCCCGGTCATGATCAACTTTCAGATCAAGTGCGCCATGGCGAACATGTGGCGCGAGCTGCAAAAGGATGTTTTGGAGGAGCTGTCTAGCCTCTACTCCAGTGTCTACAGCGGCGACAAGTTGAAGAACTGGCCCACCATTTTCATTCTGGCCTCGATCCTTCTCGCGGTCTGGGAGGAGATGCAGTTTGACTGCCACTACCGTACTCCGGTGAGTAGTAGTTTGGAGCGTCTTTCTTGAAAATAGCAACTGACATAAACCAGGAACCCGCTGCTGTGGAGAAGTTCTGCAACGATATGGAGACCACCCCCGTCGGCGTCATCGTTGGTCTGTTCCAGGCAATCTCACAGAAGCTTCCCGCCTTTACGGATTGGGAGACCACGAAACACCACCACTTGCTGCACTCCAACCCGGATGTCTGCACCACGATGACTGAGGTCCGGCAGCATGTGACTCAGTTTGGTATGTTCTTCTTGCGCGCCGCCGTCAGGATTGCCTGCTAACGTCCCAAACAGAGAGCTACCTCCGGGGCCGGTCCGGCAGCACCAAGTTCAACCGCAACGACTTCGACTGCTTATCCAACAAATTTCTTTCCAGACTTGTGATTCGTGCGAATTAGATGACGTGTTACGGCTCTGAAAATGACGGAAGACACGACACGAAACGATGATATATGCCGGCATTGATGATTATGAAACTCACAGCACAGCAATTAGCGATCGCATCGCTCTGTTCGTTCGTATTGTTTCGCCGTTGTCATCATGATGCTTTTCCCTTTTTGTTTGTTTGTGTTTCTCCCCGTGCGGGGAGAACGAGGCCCGACTCTGCCGGTTCTAGCAGCCTGAAGCATTTGCGCTTGCTTTTATCCACCCTTTCCTTCTCAGTGGTATACCTTTTGTCGCACAATATTTGCAATAGCGATGATGAGGATCACGAATGTCATGATATTGTACGGTCACGAACTGTTTAGCAGCGGATGACGGGTGCAACTGTTGCGGAGTGATGCTGGAGGCTAGGTCTCCGGTCGCGACGCGGCGTGCTGCATCGGTTGTCCTTGATTAGCGAGTATATTTTGAGTGTTTGTTATAGGAAGAGTTTGTTATTATGATATGTTATGATCAAAAGGCCGAGCGCGAAGGCACCAGCCTGTCTCCCGACGAAAGCGTGCAAGCATGCTCAGTATTTATTCATGTCCAATTTATAAAAGAAATGCAATTGATGTGCCATTGTGTCAGATTAGATGTAAAATTGTAGAGCATAGTACCAACAATGTACAAACAATAAGCTTATTGCGTGTACAGTCGATTTTGCAGAGAACTTCATTGAGAGGTCAGGTTTTAGTTGTATGGAAAAGAAAATCCGGGGGTGATTGATTACCTAACCCAGCCTCGGCCTAACGCTGGCCCAGCCGCTGAAGTTCCCAACAACTGAGATCGCTACCAGGTGCCATCCTAGGTAGATAATTTCCTTGTCCAACCTCAACCCGCGTATTTAAATTTACCCCGGCCAGGACCCTTCACCACGGGGCTCCCTGATTCCTCGGCCGTCCAATTCTCAACGCGAAGCTTGACTCGACCTCTTGTTCCTCTTGCTACTACTGTCAGTAACCTCCTCCCCCCCCCCCCCCCCCCCCCGGGATACCAGACCTTCTGCTGCCTCTCTCTCTCGCATTTACTAACTTTTCCTCCCCAGAACCCCATTTAGAACCAACTTGCACCCATACACACTCCAAAAATGCCCACCACCACGACCACCAAACCCCCGGTAAAACGGGCTAAGCCAACCACCAACAACCCGCTAACAAAACCCTATTTAACCCTCTACAACGCCCTGAACTTCACCCTCTGGGCCACCTGCGCGGTCCACGGCCTCACCCTGCTCGGGGCGGGCACTGCACCCCCGACAATCTTCCACAAAGTCTACCCCCTGCTCCAGGCGACGCAATCGCTGGCGCTCCTCGAGATCCTGCACAGTCTAGCGGGGCTCGTCCGCGCGCCCGTCACCACGACAGCGATGCAAGTCGCCAGCCGGATCCTGCTGGTATGGGGGATCATGTATCCGTTCCAGGGGGAGATTGTCGGGAACGAGGGTGTGGGGTCTGCGCAGACGGGCGATTATGCGTTCCTGGGGTGTCTTGCTGCTTGGGGCGTTACCGAGTGCATTCGGTATGGGTTCTTTGTGCTGCAGGTTTCTGGGGTCGGGGTGCCCGGTTTCTGGGCTTGGTTGAGGTACTTATATTTCTTCCCTTCGGGTTATGTGTTTTGGGTTGGGTGGCTGACGGCTTGCGTGCAGGTATAATACGTTCTATGTGCTTTATCCGCTGGGGATCAGCAGTGAGTGTGTTATGGTGGTTAAGGCGCTGGGGCCCGCGGCGCAGCTGAGTGCGCTTTATTGGTGGTTCCTTGTTCTTGTGCTGGGGATTTATGTGCCTGGTATGTTGATTCTGTTTCTTTTGGGTGAGGGGTGGGGCGGCTGATTGCGCTAGGGTCGTATATTCTCTACACGCATATGATTGCGCAGAGGCGCAAGGCGATGAAGAAGGACTAGGTATCTGGGCTGTGCTGGTAGTCAGTGGGTATACTGGGGACTCTTTAGAGCCAGTGTACAGGTTTGGATTGAGGTGACCAGGAAGCTGAAAGGAAGGGGGGTCCGGGGGTTCTCCCCCGGGACGCTTACGAGCCAGTGTACAGGATTGAGGTGATCAGGCAGCTGAAAGAAAAGGGGGGTCCGGGGGTTCTCCCCCGGGACGCCTTAGAACCAGTTGTTCACTGCGAATCAGGTTCTAGGTGTGTGTTACAGATATCATATGTATAGGTAGAAAGGACGAGAGCATATAACTACAACTATAACTATAACTCCCTCATGATGTCGCGGACGGCTTTGGCCGCGAACCGCTTGCGTTCCGTTTCGGGTAACCCGTCGCTCATATCTGGTAGTCAGTTCAGCGGTTAGCCAGGAATGAATGAGAGGATGCCCGTCGCAGAGAATACCTACCTTTGATAGCGCGCATGCGCAGCAGCAAGGCCTCCACGGCATCAACGCGCAGCTCCTCGTCCGCCTCGGCCTCCTCGACGAAGTAATCGTCGCTGCCGCGCTCGATAGCCATACGCAGGCCGACCATCTCGCGCTCGAGCTCGTTCACCTCGAAGTCGAAGCCGCCGTCCTCTGCGTCATCCAGCCCCAACAGCCGTCTCTCCAGATCGTCCTCGTCGCCCAACCCCATATCCATACTCCCTTTATCCTCGGCATCTTCCTCCGCGGCACTCCAATCATGCGTCTCCAGCACCTCCTTCACGCGCCGCATACCCTGCAACTCTACCCGGAGAAAGTAGTTAGCCCAGTCATCCTCCCTCCCAAGCCGCACAAGACCGACAAGAAAGACAGAAAAGAAGGAAGGAAAGACAAACCTCCATAGCGATTCCTTCCCTGATCATCCTGCGAATCCCTAGGACACCACCGCACAACCTCCCACCCCATCAACCCCATCTCACACAATTGATCCTCCCACCACCCAACAGAGAACGGCTCGTCAATCTCCCCGCCATCAAGCGGACCATCATCATCCAGATCGAGTCCCCCAGCCCTACCCGTACCCTTCGTGGCTGCACCACCACTGGAAGAGGAAGAAGAAGAAGACGGCGCCGAGTCCACCAAAACCAACACCCCAGGCACCTCCGCCACGCCCATCCCGCCCCTCTCCTCCTCAATCAACCCCCGCACCTCCCCAATCGCCCGGATGAATTCTTTCAGCGATACCACGTCGGGGTGGTCCTCTGCTGCGCGGAATACTGATTCTTCGGGTGTATGAGTTGCTGTGCTTGGTGGCATTGGGCTGGCCATGTCTGCTGTAGGGGGTGGATGGTGCTCGGTTGGGTTGCGTGCGCAGATGAGCACTGCACCGATCGCGTCGCGGACGACTTGGGCTTCTGGGCTGGAGAATTCGGATTGCCATTGTGTTGGGGTGGGGGTGGATGTTGAGGTCGTGGTTGAAGGTGCGGGTGCGGGTGCGGGCTGTGGTTGGGATGGTGCTGAGAGGGGGATCTCGTCGACCCAGATGGGGATTTCGGCCGTGTAGTAGCGGTTTTGGATGGGGAGGGGAGGATGTGTCGTGTAGCCCGCGAAGCTGGTTGTTGTAGTCGTATTCGGCGAGGTGGGGGTAGCTGGGGGAGGGCTTGCGGTTGCGGTTGCGGTTGCGATTGAGGAGGCGGAGGAGGCGACTAGAGTCGTCGTTGAGGATAGAGCTGTTTCGTGTGTATAGGCTGGTGTAGCTGTAGGGGTCGATACGGATGTAGAGGGTGGCTCGGTGACGGCTGCGCCGGTGAGGGTGTGGAGGAGAGGGGGGATGATGGTCGTGGAATGCGAGCTGGGTGAGAGGATGAGGAGACGCCGCGGGTTGCGGATTATCCGTGAGTTGTTGGTGGAGGGCTTGTCGAGGTCCATGTTACACGTCGAGGTGGTGGTTGTTATTGAGCGAATACTCGGTGGAGCTATAGAAGGATTGAAGAGAGGGAAAAAAGTTGGTGATGCTGAAAGTTGTCGGTGCGGGTGCGGGGGAGAGCCCGGAGGAGAGAAGAGAAGGTTTAAGCAGAGCTCGGGAGCTGGTCGCCTACCTTCGTATTCTCTTTGACATTTCGGTTTGGTATTTCATGGACTGAAATATTCATGTTTACGAGGGTTTGCATGTCTAGCCTGTACACAGTATACATGGTACCATCCTCAGTCCACCTACGTACGTAGCTCTTATCCAACCGAAGCGTCGCTATTGCTCCCATCATCCCGCAAGTCCATCCCACCTACACAACGCATACGACAAAATCCACATAAGAGAACCTGGTATCCATTCTCTCCAGAACACGGGCCAGTCGTCATTCGATTTTTTCGTGGAATATATTCAATTCGATTCGATGGAATCCCTCAACCGACCCAGATCCAAGGTTGCACAGCCATAACAGAAAAGACAAACGCCGACCAAGTTTAATGATTATCCACCCTCAACAGACCTCTCCATTCAGCCTCGTCGCTGGCCCCGAGCTCTCTGCACAGTAGCCTTACCACGGGCCAAGCCGACACCGCGGCCGCGCTGGCCTCGTGAGCGGAACATGGGGGCGTTTCTAGAAAAATAGTTTAGCTTCGATGCGTCAAGCTTATGCGAACCGAAGAGAAGAACCAACCTCAGCATGTCCGGAACAATGAAGAACTTGACATGGCTTCCCCGGATGTAGACCTGATCCAAGTGTGACACGCGACCGTCGCGGGCGGTAACCGTGATATCCTTCAGTTGCACGTTCATGTTATCTTCGGCTGTTGGAACAGAGTCAGCGACCTTGTCTATGTCTTGTCTGGGAGGACGATGGAGAGATGGAGGAATGCGAGAGGGATTCGAATGATCGGAGACGACGCACCCTCCAGAAGTTTTCCGCGGTACACGACACCGGACGTGATTTCGAGCGTGACAACGTGGCCCTGGGTTGTATTAGCTCGAGCATGTCCTGGATTGATGCATGGAAGCTGTTGCAGAGAAAACCACCCACCTGCGCCTCGTTCAGGAGCTTGATCGGAATACCGATCGTGCTGGTCAACTTGCCCATTGTGAAGTCTGGTCGGAGGGGAAGAGGGGATAAAAAGAGAAGAGTATTGAGCGATTGACTCTGAACGCAGAGGCAAGATAGAAGATAGGGATGGGTTGAGGATCGTCCTGCGACAATTGAGGAGTGGGGGATGCAAAGGACAAGACCGGGCGATGAGTTGACTGGGAGAGCAACCGATCACTTCGGCGGCGGAGAGTTTTGCGGCTCTGCGGGCTGGGCCAAGAGAGAGAGAGAGAGAGAGAGAGAGAGTACTTAGTATTTTATCCGCGCATCCATCAATTTGCGCATCGCATCTCCTTCTGTACATACAATAACACAGTGAATCGCAAATGGCACCGCAACATAATAACTAATCTCTACCTCAAACCTCAGCCAACCAACTACGACATATCCTTCCAATCCAAAAATCAATAACTACACTCTCGTCACCGCACCGCACAGCTCACAACCTCAAAAAGCACCTCCAGCACCAGCTCACCTCCCTCCCATCCCTCTCCCCCGCCAAAAAGAAACACAAAAAGAAAAACACCAAAATGAACCCACCCAACACGAACCTGCGCGCCTTCAACCTGGCAGTGACGACGCTCCTCAAAAACCCCTCTCATTTCCTCCCGCACCTAACAATCCCAACAATAACCCACCTCCCAGAACAACTCGGCGAAGCTATCACCGAAGCAGCCCTCTCCTCACCACCACCGTCAACCTCACAATCCTCACCAAAAGCCCCCTCAGAGAAACCCCCGCAAATCCGCGCCCTAATCCTAGACAAAGACAACACCCTCTGCCCAGCCCGCACAACAACCTTTCCGCCGGAGATCCTCAGCAAACTAACCGCGCTACGCACCTCACCCACCTCCCCCTTCACGCACCCCAACGCAATCCTAATCGTCTCGAACCGCGCCGGCAGCGACGCGCGCTACGACGACGAGGTCCAGAGCCTCGAGGCGCAGCTGGCCGATCTCCAGATCCCCGTGTACCGGCTGCCGGCCGGGGTCGCGAAAAAGCCGTTCTGCGGACGGGAGGTGCTGGATTGGTTCCGGGAGCGTGGGGTGGTCGAGCGCGCGGATGAGATCGCCGTTGTGGGCGATCGGTTGGGGACGGATGTGTTGATGGCGCGGGAGATGGGGGCTTGGAGTGTTTGGTGTCGTGATGGGATTAATTCTCGTGGGCGGCGGGAGGGGGAGGGGGAGGATGGCGGCAGGAGGAATGTGCTGGAGCGCATGGAGATTTGGGTGGAGAGGTATTTGCGCGTGAATCGTGGGCTGAGGGCTCCTGTGCCTCGGGGTTATGGTCGATGAATCGTTACTGCTGGATGGTGGTGGTGGTGGTGTAGAAGGTGTGGAGCGGGAGATGGAGGATCTGTCTATATATGAGCGTGAGGTTTACTACGTGTATAAATATGATACCATGCATGATAGCATTATTGAAATTATCGTGACAAGTGACTGTGCCTACGCGGAACATATTTAATCATGGTCAGGCGACCCTGAAGCAGTCTTCATATCAGGCGAACTCTAAACATCCCCGCGAAGATTATCTCAGCCTCGCATCGGACAAGATAGTAAAACAATATCTGACAAGATAACCTCACTCAAGGCTCCAAATAACCATCACAAAAGGAATATGCAAACAAGTCCTAACCCGCCAACCCAAGAAACAAATAGAAGATAAACCAATTGTCGCCATCTTAGTCTGACTTTCTGGCATAACCACGTTAAACACCCCTGACCAAGTATGAGAAGGAGAAAAAAAAAAAGGAAAAGAAAATGGTCAGGGGCAGTAAAGAAGCATCAAAGAGAAAGCCCAGCCAGGTGCGCTTGTTTAAGAAGGAAAGAAAAGGCGCCGTGCAACGCTCAGGGCCAGCCCAAAGAAGAATAATAATACAAAAAAAAGACACGCTGAGGAAAAATTGTCAAGAAATATGAATCCTTTCCATCGAAATGATTCGACAACAGGTCTCAGGTAGAAGGTTGAAAAGCCATTCGTTGGCCCTGCTAGAGGAAGCAATTGTGGTACCCAGGTGCACGTCGCACTGTCCCGGTCGGTTCAAGCCGTACCCATCAATCTGAATGCCAATCTTTCAGACGGCACAGGGTCAAGGCCGAGATCTAGGTTCCAACTCTGTCCAAACGATACAGCCGACTCAGGAGCCGGGTGCCATTGTGTTGGGATCCACATTCTCCAGAGTCAGACTCTGGAATTCACCATGAACACCAGGGGAGGTGTGTCCCGACATCGACTGCATGGGCAGATCAAAAGCGCTGCTCTCGATCCCCATGGATTGAGGAACCCCAAATGTCATGTTGTGCTTGGTGTACATTCCATTCATGCCCATGCCCTCATCCGAATAACTGGTTTGGTGCTCATGACCCAAGCCGTACATGTCTTGCGATGTGTGGGAGATGTTCGACAGTGGTGGCGAATGATTGGCAATCATAGGGTCAGCATGGCCGACACTAGGGTAGGAGGCCGTTTGATGTGTCACTGTCGAGTCGACGGTGGGTGTGACAAATGGCAGGCTGAATGGTGTTCCCATGTTGGTAGCAACCGGGGTCGAATCACCACCTGCACCCGTGCTGAAAAGCCCTGGGCTAGCGAACTCGGACGGCGAGGCGGTTGTCGTAGCCGACATGGGGTGAGTGCGTGGATCGAACCCGTAGGCAGCAGATGTATCGATCCGCAGATTGAGAGCTAGCGGGTGGGTCGATTGCGGAATAGGAGCGAAGATCCCTGTGTCTGTTTGGCCGAAGTGTGCAGGGGTCTGGGAGAAGTTGTATTGTGCGAGCGGCGCCTGCATTGCAGAGAAGTCGACAGCTACCGGAACTGAACGGCTCCGTTGCCGCTTGTGACCACGGGCTGCCTGAACGCTCAGATGGGTCGGGGTTTCAGGGAACACATTCAGATACGCTTGCGCGAATTGATTCGGTTGCGACGCAGGACGCTGAATGAAAGGGGGTGACATGGGCGGGTTCATAGCGAAGTTGTTATAGGCGAGGCGATTCTGGAATGACTCCAGGGACACCAGTTTGGCGAGCTGAACGCTGAGAACCTTGGGATGGCCCCCAAGATGATGAACCAGAATTTGGCTTGCTTGCTGATCTTCCGTGAAGTCACCGCATTGGTAAAAGCCACCAGAGTTGGACGAATCCATGTAGAACAAGGGAGGTCGGTTCAATTCCACGACGAGACCGCTGGGCCGCGAGGGGGCGCCGTTTGGCCCGGGTGTCTGATCACCAGACTCCAAAGTGATGTTCTTGATGTAGGCAAAGGGGTATTCGATCTTGTATCCGGCAGAATCATTGTTGATATAATAAGTCATGCATGCCTTTTCAGGTGAATAGAAGACAACAAGGTCCATCGCATTTTGCCCAATGCGGCGCCAGCTGCCGATAGTCAAGGAACGGCACGTGAAGTGGTGGATAACTATGCCAGTCAGTAGATGATTTTAAACCGACTCAGCACGCAATAACATACCAACTTTGCCAGAAGGAGTCGGCTCTTGCGGGTAAACTCCATTGGCTCCATATCCCCCCGTCCGGCCAAAGGGGTCTCTTGCGCCAGGCTTGCTCGGATCGAATTGCATCGCTAGGTATTGGCGCATTGATTCCGGAATGGAATCGCACCCTTCACCGGTCTCGATACTCTTCTTCGCAAGCATCTTGATCTTGGCGCGTCTGTACCGGCGCAGTCAGTATGGTCACTGGAGCTGTGCACGGAGAAATCACAAACCTGTTTTGGAACCAGATCTGAACGGATCGCTCCGTCATGTTGATGTCCTGAGCAATTCTCTCACGAGTGGCGGCAGTGGGGGTAGGGTTCTTGTTGAATTCAACTTCGAGCGTAACCAATTGATCCTGAGTCGCGCGCTGGCGTTTGTTATTCTTTTGCTGTTGTGTCAAAGTGCTCTTCCTTTGGGGACGACGCGCGGAGGAAGCGGTGGTGGTGGTAGCGTTGGACATGGCGGGAGACGGGGTGGAGGTTTCCGAAGGAGACGAAATTGTCGTGGCTGCTGCTGCGGTAGCAGAGCATGGGGTGGTGGAAGGGTCAGGAGTGTCTGTCGAAGACATGTTTGCAGAGATTGATTGAAGTTGAAAGGTAGTGTGATATAAAAGGAGATACGACCAGGGTGGAATCGGATGTTCCGAAGTGTGTAGGGAAGGGACGAATTTTGGTGACGATCCGGTCGACAGTCAAATGGGATGGATAGGATATCGGTTTCTCTGAAGCAGCGTCAAGCGCGAGAGAAATCGTGATAGATTTAAACGAATGGAAGCGCTTTGGCTGTGAGACACGGGGTGATCTCGAAGACACAAAGCTGAGGCGGAGAAAAGCGCGCGTCGCGGAAGCGTCGATTGGGGATGATATAGTCAAAAAGACGGGATGAATATAAACAGCTGACCTAGGCAGCTTCAAGGGCGGAAAGAATCGAAGTCTTCGTGAACCAGAGACCGACGTAGATAGTTCTGTGATCAGGTCTCAATTGGCGTTAAAATCGAGATGCGATGTTATGCAAACTGGTTTGGGGGATCTCGGCGTGAGGTAAGCGAAGACAAGGAGAGTTGATCGAGTGATCGTGAAAGAGTGAAACGATCGACTGAAGCGAGCGGATGGGTGGTAAGTGAACGAATGGAATTGAAGTAAAAACAAGAAAAGAGTGAATGGGGGGGAGGGGGAAGAAAGGGAAAGGAAGGGAATGAGGATGGCCGGTAAGAGGAGAAAGGAAGAAGAAGAGAGAGGAGAGAGAGGAGAGGAGGAGGACAAACGGGTGGAGGAGCAAGAGGAGTAAGTGAGTGAGTGAGCAGTCCGTCAATCAGTCAGGAGATGCTGGCACTCCAGGCTGGCTCCAGGCTGGGATGGGGAAGTTCCCGAAACGGTTAGCGAGTCAGTAGTTGGCGCTGGGCTGTTTTGGCACCGGCTGTTCCTGAACTTCCTGACTGTCGCCGTGGGGCTGGCCTTTTTTTTTCCCTGCCTGTTTCTTTTCTTTTTCTTCGATTTTTCTTTTCTTTTTCCAGCTTTCCTTTTTTTTTTGTTTTTTTTTAAGTTGTTTTTCCTCCCTTTCTGTTGTTTTGTTTCCCTTGCTCTGTTGAATTATCTAATCCTTCCTTTCTCTCGGCTCTACGGGAAAAACAGTATCTTTGGCGAGCCACGTCCGAGGCGTGAATGGTCAAGGTGGTAATGAAATAGTAAATATACTAGGAGACAAAGAGGGAAAGGGCAGAATAATTGGGAAAACTGGGGAAATCATTCAGGGAATCGATGGTTCGGATTCAATCTCTCGATGAGAGCATATGCCTGCTTTAGACATACTGGTTTAAGCCGCTCTTATTTATCCTTCCCTCGCTGCAAGCTTGATATTGTTCGTATTTTGATGTTGTTTGTTTCTGTCTCGATCTGTGTCCCCAGCTTCCTCCCGTCGCTTTGTTCCGCCGGCCGGTAAAACAATGGAGACGTTACAGACCTTCACATGGCGTTTCCTGAAGCAAGACCGGAATGTTACAGAACCACCGTCCACCGCCTTGTTTTAGCCCCTGCATCCAGTTGCATCTTTGCGCCATCTGCAACTGGCTGTCCGGTCGTTGTTTAGTCGGTGTAGTCCTCGTTCTCCTCCAATGACAACCGGCGCTGCCTCGGTGTATACTCATAATCCCTCGTATCAGATGCTGTGAGGCTAAGTAAGGACTCACTCGGAACATTCAACCCCCCATCCACCACCAGGCATCTGCTGGTACGGCTGGTTAGTATACGCATCACCGCCTGCTGCGGTCGAGCAAGGCGTCGGCTGGAAGACGATCCCATTGGTTCAGCCATCCTGTTCACCGGATCGGTTGGTCTGAACGGTAGAAGATTGACTACCTACTGAACATCGACCACCATAAATAGGTGGTGCCCTGCTCCCCAACTTCGCGAGGTCCCTGCTTGTGGGAGCAGCTGCACCGAGCGAGCGCCCTCCCGCCGAACGAACATGGTCCGGAGTCCCGGACGAGTCCACTACTGACGTAGAGTCCCCTCTGGATCCGAAGCAGCAACGTGAGCTGGACCGTTCCAGAGAGCGGGCGGAAATCGCAGAAGCGCCCGACGTCGACAAGCTCCCTCGAAGGGTTTCAGGTAGTGGAGTACTGTCGCGACTTCGCCGAATCAAGGGCGTTCTTCGCGAGATGGAGCATCCAGGGCGCGATGAGGGAAAACAAGAAACAGTGACGAGGCCAAGAAAAAAAAGTAATCACAGATGCGATCTGCCGGCCGGGGTGAAGAAGGCTCTAGCCTCTAGATGCCTAACCACTGGCCATTGTTTGGGTTTGTTTGGGTTGCCGAAATTCTGAACAGTGCATGGACATGGTTCCTGGACTGCCTTCAATCCTTTCCATCCCAGCCACAGCGTCACAAATACCTACGATACGGACTGCCGCTGCCAGCTCGACCACCAGAACCGTGGGCGGTGAATGTCTGGATCAGGAGAGAACGGAGAAAATGGATAATGGATCCTTAGTCCATCCTCGGAACGGAGTAACCTTTGACTAACATACAGTTACAGCTGACGAACAAGGTAGATTCAATTCGCTGTCGTTCAACTCCTGTCCACAGTTGAGCTTTAGAGACTTTACTCTTCCAGTATGCCAATGTCATGACCTATTCGTACCTCCGGATAGACACTTCAAGGACTTCAAGTTGTCCTTTACGCGGCCCAGCTCGGCGACCTGTCCTGGACTGCCCGGTCTCCGCCCGTGCCGGCGGCAACTTTTTTCGCGCCCACCCTGACTGTGGTTGATTGGGCCTTCACGCCTGACAGCGCTAGCTTGAGGTGGAGAAGCGTCATCCACGGTAAGTTAGCTCCAGTTCTCGGTACTCGTGCTGCTGGCTGCCCGCTCGCTGACTTGGGTCTGAGACGGTTTCCATCGGTTGTTAGTGCGGCCGCCTAGTCTTCTATCTGGATTCCATCCCCGTTCCGGACACCCGATCATGAAAAAGATATATTAAATTCAATTAAATCAGGGCGACTAGTCACGAACATGAGTTGCGATCGAAAACAGGCTACGACTAAGCATGATCATACTGAGTAGTGATAATATGGGGAAACAATCTTTTTCCTACACGTTTGATCGTCAGGAGGCCTTACATCCTCCGTCGGTCTCTGTCCCATGTCCCCCTGCTGATGGTGGTCTTGCAGATGCAGATGCAGATGCAGGTACACAGCTCTTCTCCGACCTGCGCGTGCAGATTACTAAGGAAAGAAAGACTTCCGTACCTTACCTGAGATTTGCCAGTTGTATTACTTGAACTAAACCACTTCCAGTCAAGACGGGAGAAGGAGGGGGGGAGGAGGGGAAAGGGAGAAACTTCCTGAGGATGGATGCTGCAGTGAATGGGACAGGGTGTACAGATGATCCGTGCACTGATTCTGTGGATTAATCCCATTGGCGCAGGCCAACTCAGCCACCGGAGAGTGCCAGGCACACCCGCACCTTACCCGTCAGGGCAAGTCATCCATGGATCATTCATCCGCAGGGGAGGTCGAGAACTTCCAAGTTGCCTGTCGCCGACGCTAACGAAGATACTGACTGCATCCTAGTAAGCAGCCTAAACCAGCAGGGATAGGCATTATTAGGCACTGACCAGTCTGGCCGCCACCGGAGTATTCTCTTTCCTGACGCACGCTCGGGTTGTTGTCGATTAGGGGTAACCGTCCTGGAGGTGGCATGCACATGGAACCACAATCACGACCGTTTTTCCAGGGACACACCACGGTTCATATCCTCTCATGATTCATGCCGTCGTGCCTTGACCCGTCCCTGCTCCACCGTCAAGCATACACTCTGTATGGTCTCGGATTGCAAGCTATGCTTCCATTTAATTCTGCTACCAAGTCCGTAGTTCGGCGTACTCCGTGGGAGATTGGCTCTTCCGCGATGGCCGACTGAAGTCTGCCCCGTTTAGTGTCCAATAGTGCCTGCACGCCATCATCTGGCAGTTACCGGTCCGTTGAGGTTCGAGTTTCATCACCGAATTGTTCTTTCTCTCCTATCCAATCCATCCCTCTCTCCCTCACTAAGCCCAAACTCCCTTCCTGCAGAGCCTGGGGTCTAGCGCACGGAGCATGTGGTCTTCCTTACCCCCATGCTATCAACAAACTACCGCATCTGGATCAAGTGTCTGGACTGATGTGCATCCGCATGGCCAGCAAGTCACGTATCTTGAGTCCTTGTACCAATCTCGTCGACTTCCTCTTCGAATCGCGCACGGGGCATGTCTCTTGTCTTGGCAGCAGACCTCTGAAGCATCCGGAGGGGTAAATGAATCTTCCAACCCACTCTTCCTACTGTAACAGCTAGCATGCAGGCCTAGTGGTCTCCTTCTCGTGTGTGCTAACTCTAGTGCCATGCTGCAGGACAAGAAAAGACACGAAGTATAAAATAGAAATAGTCACGAACACAGTACGCACCACAATCAATAGTCCCGAGCCGACTTGGTACTTGTTCTCGGTGATCGTCGGGGATTCCCCATCCAAAAAAAAAATATTTATAGCCAACCCACACAGCACAGAGAGCGAGATGTTCATATGTTCCGCTTACCGATGCATGCATGCATTTGAGACATAATTGCTACTTTTATATATTCCTCGCTTACGAGGATAGGGTGGATTTGACTCTAGTGACATTAAGCTAGCGAACTAACGCCGGTGAGAAGCTTTCGCTTAGGACTTCGCCTCCATCAGGGCCGGACGACTAGAGGTGCTAGAGTATGTTCTGTACATAGTACTGTGCATGACCTTCTGCTTCGGACTTGCTTGTCTCCATATGGGCCCCTTTCTAGAGAACAAGTAGTGGAAGCCCTGTTGTGGCAAGTCGGGGAGCTCCTTTATGTACTGTACAGATACACTTTAAAGTGCATAAGACTAGAATATTAATGGATCATCAATCAGAACCATCGCCAAATAGAGAAGGAACGCTGCAATCCTAGTGCAGTGTCCAGTACTAATCCGGTAGAAAACAGGCCGATGCAAACTCGGTCCAAAACCAACAAGGGATGCAATCAAATAACATTATTGCCTGATCGCCACAACCCGCCACATCGTGGATCTATCTTGCAACCCATCTTGCATATCTTGTTGAGTGTTGAAACATATACCCAAAACTCACATAGACACCAAATCGGAAGCGTTCCATGTTTCGGTCTCAGCACATAGTCACCAACTAGTGGCTTGAATACTGTATCTTCGAAGGTTGACACCCCAGAAATAGATTCAAGCGACTTATATCTTTCATCTCTGGCTTTTGAGAAGATTCAGACAAGCAGAATCCAAGCTCAACAATTTCAAGTCAGACTCAATGCTAGATGACCGAGAGGCGTAACTTGGAATCTAATCAGAAACGACATCGAATCGGGCCCGCCTGACAGTACATGCGAATGCGCACTGGAATTACTCCTCCTCTCCTTCTATGCCAGTGCGTACGAGCGCCCTTGACCATGATTTCGGAATGCTCAATGAAGAAGATGAACGAAGAACTGCCTTGTCCGTCTAAAGTCATTTCTCAAACTACGTTCATGTCGCGCGCAGGATAGAATGATCCGAAGTCGATCGAGCACTACTTCCTAGCAACAAATGGAACGCTAACTACACATCGTCACCCTGCAACCAGCACAAGGGCGTACGTACCCACTGAACATTCATTCCAGCTTGTATTTTTTATCTTTCATTCATGACTGATTCATCATCTTACCAGCAGAATTCCCGAAAATGCTGTTCCAATAGTCCCGAGTCTGCTGGCAGATCCCTGTCTTCCCCTTCCAACTCAGAATCTTTCCCTCCAGCACGCAGGCCGTCCAACGGATCTCTTCCCAGAATCTCTGCTGAAGATTGTGCCCGAACGAAGCCACGACTTCTTCGGAGGCTGTCCACGCCAGCGTGTACTGCCCTTTCTCATCGATCACCGGGCTCGTCACGCCATTTTCCGCGAAGATCGTGGCGGGGTTGAACTTGGGGTAGTTGACGTGCACAAAGAATGGATTGGGGGTGGGCGCGCCCGCCCCCTTGACTCTCCAGACGCCCTTCTTGGTCAGGGCGTAGTCCTCGATCGGACTGTACTGCACCATGGTTGAGCCAGCGAAACCGTTGGGTGTCCGGCGCCCGACTGCACGGATCGGTTCGCTAACTTGGTAGAAGGACTCACCGAGGGCACTGGCGGCGGCAAGAAAGGTCTCCTTGTCCCCTTCGCCGGCTGCGCCCTGCGAGAGAAGCGGGTAATAGTGGCTGGGGCCATAGAAGTTATAGTATGCGGCTAGAAGAAGCGTTCGAAGGTGAGTGCGCTTGGAGATAAGCACTTCCCCCGACTCTGTCGACTGACGAAGGCCGGTCGGGTTGGCCGGCTGTGTTGGGCTGTCTTTCGGCGACGAGATCTTATAGTACATGGGAGACGTGGTCGGGCGCCAGAAATCGGGCCAGGTGATCAAACCCTTGGACTTGAACGGGTCGGCTTGGAACAGATCTTCCGGTTTTTGCAGGGCAAAGGCATCTGCGTCAAGGAAGAGAATCTCCTCAAAGGACGAGAACAGCATAGCGAAGATTTTATACTGATACTTCTCAATCTTGTTCGTGCTGTCGGGCACCGCCTCCAGAATCTCAGACAGAACCACGCACTGCGCATTCAGCGAGGGGAGGATCACCTGGCAGATGTACCCATCATACTCCTCCCAGTCGGCGAGGAATACCTCCATCGGCAGAGTTGAGCCCGTGTGCCGCAGCATGCGCAGCGATATTACCAGGGTTGGCAGATACGGACCACCGGCTGTCGAGACCAGTCCGCGCGTGCGGGATTGGTAACTGAGTTCAGGAGGGGCCCGCTCGATCGTATTGACGAAGGCTGTGTGTGCTTGTTTCATCTGCGCAATATCGTCGGCCGGCATCCTCAACAGGTCAGGTAGCGGCTCGGTGCTCTTGGGATCGAATCCAGCGGATTCAGCATTTCCCAGTCGTACTGGAGGCTGACAATTCGGCGCCGAGTCCACGAGGAGCGGATGGAAGTCTCTCCAGAATTGTTCATGGCTGTGAGTTGTTTCGCCGCTTTGCGATCGTTGTGAGGCAAAGAACCAGACGCAGAGGGCCACAAGCCCCAGAGCAATGAAAGTGTTCTGCCGCCGCAGCTGCATTCGAGACGCGGGCATTTTAGACGGGATCGTTCGAGGTCATAGTATACTCATCGAATCGGTCGGTCGGCAGGTCGATCGAAGAGGGTGTAATGGCGTGGACAGCGTGGCTCTCGTTCGCAAAGAGGGGAGGGAGTGCCTGCGGTTTGCGACCGGAGTCTGTCCATATAACAGCCCAAGGCGCACATCCTGCTTGGCGGGCTAATCGACGATTGGTGGGAAGCGACGGTTAGTATGGAGAGATTTGGCTCTAGCTGGAGTAAGTAGTCAGTGAAATTACACCTCGGAGACGCGGCGGGATCTCGTCCTCAGTCCTTTCTTACTCTTTTGGCCCCAACTCCATGGATGGTCCCACCCGCCGAGCCAGCAAAACAAACCCCCGAGGGCGGAGCCTCCCTGAGCTGAGGAATTGTATTGTATTGTTGGTTGACTGCTGAGTACCCACGATCTAACTATGGCCTATCGATACTTACTTTTACTCTCCCTTCTGCACACGAGCCTCTTCAGGCTGAAACAATCTCGATCAACTCTGCGCACGTACTCCTGCTGTTGACTGATGCTCACACTCTTTCTCCGCTCATCACGCAGTCCGATCACCCAATTGCCACTCCAATAGATGTTTTCGCCGAGCGAGAAGGATTCTCGACTTAATTGAAGGATCGTCAACTGGGGAAGCAGACTAGACGCTGATTTGCGGTCCAGGGCAATGCCACAACTCGCCATGCGAGCTAGTGACCGTAGTCGAAGCCTGTCCCGCCCCGGATACGGCCCTATATTATGAAACCGCTATTGACGGGCAGGTCTTGCTGATGGGTCTGCTGCCCTAAGTAGAGAAGTCTGCTCCTGCCGTTTATACCATGTCCCCAGGCCATGCTCTCTAGTGCCGTCCGATTCCTGACCATCCGGCGGAAAGGCTCACAGTGAGCCAACCCTGCCTTGTCCATCAACATGTCGACCCAGGGGTACACAGACTGCGTCCCAGGGACATTCTACGGCCTCAAGAATAAGGAGGTGAACCCGGGGGACGTCCTCCAGCTCCGATGGGGTGCGATCGACAATGGAGACACTCCACTTAACATCTCCTTGGGCCGCCGGGGAGGGACGCTCATTGATGAGATTACTGGTTCGTGCTTGAATTGTCTCAAGATTCGTGTTTGCTTGCCTGCGCAGCAGGACATCGGGCTGACTTCGTCTGGATCTATAACCAGTTGGAGCCAAGTTCACCACCACCAGCTCTCTTTACCAACTTATCGTCAATGACACCGCCAACTGCACCCTAGAACAATACACCTGGGCCATCCCCAGCGGGTTCAACACTACCAACCCACAATACCAGATCGGATTGTTCAACGCAACTGCCAAACTAGGAACCTATGGGATCGATCTATATGGCTGGATCAGCTGGAGTGATTACTTCTACGTTCGCGAAAAGGGCGCCGCGACCACCACCACCACCACCTCGTCGACCACCTCCACTGGCTCAACACTTACCACCAGCACCGCGACCGACGGCTCGTCCGTTACCACATCACCCGCTTCCTCCCACAGCAGCAGCTCCAGCTCGAATAGTGTCGGCATTGGTGTGGGTGTGGGCGTCGGCGTCGGTGCGGCCGCCATACTCGGGGCCCTCGCATTCTTTCTCCTCCGTCGGCGCAGCAAGAAGAAGCAGAGGGTCGTGGCCCCAGCGCAAGAGACGAGCGAAGTGGCAGGTTCGCCACTGTACGAGTTGCCTGCCCCAGCGAAGAAGCAGCCTGTCCCGGAGGGGACGCAGATGTACGAGTTGCAGGGGTGATCGGTCGGTTTCCGACAAGGATGATGGACTTCGAAGGGCTCTTCAGCACCTGTTCGGTGTTCATCCAGACGATAAAAGAGAGAGTGACATTGAAGAGCTACAAGCCACTCAACCTATCCTAATCTTCAACCCATTCCAGGAGGACAATGCAGCCCTAACTTGCACCCCACATTCACCAACCACCACAAAGGCATGAGCACTATGACCGGTGTTGGCTAGTGCCTCCTTTCCCATTTACGATGGTGGAATACCAACCGCCCAAACCGCACAGTCTACGTACGGTGCCATAAAACATGTCCCGTCCGAACTGGGAGCGATTGCAAGGAAAGAAAAGGAAGCTTCTACATTGCATGAGGGCACACTGGATGACTTATTTTTTTCTTAATTATTTACTACCCATTATCTACCGAGATACCACCCCGTCTGTACAGTATAAATTACTTACCTTATTCGACTTCTCTTATCGAATCGAACGCTAATGTCGATTCACATGTTTGAACTGCTTATCGCTCTGCATAGTATGTCAAAATGCCGTTGTCACCTTTTTTACAGGTCGTGGGACCCGCCAATCTCACATCTCCTATATCCTACGTTCGTTGCTGGGCGGCCCGCCGTGCGTACCGTACCCACTATTCTACGATTACGATCTTGAAGGCGAGCATGTACGGGATCCAAAAGGGAAACCCAGTAGGTAGGTATATTGAAAGAGACTAGATGTACATACTCTGTGCCTAGTCCATATCTATGCATAAACACTTTCTTCGTTTGTATGTATATATGTATGTACGTATGTACTGGACCTTATCGTATGGCCTCAATCAGGCCTTGCCATACAGCCACTGATACCTAAGCCATCGAACAGGGTGGTGTATATAAGCACGACAAAGACGGCAGGCAGGGTGTATACAATGGAGAGAAGACAGAACAGCCGCCTACTCCCACGCAAAAAAAACGAGAGACAGAAAGAGAGACAGAGAAAAAGGAGTTTGAGTGGGAACAACAAGCAAGCGAAAGCTAAGTAAGGTATGGGGTATCCATTTTCTGTCAAAAACGCCATGATGATAATGATGATAATGATGAAGATGAAGTGACACGCTTGGAAAAGCAGATAACAAGATTCATGATAAGAGGCATGCCATATTCTGGCTCTCTTTTCTTTTCTTTTCTTTTCTTTTCTTTTCTTTTCTTTGCTTTGTATGTCATGTGATGGTATGGTATGTTTGCGGCTAGGAGCGAGAGGGGTTCACTTCAAGTGGCCTTTCCGGATGGCGCCGTATCCCTTAGAGAAGAGCTCGTGGATCTCGACGGAGCGGCGCGGGGTCTTGGTTCCCTCGGGATATTCGATCGCTTCTTCGTCTTCTGGCTCACGGCTGCTCGCTCTACTTCTGTGGGGATGTTGGTGATGCTCTTCTTTCAGCTCTAGCTCGGTCGCCACTGGACCGTCGTCTGTTTTCTTGAGGGCGGCGGGCGAGACCATGACTCTGGGCCGCGCCAGCAACTCCCGGACGTGCTGCTCCTTGGCTTCCATTTCCGCCTCCTCCCGCGCAAGCTCGAAGCTCGACTTCTTCTTCCCGTGGTCCCAGCCCTGTTGAAGCTCGGGGGCGGCGGCCTCTTCAAACCGCATCCGGATGTCCAGGTCCTGCTCGTATTCCTGGAAAACGTCGACGTCGGTGGGGAAGAAGAGGGCCCGCAGGGCGGAGACGGTCATCTCGAAGATGACCACGCTGATGACGGTCACGAGCAACACAGCCCAGAACGCTAGGTCGTGGCCTGAGACGTGAACGAAATTGCCAAGGACATGGTAAATGCCGTCACCAGAGGAGGGATTGTAGCGGAGATCGAGGATCAAGTTCCACAAGAACCAGCCACCGACGGAAATGATCCAGACCGCTAATGCCATGTATGTCTTGTTGTGCACTTCGAGTGCTTGAAGTTTCGTGTTGATAACAATAACACAGGCGGTGAAAGTGAGGAGACCGGCGGAGAAGATGTCACTCCCGGTGAAGGTGAACATGACATTCTCGAAGAGACTGAACATAAGAAAGTAAATAAGCATGGCTTCGCAGGTGGCCATGAAGGTCCAGCCGAGGTATAACCGGATGTTGAACCCTCCGTGGCGTTGGCCTTTGGTGTAGAGTTCTGGCACAGCGAGGAGGGTTGAAGCGGAGAGATCTTTCGTGAAGATACCCAGGAAAATGACTGCAAGTGATGTAAAGAGAGTGTTGAACATGCTCAAACTCCAGGACTCGTAAAGACTAGTGCCTGTATAACCATTCCAGTGTTGATAGAGAGCTTGCGTGAGGTAGAAAAGCATCTCCTTCCAGAACGTGCCGAGGGTGTACTTGCACACGCGAATGTAGTTCCATCGGCCGTGGACAAGGAGAAGCTTGAGCAGGAAACGGAACTGCGCAATCGAATAGTCGGAGATACGAGCAGCCTGGAGCCCCTCCTTCCCAGTGATGCCGATACCGACATGGGCTTCCTGGATCATGGCGATATCGTTGGCACCATCGCCGATGGCCAGTGTCACGCTATCTTTCACTTGCTTGCGAATCGAATTGACTAAGAATGCCTTCTGCTTGGGGCTGGCACGGCAGCAAATCACTGAATCCACGAGGACGGCCAAACGGAAGAACTGCGCTTCCAGAGTCTTGTCAGCTTCGATCATCGAGAGGGTTTGCCCGTCGACGACCACCACCGAGTGCGCCACTGTGCCTTTGGTGATGTCGGCAGTGAACTTGACAATTGTTCGCTCGACTTCTCCAGTCTCTTGATCGAGAATTACCAAAGAGGAATAGTCTTTCACCAAGCGACACGAATGTCCGACATTGATCGCCGTCTCACGTTTATCACCAGTAAGCATCCACAGCTTGATGTTCGCCCGGCGCAGTTTGTCGATAGCCCCGGGAACACCCTTCTGAAGCTTGTCTTCGATGGCCGTGGCACCCGTAAGCTCGAGTTGATTTTCTATCTGCTCGCCCACCGCCTCAATCTTCTCCTGTCGGTCAACGAGACTGGTGCAGGCTTCAAGATAAGCCTTTTTCCAGCTTGTGTAGGTAGTCTCATCGAGAAACCGATGCCCATACAGAAGTGTCCGCAGTCCTTCCGTAGCAAAGTCGTTAAGATGCTGAAAACATCTTTCGAACACAGCCGTCTCGTTGACAACAAGAGCTTCCTCAACCAAGTCATCCTCCTCATTTTCATGGACAGAACTTCCTGAATCCGACAGTGTGCTAGATGCCCGTCCCAGCTGGGCAGACGGTCGAGGGCTATAGTACTCAGGGTCGTTGCCACGCGTCAAAAGACCGCCATCAGTTTCCCTATCTCGGAGCCAAACGTCAATGCTCTCCCTCAGGGCCGAAACAGGTTCGCCTGTAATGCTTGACCGTCGTCGCGACATGCTAGGCCGGCTGAAGCTAGTCCGAAGGCCGCTATCCTTGCGACTATGGTATTCGCTGTTGCGCCGAATGACCTGGTCAGCCTCGGCTGCCTTACGTTTGCTGGCGCGCCTCTCGATCTCGACTGCTTTCTCTTGTGCGAGGGCGGCACGCTTGAGCAAGCGCATGACATGGCTGTCGGCACCCTTGCAAAATAGACAAATGCGCTGATCAGGCATCCGAACCACAACCGACATGCGTTTGCGGGCGCTTGAGAATTCGATGATATCCATAATCTCGTAAATTTCGTCACAAGCGGGCTCATCGAGCCCTTTGGGATATGTCCGAATTGTCAGAGTGTTCGGCTGCCGGTCACGGACTAGATAGCCAAGCTCCTGTGCAGCCATGACTAGAGCTAGCTCGTCAGGGGATGCCGCTTGGAACGAGATGTTGCCATCTTCGTCATCCTCGGGGATACAAGTATGGCATACCGCCATGGCCAGTATGAACATCTTAGCTTTCCGCGCAAAGACGGTGTAAGGCTTGCGCTGGATATACCGGAGCATGTCTGTCGTGCGGTTGTTACGCATCGAGACGTTAGGTCCCTGCAAACCGGTAGCCGTCGACATGGAGGACCTCGGTGGATGTCTTCTCGCCTCCGAAACATTAGACTTGCGACTGAGCGCCTTTTTACCCTTCGTACTTCGCTTTTTGTGGATCAGCTTAGTATGATCGCCGTCCTTGGCAGCTTCTTCAAGAAGGTCAAGGTCATGGTACCACGCAGTGCCGGCCACACTCATTTTGCGGAAGCGCATCGAATTGTTCGTCAACGTACCGGTCTTGTCAGAGAAAATGTAACTGACTTGGCCGAGCTCTTCGTTAATGGTTGATGTGCGTGCTTCAATGGGGGTGTCGGTCTCTGGGTCGTACATGTCGATATCGGAATTCAACAGAAGCATCTGGGCGACCTTGACAATCTCCATACTCACATATAATGAGATAGGAATCATCGTGTTGAACATGATGAGGAAAGATGTGAAGATCGGTCCGATGTCCACACTTGCCTTGTAGAGGTACCATGATCTTGATTCGACGTCTTCGGACCAATACTTGTAAGCGATCGTGCAGGCTACAGCTAGAATTACAACAAGCGTCACGATCAACATGACGACCCGGTTGACTTTGGCCTGGAGCGAGGGCGACTTGATTCGAGGGTTCTTGTTCGCGTTCATACGAATCTTGCATTCCTCTCCTGTGTAGATGACCATTCCAATCGCTCTTTCGGTGTTGCGCATAATGCTACCGCGGTAGAGGACTTCGGTGTTGGTCAGGGGCAATTTATCGTCCGCAGCGACCGTGACATTGCCATCAAACTTATAGAGGTCGAGGTTGGGGTCTTCAACCGCAAAATGTAGAGCGCTGCTGCAGATGCCTTCAACGGAGCCACACACCTTTGCTACCGGCTGCAAAGGCTGCTTGTTCTTCAGGTTCGTCTCGCCGTCGAGAGCCATGGTTTCGATATAAGCCACGCCATTTGGTCCGTCCGCATGGAGCAGAACCATATCCGCCGGCACAGGCTGGTCACGCGCCAATTTTACCACATCGCCGACCTTGATATCCTTCCATTTGATCTCAGTCCAGTCTTGCGCGTCACTAGCCACAGAAATGCTGTCGCTGGCAGAAGCCGGATGGAAAATTCCAGCACCGGGACGCAAGACAAGCGCACTCCGGTTGTTCTCCTCTTTGTCCAATCGGTAACGACGCCAGTCATCAAACCCTTCTTTACCCATAGAGATGCCGACAAAGACCAAGAGCGGGACGATTGTGGTGTAGGTACCAGTGGTACTCAGACCAGGAATCATCTGCAAAATCGCGACAATTAAGAAGTAGAAGTTCGCGAGCTTCGTAAACTGAGCGAACAATTGGCGGGGAAAGAAACTCCAGAAGCTGTATCGACTTGAGCGAATAGAGTTTCCTAGATAGGGCTTTCCAGTTCTTTCATCTATCAATGCCTCCGTGCGGGTGAGATCGAGGTCGATGTGGCGCCCGTCTTTGCTTGGAGGAATTTCCTTGATGCGAAGTATCGTTTTGCGGACCGTCTTAGACATGGTCTCCAACCGAAGCGTCAGCGTGGCGATCGCGGCTTTCCGCTTCAACCATCGGTCATATGAGAAGGTGGTGGAAAGGTGCCTGCCATCCTTCAGGTTCTCTGAAGGTTCCGAGTAGTAGGTTGTGGATAAGTCCAAATTTGCATCCGAGGCAGATCTTTGCATGACCAGCACCTCCTGTTTCTCGTGTGCGGTTGTCTGCCTGTTCTCGTCCGCCGTCGTTGTCTGAGCGAGACCATTTGCTGAGGCTTCCGCCTGCTGGGGGCTCACTGGCAGAGCGGTACCCAACTCAATCGCGTCGGGGGAAGAGACAGCCGACTGCGACTCGATGGTTTTGGCGAAAATCGTCCGTCGCAGGGAATACCCACGGTGGCGGGATCTCGACCGACCTCCAGCATCAGGGCTCTGCGGGGACGGAGGGGACAATGCGGAGCGCGGAGACCATGCCGAGTTGGCATTTGAATTCTCGGCGACGTTCGTGTCAATAGTCAGTCCCCTCGAGGCTGGTCGTCGATCCCAATTGGACCGCTGGACCTCATCCGGCGAAGGGCGTTCTAGATCAGTCGAGAACCGAACATGGTGCTGTTGCGACGGTCGTCGACCTGCGTCGGAGACGGCGCGGGACGGGGAAATCGAGGAGCGGCTGGGGACAGCATTTGTTCGTGTGGAGGGTATCTGCAGGGATTGGCTTCTAGGGAGCTGGGAGGCGGGAGTGGAACCGTCTGTTGAAGAACGCTCTTGAGCTGTTGTCGTTGGCTGTTCTGCAGATGTCGCTTCCCGTGGAATGTTGTTCGACTCTGGTGATTCATGCTGTCGGGGCATGGCGAAAGGTCGGAAAATGCAATGACCAGCGAAACCCGCTTGTCCAATAATCGCCTTCCTGCCAATCTACTGCCAATAGGTTTCAAATTAGACACCAAAAAATGAAATGCGATCGTGAGGCGAATCGGTTGTGCTGCGCGGGTCAAGGTAGTCAACTGCCGGACTCATTCTTCGGCCTAGACCCAGCAACTGAGATAGTATTCAATGAGATCCACTTAGGCGGAAGACGTCATGAAGCACCCACAGATGTTGGGATAATGACAGTCTATTGCAATATGTACAAAGCAATTTGCGATGCAGTGTGTATATCAAGTCGGCCGCGCCAAGTAATTAGCGAGATAGCGACAAGAAGTGGCCGTGGGTGGGGGGGAGAAAGGCGAATGCGACGGATGAAACGAAGCAGAAACGACTGTGGGGGTGGAGTACCACTGTAAATCAGCCGGGAGGTGAAGAATAATATGTGACACGGCCCTTGGGAGGGATTGTTGTCCAAAGGCTATGTTGATGAGAATAAACAGGAGAGAAAAACAGAAGAATGAACAGGAACCGGCGTGTGGTCACTTCAGTCTGTAAACTAACTTGGACGGTTTTCCGCAGGCGGCGAGGGACCAGTTGAACTTCAGTGTATGATGTCCCAAAGTGGGTAAAGTGACGAAATTGTGAAAGGCAGAAAAAAGGGGTCCTGGCAATGAAAGCGGTCACCCTGGCCGAAAATAGATGAACCGCCGCCACTGGCTGATAATCGGTCGGTAAGACTAGACTGCACGCAGTGTGTACAGTACATACAGGACAGTAGTAAAGATGCGGTAGGCAGGGTAAGTAGGGAGAAAGAAGAGAGGGAGAGGGGGAGGGGAAGGGGGAAAGAAGGAAGGAGACTGAAAGGAAGAAGAAGATGGCGAGTTGGAGGAGAAAGGAAGGAGAACTTAATTGATTGAATTGATTAATTGCGATCAAAGAGACAGAGAAGTATTTACCAAGTCTCTTGAACTTACTTTATGAATGCGGAGGCACCTTAATTGCTGCCCGGCCATTCACACCGGTCGCTTTCTCCGCCCTCGACCAGAACCTGCAAATCGAAAAAGGGCCACGCAGCCATCCTAAGTTCAATTCAAGGTTCTTTTCCTCCAGGCTCAAGGGCTCATGCACTGCACTGCACTGCACTGCCCTCTTCCACCATTATTCAACCATCCGATCTCAGACTAATAATAATACTCGTCTTTCCAACCCAGACAGCCCGCTGATCTAAAGTCACATCCCACTCATCCTTAGAGAACTTTAGATGAACCCCTCCGTGGCGGAAGAATCTCCACCAGTCCCGTATCCTCGAATATGCATCCATGGCCAACCCTGAACCCAGAAACTTCTCCAAATCCACTCATCCATCAGTCCTTCCATGGACACAATCATTGGCGACTGGATACTACTTGATGAGTGCGTATACTTTCCTTCCCCCGCGTGGGTGCACGCCAATGTGGTGGCAAGAAAAAGTCGAACTGTGCCTAGACTACTCCGTAGAACCAAAGAAAACCGCAAGGTATGGGCGGGGCAAAAGAAAAAGCCTGGAACAACTCCGTAGAACAACCCAACCATTCGATGCACGCTGAAGGAAGCCGAAGAACTCTACTACCAGTGCCAGGCTAGTGGCCATTCAACGGCCATCATCTGTCCCTGTCATGCGCGGCTGCCTGCGCGCCCACTGATCCCTCCGATATGCCATTTGATTGGCTGGAAAGTTTGTGGATGGGTTGAACGAACACTGCACTGCACTGCACTCAGTCCACTGTGACATGGAGATGGAATCCTACCTACCCTCATACTGCCTCAGTGGTACCAAACTGAAGGTTGAATGAAGATGAAGCATAAAAAAACATACAACAGAAGGGATTCGCTGGTGGTCACCCACCCAACTACTAACCTCCCGGCGTGTGGCTTGAGTACGGCTGAGCGGACGGGAAGCCCTATTTTCCACACCCTGTGGTCGTATGTGCCTGTATACCCCTAAGTAGATAATATATAGATAAATACTGAGGAAACTCTGCAACCTACCCCGATTACTGGAGCCTAATATGGCCCTGCTTCATGGCAAATCCACAACCCCAACAACAAGGTAATCCTCTGACAGTGGCAATACCCCTCGATGACAAAGGCAAAACTAGATCTGTTCTTGACGGATCTACTCAGGCTGCTACGAGTGTCCTGACAGAGGATGCATTGCAGTAACTCGACAGCTGCCATAATTACCGAGTAAATAATCTCGTGATTATGTCTCCCATGACGTCACTGACAGGCGGAAAAAGCAACAACTGCCGATCTTTGTGCCTGGCCTACGTCAAGTGTCAACTCGTCGTCAGCTAAACCCCACGCCTAGCTTCGTCGGGCCTTTGTCTCGGAAACTACCATAGAATAAGGTACGTCACGTTGCGATCTTACAGAGGAAACGCTCTCAGCCATCTGCATTATTGCCATTTTTCGCGGCTGTCCTAATCGAATAGCAGTGCTCGTGTTCAACGTAAATTATCAACTGTTACAAACGAAAGCAAATCCCAGAGCGATCCAGCATCGTCCGTCCTCTTTCCACAGACATGCTGCCTCCTGCTTAGTAGCGGGGAGGCGCTCCGTACCCAGTGTAGCCTCGTGTAGCTCCACCGGAGGATTGTCCATAGCCGGGCTGGTTGGGATGCGGGGAAGGGGCGCCATATCCGCCACCGTAGCCCTGGCCATAGCCCTGAGGGGGACCCTGAGGGGGACCCTGACCCTGGCTAGGCGGGTATGGTGCCTGGTTGTATCCCGGTCCTGAGCCATACTGTCCCTGCGGTGGCTGGTTGTAGGCTTGGGCTGGAGGCTGGTTGTAGTTATACCCACCATACTGACCGCCCGGCGGCCCGGGAGGTGGAGGACCGCTGCGCCCAGCAGCCTTTTCATCTTTGGTGTCATATGAAGAGTCAATAGCACCAAGCATCAGTTTGGCACACTAGGAAAGGATCAGCCATAAGGTATGCAGCGGACGGAAACGTTGATGGGCACTCACCCAAAGCTCGCGAGTCAAATGCACCGGGGGGTTGGCCCGTGACATTTCATCTTGCTCGACCTCGAAGTCTAGATTCTCAATTAGCGTCTCCTGCCATCATGGCACGGCAGTAACATACTAGAGGTGCAATCAATCAACGCGCCAATCTGAGGATCTTCGTCAAGAGAGGCCAGGAAATCCCGCGCCTTGGTGTCGTTTCCGACCTGTGAAAACTGGAAGGAAACGGCTCCTTGTCCATACTGAGTGCGAGAAACTTCGCTGACAGCATAGCCAATGGCGTTCGACACACTATCCAGAGGCTCACCAGCAGGCTGTCCATCAGTGATAGTGATAATGAGAATCGGCTTCTGGAGTCGGCCTGCCCTCGCCGGAGCCACCACCATCGGGTCTAAGATTTTGTTGCGCAGGCTGGTGCCCAGCGGGGTAAGACCCTGGAAACGAACCCGCGACACGAGGCGGCTGACATCATCCGCGTTGCGAATGCCATCGCCCTGCTCAGACGAATTCATGAACCGCACCGAAATGCCATCATCATCAAAGGTGGAAGCAGCCGATGCGACGACCTCGAGGATCGATCGCAGCTGTTCCTTTCTCACACCTCGTTCCTCAAATTCGATGGAGCCACTGTCGTCCACATACAAGATGACATCAAAGAGGGACAATTTCATAATGTCCATAGCCACTTCAGTTGGGATGTTGAGTTCATGAGTCAACTTGTTCACCTTCATGGGCGCCTCATTGGACAGAGCCTGAATGAGTGCATTGAGTCTTTCTGGCGGATAGAAGCTTTGAAGACGTTTCTCTTGAATAGTCGCGATCAACAGCTGTCGGTAGGCAGCGACCTGCTGCTCCGTCGCACGACCGGGGGGAGGGGCACCGCCAGAGGGGCCATACGCAGCTCCAGGGGGGCCACCCTGCTGGGGAGGACGGACAGGCCCACCGGAGTAAGGCGCATTTTGAGGAGGATAAGGCTGACCCTATAACATCAGACTCTGTCAGTACGAGTAAAACCCTTCTGAAAACATGCATCAAGGTAACAGCGCGAGTATGAAAAAGAGAGAAGACAGCAATTGCGGAGTGGCGGGACGAAATATGTACTTGAGATATAGGCTGTTGAGAATACTGGGGCGCGGTTGATCCATAGGGCTGACCCTGGGGCGGGGGAGGCGGGGGCCGGCCGTAGCTCTGCTGCGGCTGAGGAGACTGTCCATAGGGCTGGTCCCTGGTGCCATAGGGTGACGGCTGAGCGTAGCCTTGCGCAGGAGGCGCCTGGGCGCCGTACGGTGCCTGCGGATACGCCTGGCCATACGCTTGAGGAGCGGGCGACGGAGAAGGATTTGCCGGAGCAGGATAAGCGGACTGTGGACCAGGGTAGGGCGATTGCGAGGTCGGATAAGATGGTTGTGCTCCAGGGTAAGGCGACTGCGAGGTCGGATAAGACGGTTGTGCTCCAGGATACGGCGACTGAGGGCCAGGGGAGGGCGTGTGAGCAGGCTTATTGGGAGGAACCGATGGAGCTGCGTACGCCTGGTATTGTCCCGATGGTGAGGTTGGATAAGGAGACTGAGGGGGCTGGGTTGATCCAGGACGGAGTTGAGAGGGGTGACCGTAGGGGTCATAGTATGGCCGAGACATGGTTGACGGTTTGCGCCCGGGTTCTCGGACGATGACGAGCACGAAGGATATGAAGGTTGGAAGAAGGCAAGATGCGGGACACACTCAGGTGTAGGTAATGATAGAAGGGGCACAGGGGGTGAGACGATTTAATAGAGTGGAGTTATCTCCAAACTCTCGTTCATTCGATGGTGACTGATGGAGGAAACTCCGAAAGGAATGGATGGAGGGGGGTTGGGAAAAGAATAGTTCAAGAAGGAAGTCAGGACCAAGTAAGGAAATTTCTAGCTTACCGGACCACCAGCAGGAGCAGGAGAGCCTGAGTAAGCCTGATATTGCTGGCCCTGTTGCTGTTGAGGTTGCTGCTGTTGCTAGTGGGAGAAATGCGTCAGCCTTGAGGGGCGAACAGGAGATTGTAAGAGACCCAAAAATGCGGGAAAGTTGATTGAATGAATCATGATGAATGGATGGATGGAATGGAAACATCATCATGGGTGTGTGTGTGTGAGGGGCGACGGGAGAGGAAAGGAATTAGTCACTGCGTAGGGCGGACTCACATATCCACCGGGTGCTCCTCCAGGCTGCAGTGAGCTTGGAGGTCCTCCAGTATAGCCAGCGGGCGGTGCGCCTCCATACACACCACTACCACTACCACCAGGCTTGTTGGTGTTCATGCTGTTGGCGATCTTCGAAGCGAACTAGAAATGAAGGAACGCAAGTGCAGGATGCAGCAGTTAGTCAAGCACACCAAAGAGGATCTCTATACTTGTTCCTCGAGGCAGGGCAGGTTGACGTGTTCAAAAGGGAGATGATGCAGATGATTGCAGGTCGAGCTTTTGGGATGAGCGGGGCAGCAACGCGGGGCAGTTCGAATAATCAAGATTGATTACTGAATTGGAAAAGAGCAGGTGGGACGAAAAGAACTCAAAGAACTTAACTTACCCCCATGTTAGACGGTTTAGTCCGTTGTAGATATCTGATTTTTGTTTGTGTTCCTTTGGAAGGTTGGGAAAAGGAAAGGGAAAGGGAAAAGTCGGGATGATAGTTCCTGCAGCTGTTTGGATATAAATCTGGTGATGTCGTCACTTGTCAAGACTCAAGAGGGGCAGAGCGGGAAGAAGAAAAAAAAAAATAAAAAAAAAAGGAGAGAGCGACCCGGCTTCAAAGGTCCACACAGCCACAGTTCAGATCAAATGAGCGACCGGCTAACCCAATACTAACTTAGTCTTGAGGGGGCTTAGATATCTACTGAGTCGAAGATGACGACCGACTGATCTCGTTCGGAGACCCACGTTGAGTTGGACAATTCTATACGAAGTAACGATGCTCGTCCAAGGCTTAGTCTCCTGGGGAGGTATATGTATCTACTTAGTACGTTCTTTATCATTTAGACTCATTTAAAGTCTGTTAGATTAACCTCTCAAGGTAGTAAAGGCAGTCGGTCATTAGTGCCTCACAAGGCTGATCTCCCACCGAGACATAAGGCTGCACTGCATCCATCTACATAAAGCCTGCTGAAGATACCAACTCTTCAAGCATAATAACAAGCACATGACTGGCTGGCGATGAGCACAGCCTGTGATCTCACAGAATCCTGCCAAGATATCAAATCAAGTAGAATGGCTATACCAGCTGACTGACATTGGCCAGGAGTCTTACCTGTTCAGGTTTTGTATGTACTTTACTCAGTATAATGTCTAAGGCTGCATGTGGAAATTTATCTGATCTCTTATCCTGTAGGTAATTTGTATGGCCCCACCGATCGGCCTGCAGTCCTACTTAGTATTTTATGCTTATTACCTTCCAGATCTATAGCAACAACCTCCATGGATCTTTTCGACATGTTGTACTTCTACTACATTGCAAACCATGTATAGAAAGAAATAAAACTCGATTAGAAGCATTCTCATCAAAGGAAACAAAACACATTTAAGCAATATCCAGATTGAGTGCCACTGATGTCATGGAATGCCCAGACCCAAACAAAGACCTGCTGAAAAAAAAGAAAAGCTTCATGATCACAAGTTTGCCCAGGAAAAATATTATCGTAACACAAGCTCACAGCTGTCACTTCCTCGAGCTCGATTCTGAATTTTCAGTTCACAGTGCCAACACTTCTTGCCGGATTTGTAGGTCCTGATACTGCAACAGGCAGGAGGACTTCCCTTCAGTTATCCCTTGCATCCAGCATATTTTACCACGAAGCCGTTGGCTTGATCCCTTCCACATTTCTGCTCTTATCGACACTTCAGAAAATGCGCCTTTCTTCCTCTCTTTCACCTCATCTTCAGAGCTCTCTCTGTCTACCCCACGTGCGAACTGGTTAAAACATTAACCTACTTGCGTAAGCCATGGCTGCATTCTCACTGAACTTGAAGTTCCAGAGCTAACATCATCGATACACAAACCACAGCCCACACCGACCCAGAGACAACCAAAGCAAACGGCCAAAAAGAGAGAGAGAGAGGCACGATGACACAGAAAGTCCTCCGAGTCGGTATTATCACTGCAGACGAAGGCGCCCAGGCCATCCAGGAGATATACCTTCCAGTCCTCACTGCTCTCACCAGCAACTACGAAGTAGCAGTCATCCATAACGCTTCAAAGAAAACCAAGCAGACCACAACCAGCGCCAGAAACAGTTACAGTAATGGCCACCACACGTATGACACAGCCAAGGCCAACGGCCATGAAGGTCAAACCAACAACATCCCGCGTGCATCTTCCGTGGAGGAGGTCATCTCCGACCCAACCATCGAGCTGATCCTCAACTTCATGCCCAACGAATACCACGAGGTCTACACCGTCGCAGCCTTGAACGCCGGCAAGCACGTCATGGTCGAGACTCCCGTAAGCCTGAGTATCCAAAGCGCGAGACGCATAATCGACGCCGAGAAGCGCGCTCCCAAGGGTGCCAAGGTGTTCGTGGCATGTGCGCGCCGCTACGCCCCCTGCATCGAGGAGGTCTTCACGAAGGAGGTCGCGTCCCTGGACCGCATCTATTACGCTCGTTGCCGCAACATCGCGGGCCCCAGCCTGGCGCATACGGCTACCGCACCGCGGAAGAAGGTCTGGAGTGCCTTGACCGGTGCAATGTATGGGTTTGCATCCCAGAAGAATAATAAGCAGGATGACGGTCCGCAGCTCATGGACGGATTACTGCAAGAGATGTTCTCGGGCGAGGAACTGACCAAAGAACGCATCGCGCTCTGTAAGTTTCTCGCATCCCTCGGCTGCCATGACCTGGGCTTGATGCGTGACACGCTTGGGTTTCCAGATGCTATCTCCAATATCTCTGTGAACGAGCCTTACTATTCCGCCTTGTTTCACTACTACAGTGGCCGGAGGGGCGAGCACCCATTCACCCTGATGTATGAGACCGGTACGGATGCCGTGCCGCGCTGTGATGCACACCTAGCAATCTATGGTGATACCAAGACGGTCAGCATTCAATATGGTCTGCCGTACGCCCGTGACGAGCCCGTGAAGGTTGTGGTAGAAACGGCGGATGAGAATGGGGAGATGAAGAGGACTGAATCCGTGAGCGGGTGTGAGGAAACCTACAAGGGAGAACTCAAGGCACTGCATGCCTACTTGACTGAGGATCAGATGGCCAAGACGACTGCCCGCGATGGGCTTCAGGACCTCAAGCTGTTCTACCAGATCTTCGAGCAGTACGATCGGCAGTGCGGCACCATCCGAACTCCTCTTGGCTAAGTAGTGTGGTCCTCATCTGAACGAACGATGATGCTTCAACAGCTTTGCTTCGCTTTGAAATTGACGAAAAGATGTACTGTATTTCTGAGTCGTACGTGCTTTCAGGCTGACGACGTTCGGGGGTGGTTACTATTTTAGCAGGAAGAGAATGGCCTCAAATGTGAGGAATAATTTGCATATTTGAATTTGCTTCGAAGGCGAAAAGGGGGAGTTGTATCAGAACAGCAGATTGTTCGAATTTCTATTTACATGCTCCCATGATGGAATCAAAAGACTTCTTTTTCCTCTGCCAGCCAATGCAAGACATGTCTCATGAATAGAAGTTAAGAAGAAAAGATATAGCAACAGTAGATTACCGATGTGTACCACTACCGCTTACCCTTCTTCTTCTTCTTGTTAGCGCCACCACCGCCACCACCACCTTGAGGCTTAGTTTGATTCGTGGCCGCAGCAGATTCCTCCGCCTTGTCACTCACCACACCACCCTGCGTCCTGTCCGCCGCGCGCTGCTTGCCCTTGCGACCCTTGGGCCGGTAGTTCGAGCGATCGCGCAGAGGCAGCCAGCGTTCCGGGTCCGGGGTCTTGCTCGGATCGTAATCCTTGGGCAACCGCGACTTCCGGACACGTTTCTTCGCCGCGCCGCCGTCGTCCTTGCCGGCGGCGGCCGACCTCTTCCGGGCCCCTGCGATGGCGGCCGCGGCCGCGGCGTTCGCAGCGGAAGAAGGCGCGATACCGGCTGATTCGAGCGCAGCCACGTCAACATCGGCGACCAGGTCCGCGACGGACGGGAGCTGGTTGACTAGCGACTCAACCTTGGTGTAGTCGATGGGGGCCTGGGCGGCGACGTAGCCGGCGACGGCGAAGTGGTCGGCTGTGTTGGACTGGTAGAGGGACTTGAAGAGCTCGCCGGCCGTGGTGAGGTCCGCGGGGTCGGACGAGTGCAACAGGGAGGCTCCGGCGGCTCGGAGGAGAGGAATGGGCGATTCGTCGCTGCTGCTCTGTTGTTGCCAGTAGGCTGCGGCCTTGGCGAGTTCGGAGCGGATCTGGACCTTGCGGCCCTCGAGCTTGTAGAGGGAGATGAGTACGCTTAGGACGCCCGGGTTGAAGCGGACTGCCTTGTCTTGCTCGGAGATGGACTCGTCCAGGAGTTGGAGGGTGGACTCCAGGGTGGTGATCGCGGAGGTGGTGTTGCCGGCGCTGACGTAGAGTTGCACGGCAGTCAGAGCCAGACCCAGGTCTTTAGGCCGTTTGTCGAGCGCCGCCACGACGGGCTTGAGCGCTTTTGTGCCGGACTCGCCGTGGGCGTGGGCGGCGGCGTTGTACACAGAGAGGAGGTTCACGCTGGGTTCTGTGGAGGGATAGGCGGCACGGGAGAGAGCTTTGGAGGTAGAGCGGATGATTCCGTCGTACTTGCGGACGAGGAGGTCGGCGGCGTGCGAGTTTCCGACCGTCAAGTTGCTCTGGAAGTCGAAGAGCTTGTCGCTATCTGTCGAGTCGGGGGTCTCATTGAGGGCCTTGTAGAAGGCGTAAGGGTTGACCGAGGCGCCGCGAGCGAGGGTGGCATTGGTCTGTGCGATTTTCTTGGTCGAGGCTTCGGGGATGCTGCGGCTGGGTGAGCTTCGGCTTGGCAACTGTGATCAGGGGATTTATACATACTCTTTGACAGAGATCTCCTCTAGGATGGATTGAGCTTCCTCGGACTTGCCTTGGCGGAGCAAGACGTACAACTGCTGCACGGCAATGGGGAGCAATTCAGCATCCCTGTCCTCTGGCGTGAGATCTTCTGACGTGCGGCACAATTCTGTGTAGAGAGAGGGTGTTAGCTGACGTTGTTTTTGTGTATGCGTTCCAAGGACCAACCCTTTGCTCGCTTCAAGAGCAATTCTCCCTGCTCGAATTCGCCCTTGGCTATGCTCAAGCATGCAGCGTTGTAGACGGTTTCGAATGCTTCCAAATCGTCGCGAGTTGGTCTGTTATGGCGGACAAACTCTGGGTATCCCTTCCACTGCAGCTGGGCATCCGTGGCCCAGGCGTTGATGCGCAGGTCGTTTTCCTCGTTGGACAATGATGCACCATCTTTTGACAGGTCTTCGTATAGCTCGGCCGCACGTCGGAACTTCTCAGCACGGTAGCTCTAAGATATGCGAAATATAGGTTAGTATTTGTTGTTGAAGGCGGGGTATGACAACACTTGGGATGGCAGGTAGGAAGCATCACATACAGCTTGGGCTTCCAAGTGAAGAGCACCACGGTCGCCAGTTACTCCAGACACCACTTCTATGGCCTGCTCCAGCTGGCCGGACTTGTAAAGAACGTAGGCATATTCCAGAGCAGCCCGCTTCTTCAAACCGTCACCGGCTTCCTCGAATACGCGCAGGCAGTCGTCGTAGCGGTCCAATTTCAACAAAGCAACGATCTTGATGTGCTGTGCATGCTGATCTATTTTCGACTTCGCCAATGCGTCGTTGGCGGACTGGAGAACTTCGTCGTGATCATCAATGGAGGCTCGTTGCAGCAACGAGCTCAACGACTGAGCAGCCATGGCGACGCCGTGTCAAGTTCACACTCGAGACACCTGGTGTGAGATTTGCGCAGGCCCGAGGCGGGCGTGGATTTGAGCGAGGTGAAGTTGAGGTATGACACCCAGGCACTTCTCTAATGAAAGGCAGAAAGCTTTAGAGAAGGAGCTGAATGTTATGCTTGGTCTTCCAAGTGGCCAGTCCGAGCTTGTGAACCATCTGTGCGGGAGTGCGATATTTCCCCATTGGGGAATTCTGCACATGATGGCTGTTCCGGTGACCGTAGCCTAATCTCCCCCCTCCGCCATCACATCCGAGTTCATGATATACTTTCAGGTTACTGTAGGTACTATCGGTCTGGACACCAGAACAAGAACGACTACCAATCCAGATTTTGGGCATACACAACGAGCCCTTGCCTTCACAATCTATAGGGGGAAGCCTCTCTGATCCATGTCAGACACAACCACGTTCAAGTCCAAGTATCCTGAAATAGCAACAATACTCTTTGATTTCAATGAGCTCTGTGGCTCGCCGATAGTCGGCCATTGCTCCCGATGAGATTCTAGACCAGATGCCCCTTACTTTTCAGGGTCACCGAATGTCAGACAAACCGATGTGCTTATCCAGCCTATGGTTTCTACCATATACTTACTCTGTTTACATTGAGACTATTAGAGCGAGGTTATCTGGTCACCGCGTGCCGTCGTGCACAGACAACAAGACTCAATCAACGGTCGCCGTCATACACCATAAGAGTGTAACTACTCTGTACTCTTTAGTCTTCTATTCACTAAGCGAAAAGCCTGTGGTTATCACATGATCGAGACAGCAGGAGATGAGGAGGCGCCTGATCGACTGACATAAGCGCATCAGGCCAGGAGGCCGGAAGAAGACATTGTCCGGGTGCAATTACTTACATGGTTCCCCCCGTGGCGCCGTTCGCGTTGATCCTACCTCGACTTGCAGGCAACACAAGGGGCAGCTACCAATCTTTCTTCACAAGGAGGTGCAAATTATTCAAAGGCACCCTGCACTCAGGTATTGTAGAGATGTGTTCTTTCTTTCATAGAACAGTGTGTACGAAGTAGTCTGCCATCACTTGACACTGCTGACGCTAATGAGAGTCAATAATAAATTCCTTTTCCGGAACGCTATCTAATCGCTATGCGCCGGCGATTCGTCATCAGCAATCCGTCGCCCCCGCCGTCCGCTAGGCCCGTCGCCCCAAACGGAATGCGCGTCAAATGCATGGTCGTACCCAGGGGTTGTACTGGAAAGGTACGGCCGCATCCACTGGGCATGGAGGGTTGGGTTTGAAAAGTGGGAGGTGGGAGAGAGCTGTTACTTTTGGCTCCTGCGCCTGTCCCAGTTGCCTCCCATCCATGGATCCTCTTCGAAACAGGGCAGACACTGATCATCTATTTCATCCCACTGTTGAGATGTGCACCGTGCAAATATGCAATGGAGTAGGACGCTCGGGGAAGCGCAGCAGGACCTCTAATTCAAGAACGTAACCCTGGGGAGACTGTCACCTTAAGGAAGTCTCCTAGTACTGGTCTCTGGACCGATCGGCCCCTGTTGACGGTGAAGTGGGACATGGTGTGGCTGCTCCGTCCAGCAGGTGTGCCCTGATGGCTCGACGGTCTCTTATTCGATCAACCACTAAACAGTGGATGGATCGGGCTCCATCCGCTGCTCTCTAGGACCCTCAAGGAAACCAGACTGGCCCATGGCCGATCCCTGGGTTGGTCGCTCATTCTCCGCCCGGTCATGATTCGCTTCGTCCCCAAGTCAGATCCGGCCATTTTCGAGCCGTGCGGTGCTTCTTCTCGCTGCAATGGTATTTTGGAGCCCCGTTGATCGGCTATCAACCTTCCCTCTCCATATCTTCTTCCACTAACCTAACCGTCAACTGGGCCCAGGATTGACGTTGTCGCTGTCGCTTCCCTTCTGACCTTCGTCATCCTCTCTGCCGTCCTCGCCTGCCTCTGCCTCCGACGTTGCCCGTCACTTCTCTCCTTCTTTTGCGGTTTCCAAGGATCGTCTGCTTTTCTCCTTGTCTCGATTGTTATATCCTGTGTCTCCGCCCTCGCCTTCCTCCTCTCGCCGCCCGCTTCCCGCCCTTCCTCCCCGGACCAGGCCTCTCCTGCCATAATCTGCACTCTCCTCTCTCCTTCCTCCTACCGTCGCCGTGTTGGAGCATCGCGATGGTCTTGGAGCCTCAGTGCGGCGTATAGGTTCATTACTTCCTCCAATTGATGAAATAAGAAATCACTCGAGCCAGATGTGGAATAAGGCTGAGGAGAAGCCGCGGACCGCGATGGGCGCCTCGTACATGTGGAGGAGAAAGTTGCTGCGCTTTGTGGTCGCAGCTTGCCTTGTGTCCAGCTTCACGGTCTTCCTATGGCCTAAGATCGAACACCCCCATGAGATCACGACGCAAACTATCTCAAATATTACCGTTACCTCCGAAGTTGAATGCGAACCCGATTTCGACGCCCTCCAACGCCTCGACGTCCGCAAGGTTTCTCAATATGTGCGCCGTGAAATCGTGGTTTCGCCTTCTGCGAGTGACGCTGTCCCAATCGCACAGCGACTGGAAGTGCCTTTATTTGAGAAGATTCACAAAGACCATCGGTTTGCGGAGGACAGCCAGCACCAGGATGACTGCTTGATGCCTCGTCCGGTTTCTGTCACTGTACCTCCAATCTTACCAAGAGCGGACGCATCCCACATCGACTTCGGCGTCGCCACAACGCTGGAGCGCCTGAACGAGTCATTAGATGCATTCACTCACTGGGCTGGACATACGAACACCCGCATCTTGGCACTTATTGAGCCGGATGCCCGAATCAATGAAGTCCTGACTAAGGCTGAGCACCTAGGCGTCAATCTCTCGGTGACAGAGTCGAGCGAAGAATATCAGCACCGCTACTTCTCGTTGGTGCCACATTTGGCCAAGAATTTGCGGCCGCAGACGAAGTGGACCTGCGTCATTGATGACGATACCTTCTTCCCCTCAATGACGGCGCTGGTACATGCTCTTGCGAAATATGATGATACAGTACAAACATACGTTGGAGGGCTATCGGAAGCGATGCCCCAAGTTGGGATCTTTGGTCTAATGGGCTTCGGAGGCGCTGGCGTCTTCATGTCTAGACCTCTGATTGAGCAGATAGGCCGCAAAGAAGTCTACGAAGATTGCCAAAAAATGGAATCCACCGGTGATCGCAAGATCTCTCTCTGCATCTACCAATATTCAGATGCCCATTTGACCATTGACCACCGCCTGCGTCAGATTGACATGAGGGGAGATGTATCTGGTTTCTTTGAGGCGGCTCGGCCCCCGCCGCTTTCCGTTCATCACTGGAAGTCATGGTTCAATGCTGACATGGCCAAGCTCGGCGTTGTCAGCGAGGTCTGCGGCGATTCTTGTCTGTTGCGGAAATGGCACTTCGGCGACGGCTGGGTCCTCACCAACGGCTTCTCCATCGTCAAGTACAGCAATGACATCCCCACAAATGACAAGTCGATGGAGATAACGTGGTCAGGCGACAATGGTGCAGTCTTCGAGTCGTTCTTGCACGAACTCGGCCCACTCCGACCGAGGGACGAAGGCAAAATCAGCTACATCCACGAGGATGCCATCATCGACGGCAACCAGATTCGACAATGGTACATTCGTCGGGACCCTGAGCTCGGCGACAAGGTCCTGGAGTTGATTTGGCGCAAGGAGTAGAGACAGCCTGTCGTATTCTTTTCGACTTCCCAACACTTCATCCCCCACAATACCGATCTTGTCGTCAAATACCCAGCACCGGTCTGCTGCTTTTCTCGACGGACGGATCACATCCCATGCTTCACAGGGACGATACGTGGACCCACTCCCGCACATCAACGCGGTACACTTATAATCATTTATAACGGCGCATAGATCACGACGGTTTTGTTCTTACTTGCCCATGTCCCAAGTGACTTCGTGCATATCCACATCTAAAAGCTGGATCTGGCACATACCCTTTGCATAGTTTTTTGTGTTGACGGCTTAGCCCTACATACTCTGTATAGCAGCTGGCTTTTTTTATGGCCTTTTTTTTTTCTTTTTTTTTTTTTTTTTTGCCATGAATGGGTTCTGATTTGGTTACGCTGGCCATTATCTCTCTGTTTTCCTTTTCCTCTAGAGGTGCCCAAAATTGTTTCTACTTCATCGACAGTGCGAGTAGTCGTTTCCTATTCTTGTGTTAGAATCGGGTTTTCTGATGTACGATAAACATCAATTACAGAGTAATCAAAACCATTTCTAAAACCATCTGTTATCTTTCGAGTGATGAGTCCATTGGGATATGCAGCTTCATGTCTATTGGCATCAAATCATCATATTCCTCTACTATTTTCCCTGGATATATATCATCGATTGTATGTTCAGGCCCTCCAGACCTTTTTTTGTCCACTACATAAATACTTGAAATTGGTATCACAGATAGTTCACTAGTCCCAATGTAACGAGCAACGTACCGTCCGAATCGCCAACAAACCATATCTACCTTTCTTAAAAACCCAACGCCCATCATCGTGGTCACTTATGATTACTACTACTACCACCACCACCAACTCCGACCGGAAACTCTATATGTGAAGACAGGGTCAGGATCCGCGATAGCGTGTCGACGTCGTCGGGATCTTGATGGTTATGGAGACTGTCTGGTAAGGAGGCGACCATTTCCAGCCCATTGCTCTCTGCATTCCACGCCTCAGAGGAATTGGTAGGCGGTGGCGGCGCAGGTAAGGCGAGAAACTCGCCCATGGAGAGGGGAGAGGTGAAGTCGAGGGCGCCGTTGCAGCGCTCCAGCAATGTAGGGAAGAGGTGGGACTGGGAGCCGCGGCTGCGGGAGAGGGTGGTGAGGATTCCCCATAGAAGCTCGCGGGGTTCGATGGTCGATTCGGAGAGACGGCGGGCAGCTTTGGACCCCAGAGACCGAGCGACGTCGGCGACGGCGGTTCCTAAGTCGAAGAGCTTTTGTTCCTGGTGGACGGTGAGTACTGAACGGCGAGAAGAGGACAAAGAACAGGTAAGGATGGATGCTGGGGCTTTACTGACCATGCCGATGCCGTGAGCGTCAACAGCGTCTTGAGATGCAGCGCTGATGACGTTCATTACGGCCTTTCCGACCATGACAGGAAGATGAAAAGGGAGGACTGCGTCGTCGCGAGAACCAGGCTGGGTGGGGCGGGTCATAGAGAGCTTCCACATCATGGCTTGCAGCCACTGTTGGGTGATGAGGATGTCGACTTTCTGGATCTCCGATACTCCATCGAGGGATATCGCTTTGCAGAGGCTGGATTGGATGGCAGAGGTAGGTGGAATCTCGGAAGAGCTGTCTACGCCGCCCGCTGAAATCCAGTCATAAAGATTGACGGTCAGTTTTTCGAATATGCTGATAAGGTTGATGAATCCGTAAGCGAGGATCGGGTCTTCGGAGCAGAGGACCTGTGGTTTGTGGATAGAGTTGCGTAGCATTACCGGTTTCGCTTGCTGGAGTGCATAGCCCCTGCTCGTAATCAGATCCGCGTTCCAATTCCGCTGCATTATCATGATAGGCTTACCTTTCTGTCACAAACAACAACCAGAAAACTCTTCGCCTTTCTTCAGCCTCTTCGACACTCAGTTCAGCGTAAGTTGACTCGCGGTTGAGACCGAGAGTGAAGATCATGGAGGTGGCCTGGCATAAGTAAAACCAAGCATGGTCTTGTCTGTCTAGATTGCCATAAGAAGCGAAGAGAAAAAACGAGGTGAGGAGACTGTCTATAGTCAAGTCTTCTACCACGTCACATTCTTTCCTTGCTCGTACCGCTTCGGCCAGCAGCTCCTCCCCAGACATGCACGAGTGCCCATCGGACCCAGTCGTAAGATACGAGGGATCAGGAACTGGGGACGAACCGTCCAGCTTGAGCTGAATATGTGTGGCTGCGCACAGAGATGCCAGAAATGCATACCTCTGCGATGATAGCAGCTCCGGTTGGTGACAATCTCGCTGGAGCTCCTGCTTCCGCACTACTGGCATGATGGGGAACAAGTATTTCAGGTAAACATTGACATGAGCTAAAAGCAGCGGGGCCGAAAGACGCCCTTTATAGGGTCGAATTGTACCAATCGTAGAGTCCGAGAGAGAGTTTGTTGAGTCCGGGGACGAGACAAGCTCCGGGGGAGGAAGCTGGGTGAACGGCTCCAAAACATCTTGGGACAGGTATTGAGAGTCCGTCAATGTGAAGGGTGGTGATGTTGGCGATCTTGCCAAGGGATATACCACAGTATCAGCCGTCCATTGCTTTTCCGGAGGGTACTGTTGCGGGTGCTGGTGAAAAGAACCCGATTGTTGGCGGGATACTAGTGGGTGAATAGGCGCAAGTGGATAGATGGTGCGAAACTTGGGACCCTTGCGCCGGAGAACGTCACTGTAGGAGCAAGAGAGCAGGAGACGCTGGCACTTGTCGCAAGGAAGCTCTCTAGAGCATTTGATCTTTCGACGGCGACAATTATCGCAGGCTTGCTTAGAGGATTTGGGCTTAGTGGGGGAGGGATGCGAGTCCATTGGTTTGTGGAAACTATGATCGGTTCGCGGTAAAAGATCAGCTGGGACGATGACAGCCCGTGGACATCATTGCATGTTGGGGGGAAGTGATATTTCCGAGAGCGAGAGTATTTTTGATCTCGACGGCCACGCGGATCTAGGAATACATAAGGATCATGCGATTGCCGGTGGAGGGGAAAGCAGTGAAGAAGGAAATCCGGGGGGGCAACAAGCGGGGGAAGGGAAACATAGCGCGAGGCATAAGATTGGCACGTCCTCCAGGCAGCCGGGACCCCGCGGTAGCGAACCCTGTTGGATTCCTGCTAGTCAGTCGTGTTAATTTCATTTCTCCTTTTTTGTTTTTGCGCTTTGTCTACTCAACGGCCCTGGCGAGCTAGTTCCCTAGTCTCAAGATTCGCCCCTCAGGCCTCGAGGGTACCGAAACACGGCCCCTTCAACCGAGCCAGAACGAGTACGGATGTCTCTGCTGCCCATTTGGGTTGACTTTAAATTTTGTCCTTCATCCAACTTGATCGAATGAGGGATAGGCCATCGCTGAAGCCAGACTTGCTTCTTGCCACTTGAATGACGGATGGTCTGCCATGGAATCCGCTCGTTGGGATAATCGACCAGAGAAGTGTTTGAGAAATTGTATGCATTACGATGTTGGCACACCAAGAGTCTGGGTGCGTCATTTTTATTCCTGACCTTTCAGCCCCTGCATATAATAGGACCGCTTGTATACCGTAGGATTCTTCTTTCATGTGATCGAGATTCACAACGCGTTGGTGCTGGCTGATGTTTTGACGGTCCGGGTGCTTCTCCGCAGTTGTTGATAGTGACCTGTAAAATCCACTCGGGAAGCCGAGAAAGACGTTGTGAGAATATCAATAAATCTCAGGTCAGTTGATGCTTTTCTCTGTTAAGCACCATTCTTCACTTCTTGCAAGATCTCGCTTGAGGTTTGCCTAGGCTGGACTGAGTCCTTTTGCAGAGTATGAGTTGATACTCTGGCATGAAGATCAGCCTCTTCACCGGGTGCTTTTTGGGAAGTGGCAGCCGTGCTGAAGATATTGACCGGACGGACCGGAGCTCAGTCGGGATTAGTGATGCATGGCGGGGTCTCAAGCAACAGTTATTAGGCCTTTAGTTGAGACTTGAGGATTAGTGAAGGAATGCGAGAATAGGAAAGGATCCGATGGCTTGTTTACTCCGCAATGGAAACGAATCTCCACGCCCTCGGGCAATTATCGGGAAGATGGCCAATAGGAGCACGAGCATCAGGTGATGATCCCGATGCCAGGAATATCAGGCACTCGAATAAAGATCCCCGATCTCTAACCGAGGGACTGCCAAGGCCGGACTCCTCAGCTTTCTCAAGCTATCCCAGCCTTGCTTTTGCTTGCTTTTGCGGGCCTGGCATCATTTTCCAATCATTCAAACCTAGTCTTGCTCTAGTCTGTTTTCCCCGCATCAATCAAGCCTGCCGGATTGCCTCCAGCCAACTCAGAATGCGGGCCCTATCCGCCCTTGCGCAACGGGAATTCAACGGAGCAATAATGGCCTGTCTACGAGGGGACAACGCATTGTCGCACAGCACCTTATCTTGAATAATTAGTGACTGGCTTTACTGTGCTCTCATCACGAGAAGTTAAATACTTTTTGTTAGCCCGATCTCGTGAAGGAGCAATCCGAGGGTACCAACCATCACACGGCTGCGCTCTTGGCCTCAACCTGAACGCCATGGCCAATCTGACGAAATTGCTGGTCAGTGCAGGGCTCATGCCACTAGTCTCTGGGCTGAGCCAAGTGACATTGTCTAGCACATCCACCTCCGCCTCGTTTGCGCAATTCACCATCCCGGCTGAAGCGGATATCGGAGCTCAATTAATTGCCAACATCGATGATCCTGAGGCAGTCAATGCACAGTCAGTGTGTCCGGGCTACAAGGCAACGGACGTGCAACAAAACTTCCATGGCTTCACAGCACGCTTGGATTTGGCCGGCGACGCATGCAATGTCTATGGAACAGACGTCGATACGTTGACTCTGACGGTGGAATACCAGGCGTCAGATCGGCTGAATATACAGATTCTTCCTACCTACGTCGATGCTTCCAATTCCTCGTGGTTTATTTTGCCAGAGGGACTTGTACCTAGACCCAAGCCAGGTGACGACAAGGCTCACACCCAAAACGATCTCACCTTCTCCTGGTCCAATGAGCCGTCGTTCAATTTCAAGGTTGTTCGCAAGGCTACTGGGGACATTCTTTTTGACACTGAGAGCACCGTTCTGGTTTATGAAAACCAATTCATTGAATTTTCCACTTCTTTACCCGAGGACTACAACGTGTACGGTCTTGGAGAGCATTTCAACCAGCTCCGTCTGCTCCAGAATGCAAACGTCACCATGTATGCTGCAGATGTTGGTGATCCCATTGATAGGTGAGTCCCTCAAGATCAGAAGCTCGGATGTCGCTAAATTGTCTTCTTCTAGCAATATTTATGGGCAGCACCCCTTCTATCTTGAAACGAGATACTTCAAAGCGGATGGATCTCCCAAGCACGTTAAGAGAAGCGAAGTCAATGCGTCTGAAGAATACACTTCCTACTCCCATGGCGTGTTCTTAAGAAATGCTCATGGACAAGAGGTGCTTCTGAGATCTGAGAGATTGACATGGCGATCTCTAGGTGGAGGTATTGACCTGACGTTCTACTCGGGTCCAACCCAGGCCGATGTGACCAAGCAGTATCAAGTCAGCACGGTGGGCTTGCCAGCCATGCAGCAGTACAGCACCCTCGGCTTTCACCAATGTCGCTGGGGCTACAATAACTGGTCTGAAGTCGCCGAAGTCGTTGCTAACTTCGAGAAGTTCGAGATACCTCTGGAATACATATGGTCTGATGTGAACCATCCTTTGTCTCTTGAGCCATTTACTAATATATGTGTCCAGGACTGATATTGATTACATGCATGGCTACCGTAACTTTGACAATGATCAACATCGCTTTTCCTATAGCGAGGGGGCAGAATTCCTCAGCGAGCTTCATGAGGGTGGCCGTTACTATGTGCCAATCATCGACGGAGCTTTGTATATCCCAAATCCCGAGAATGCCTCCGACGCGTGAGTTGCTCGCCGGATTATGTGACAGGTCGATCCTTGCTGACCAGAGAATAAGTTATGACACGTATACTCGTGGCGCTGCAGATGACGTTTTTATCAAGAATCCCGATGGCAGCCTATACATCGGTGCCGTTTGGCCGGGATATACTGTGTTTCCCGATTGGCACCATCCGAAAACGGCCGACTTCTGGATCAACGAGCTGGTGACTTGGGCTGAGAATGTGGCTTTCGATGGGTTGTGGTACGATATGACCGAGGTCTCTTCCTTCTGTGTGGGAAGCTGTGGGACTGGTAACCTCACCCTGAACCCGGTGCATCCGCCGTTCTTGCTGCCTGGCGAGCCTGGAAACATCGTTTACGACTACCCGGAGTCTTTCAATATCACCAATGCCACTGAAGCGGCGGCCGCCTCGGCCGGGGCCGCCAGTCAGGCTGCAGAGGCTGGGTCCTCGCCATCCTCCTCTACCTCCTACCTGCGTACAACACCTACACCTGGAGTTCGGGACGTTAACTACCCTCCATATGTGATCAACCACGTCCAAACTGGGCACGATTTGAGCGTCCATGCCATCTCACCAAATTCGACTCACTCTGATGGGTTCCAAGAATACGACGTGCACAGTCTGTACGGCCACCAAGGCCTGAATGCTACCTACCACGGCCTGCTCAAGGTCTGGTCCGATAAGCGGCGTCCCTTCATCATTGGACGCTCGACCTTTGCTGGGTCGGGCAAATGGGCCGGACACTGGGGTGGAGACAACATCTCAAAGTGGGGATCCATGTATTTCTCAATCGCACAGGCGCTATCCTTCTCACTCTTTGGCATTCCAATGTTTGGAGTGGACACTTGTGGTTTCAACGGAAATACGGACGAAGAGCTTTGCAATCGCTGGATGCAGCTGTCAGCCTTCTTCCCATTCTATCGAAACCATAATGTGCTTTCTGCTATCCCCCAGGAACCATATCAATGGGCATCGGTCATCGAAGCATCCAAGACTGCCATGCAAGTTCGTTATGCTTTACTGCCTTACTACTATACGTTGTTCCATCTCGCCCACACCACTGGATCCACGGTGATGCGTGCACTCGCATGGGAATTCCCCAATGACCCCACTCTGGCTGGCGTCGATAACCAGTTCCTTGTTGGTTCTTCGATAATGGCCATCCCTGTTCTCGAGCCTCAAGTCGATACTGTCAAGGGGGTCTTCCCCGGAATCGCAGGTGGCGAAGTGTGGTATGACTGGTATACGCAGACAGTTGTTGATGTGAAGGCGGGCGTGAACACGACCATCTCGGCACCACTAGGCCATATCCCTGTCTATGTACGTGGTGGAAGTATTCTTCCCTTGCAAGAGCCGGCTTTGACCACTCGTGAGGCTCGCAAAACTCCTTGGTCTTTGCTGGCCGCACTCGGAAGCGACGGCACTGCATCGGGGCAGCTCTATCTTGATGATGGGGTTAGCATTTACCCCAACGCCACGCTGAATGTGGATTTCTCGGCATCTCACTCGAGTCTGCATGTTTCGGCCAAGGGGAAATGGGAGGAGAAAAACCCCCTGGCGAATGTGACGGTCCTTGGGGTTGATAAAGCACCTTCGTCGGTCAAGCTGAACGGGAAGAAGGTCTCGACGGTCGAATATAATTCGACGTCGCGTATCTTGTTGGTCAGTGGTTTGCAGAGAGTGACAGGCAGCGGTGCCTGGGCTAAGGATTGGGTTCTAGAGTGGTAGTAGTGGTTCACCATGACTTGGGGCTTGCGTAGCGACAGAATAACAGCTGTTCATTGAATTGTCTGCAGAAAAGACTAAGATGTGAAACAATCTGCGGTTGAACGGGTCACTCGTAGACAGTCTTCTCACTGGGACTTGTGAAAGCTGCCCATTTTGAGAATCCCGAATGATAATGAAAAGAATGCAATTTTAATTTTTTTGGATTGCCAGCGAAGAAATCCTCCGAATGGGTAAGGAGCAGCAGGGCGCGTCACGAGAGACCCTTGACCATCCACTCCTCCATCCTTTCCATCTTCTCCATCCCCTGCCATCTCCGTCGAACTAAGCTATTTGGACCCCAACCCTCAAGGGTCCTTGAGCGCTGCACTAATCTTTTGCCCCCTCATCTCAGGATTCTGCAGGAGATGAAGGTTCAAAGGAAGGTAAGCTACTGCGTGCCCACTTTTGTAGCCCGGGAGAATTGCAGTGCCGGAATGGGCCATTGTGAAACGACTCAGGCTGAATCGAGTATTGGGGTATGCTTGACGAGTGTCTCTGTTGTAGCATGCGATGGTGTGCTAACATGTCTAGAAATACTGCGGTGGATCATGGCGTGGTATCATCAACCAGGTAGGTCTCCTACTCTACCACTGATCGGCTGACCCTAAGGTACTGTTCACAATACTGATGGCATTGATCAGCTTGATTACATTCAGGGCATGGGCTTCTCGGCTATCTGGATCACGCCAGTGACGGCCCAAGTCCCTCAAGGATCTGGCATCGGCTCTGCACGCGTGTGGAATGTATCTCATGGTTGATGTCGTCGCCAACCACATAGTTCGTCAAACCCCGTCCCAGTCGTGTGATTCCCGCACTTGCTTCAACGTCCAATAGTGCTGACAAACTCCAAACCCAGGGCTATGATGGGGCAGCTGACTCTGTTGACTACAGCGTCTTCAAGCCGTTCAACAAGAAAGAATACTTTCATTCCTACTGTTCCATCACCAATTACGACAATCAAACTAATGTTCAGGACTGCTGGCTGGGCGATAACAAGGTCTCACTCCCTGACCTAGATACAACGCGCAGTGATGTCCAGACCATGTGGTATGACTGGGTAAAGTCCCTTGTGTCAAACTACTCCAGTTTGTTTTATCTTCTCTCCTTTATGGTTCGTACCGTCGATACTGACTTTCCAAGTTGATGGCCTTCGCATTGATACCGTCAAGCACGTACAGAAAGAGTTCTGGCCAGGCTACAACAAAGCCGCCGGCGTGTACTGCATCGAAGAGGTATGCGACGGCGATACTTCATATACCTGTCCCTACCAGAAGTATCTCGACGGCGTTTTGAATTATCCCATGTACGCACCTCTATCAGTTTTGTTTTGAAGCTTACAAGCCAAGCTAAACTGCCGAAGGTATTTTCCTCTTCTTCGCGCATTCAAGTCGACGAGCGGTAGCATCAGCGACTTGTATAACATGATCAACACAGTCAAAGACAACTGTCCTGACTCAACGCTCATGGGAACATTCATCGAGAACCACGATAATCCACGGTTCGCCTCGTAAGTTAACTCGGCCTGTGGAACACACCTTTTCTACAACATGTCCTCTTCCCATACAAGCTCTCCATACCACAACACATACCCTCAACCCAGCTAATCATAGTGCCTCCAAAGCTACACAAAAGACCTGTCTCTGGCGAAAAACGTGGCCGCGTTTTCCATACTCGCGGACGGGATCCCCATCATCTATGCCGGCCAGGAACAGCACTACAGCGGGGGCAACGACCCTTCCAAACGCGAAGCCACCTGGCTATCGGGCTACTCCACCACCAGCCCACTCTATACCTTAATCGCAGAGGCCAACAAGATCCGCAGCCACGCAATCAAACAAGATGCAAAATACTTGATGTATAAGGTGCGTATCGGCGCTCACGGCGCATTTTCCTCCCTTGTCATCTCCCATCAACAGTGCCGCCGCATCAATTCACAAACCCGCCGCTCGCTAACCTTTTTTCGGCCCCATCAGAACTACCCAATCTACAAAGATACCACCACGATCGCCATGCGCAAAGGTTTCAATGGCGCACAGATCATCACCGTGCTCTCCAACCTCGGCAGCGCGGGTAAATCTTACACGCTCTCTTTGACGGGAACGGGCTACCAGGCCGGCCTCAGGGTCACGGAAATCTTCACCTGCACGACTCTGACCGTCAATGCGGATGGATCGGTCCCCGTGCCAATGGCGAATGGGTTACCTCGAGCCTTGTTTCCGACGGCAAAGTTGGGCGGGAGCTCAATCTGTGGGTGATTCATTCTATCTTAACTCTTTCATCCTCTGTACGTTGTTGTGTAGTGAAAAATAAGAGTCGGCTATTCGAGCAACCGTGCACTGTATATTGTATAATAATTCTAAGAATCAGGTCCCGGGGTGGGAGGGGACTCGAAATCAACCAACCAGCCAGGAATAGCCGTCTGCCTAAATGACGAGATAACACCCTAGTGAGACTACCGTAAGGCAAACTTGGTCCTCTGCCCTGCTCTGAATACAGAAAGGCAGGAGCGCGAAAAGAAACCTCCCCCCCCCCCCCCCCCCCCCCGGGCGAACTAACTACCTAGACTTGTCATCCCTGCTTTCCTGCTGGTATCAATCCATCTTCGCATCACATCCACGAGTATCGAGAGTAGGGAGGATGCAGGTGTCTAGCTACACACCACGGATATCACGGAACGGACCGCAAGCCAAGGAAGGAAGAGGCGAGAGAGAGGGAGGGAGAGGGGGAGGTTCGGACTCCAGGTGTCTGTGCAAGGCACCACAGACGAACCAGAATCGAGATCCTCTTGAAGAGGCGAATTGAACCAGGGGAATACGATATGGCGTCATGTTCCTGGGTTGCAAGGTTCTTTCTTGTCTGAGCCCCGGAATCGATCCCAACAATGAGCCTTCGAAGTTGCCTTATTGGAGACTTTTCTCCTCCTTTGGATCACATGTGACAAAATGCAGCTTGACCTGGCTCACACTCAGCTGGTTAACTGGCTAACTAACTAACTGACTAACTAACTAGTCTCCAAACTCACGCTCGAACCTCTTCCTTATCTTTCCCCTCGGAGGGGGTGAGCGGGTTTGCTATTTTTATTATGATTAATCATAAGTACAGTACATACAAGTGTGAAGAGCAGATTAAGAGTAGCGGCAATGCAGACCATGTTTTTATTATGTTCATTGTGCGTCGTTAGATTGGTTGGTTGTTTAGTCTTCCCCTTGCCACTGCAGTCCGTTCTTCCTCGACCCCGCCCACTCTTCGGACTACTGGCGGGCGGGCAGACAAAGCGTCGGCGACTTTGTTCATAGAGTCGCCGACCGATACTCTGGTATCCCCGCGACAGCCATCTCATTGAGCATACCGTCGGGGAAGGATTGTGGAAGCACTTCTGGCATCAATTGCTCAAACCCGTATCCCTCCATCATATTATCTATCATTGGCGGTAAGAACGGCGCTGCCTGTTCCAGACTCATCTTCCGGGGTTCCCCAAAGGAGGACAACGGCGAGGAGCTCTTGGCTGCAGACGCCGCTGCCGCTGCCGTTGGATCGCTGCCTTCGGCGCATCGCCGCCTGAACTCGACGATCATACAGGAAAATCGGTAGGCGATGTGGTCCTCATTGGGGGACAGATGGAGCAGGAACATCTGCACCTGCTCGATGAGCGGGTCCATGAGGTTGAAGTCACAGAGGTTGAGGGCGGCGTAGCCGGCCATGAAGTATACCTGGTCGACGAGGCTGAGGGCGGAGGAATATCGGATCTGAAGAAATTTGGACAACATGACACGAGAGGTCTGCAAGACCTCCGAGGCGAGAGTGTCAGAGCCGGGATTGAAGCGCATAGCCGTGCGGTGGAGGAGGATCTGACAAAACCAGAGGCTTAGTTCGAGGGTGGACTGTTCACCAGCTAAGTTTGGTATCTTGTTAGCTTCTTATTGACCAGCCACTCGCTCGAGATATGCTGGACTTACCGAGGAGATGAGCCCATTCTGCCTTCCACCGCTCGATTTCCTCGAACTTGGTATCGGCGACTCGCATCCGACTGCCATTACTCTGAAGCCGTAGGGTCATCAAATACAACTGTATCTCTGCCACCACCTTTGCATCGTCGAGAGTCGCAGCTGGGTGCTCCAGAATTCGAGGGCAGTGATCGAGATAGCGTTGCTGAATGTGAAAAGGACGGGCGTTGCCGACCGCAAAACTATGCCATATTAGCATCTAACCCACGCAGCGGAATCGGTGGACCATACTGAAGCTGCGTCAGGCAGTAAGTATTCCATAGCCGCAGCTGGGCGGCGGTTTCGTTATCAATCATGGTCTCCGTGGGCCCATAATTGAGGCACTCAAAGGAGATAATCGCATGATTGATCGACACCCCACTCAACAGCCAGCTGTCCATTGGGGGCTCCTTCTGTACGGTCGGAGGCCAAAGGCAAAGCAGTGCCAGCGCTTGGAGTGACTCATAGCGAAGGGGAGGCTTATTCCACAACAAGTTTACCGTTGCATGCCGTACTTGAAGATACATCGTATGTATCATAGATGTGGGAACACCAGGAACATAGCGAGACGCCAGGAGACAGGCAGTATTATATAATAGGGAATCGGAGTGTCGCGCCTCGTTCTGGATATCGGATAGACTATAAATAGAGACATAAGGACCAAAGTTGTCCACAAATCTTTATTGGGAGCATCAGTATTCGTCCAAGAACCGAAAAGGTGGATGCATGAACTATACATCTGAAGCAATTTGAGTGATAGTTTAGAGTCTAAGCCACCCTTTGGAACGTTTTCTTCCGAGTATGACGAGCTTTCTGTCTCGCCAAAGAATTCAGATTGTAGGTCCTGGATGAGCCGAACAGGCTTGGGCAGGAAAGGAGACGACGGACTCCCATCGGATGAAGTACCGTCATCGGCATTGGGGCCTCTGTTCCAATATGAGGCGATGCCATGGGGGGTAGTCGGAGACTGGTCCAGCATCTGGCGCATCATACTTGTCATCTCTCTCATGCTTCTTTCAAGCGAAGTTAGGCGCTCTTCGATTGAAGGAATCGCGGATGTCGCATCCGACCACGTTGGGGTATTGTCTTGAAAGCGATCAGTCGTTTCCGGTAATTTGCAGTCGATTCTGTAGAATTTGACAACTGTCAGACGTCGGAAGCTCTTCAACTGGATTACAAGCACAGGATAAGACCAGGGTCATCCACCGGGTGGTGATTTGGCTCTAACCTTAGTGATAGACAGCGGCGGCATGCATGGCCGCGCGGATCTAAATCGCATCGTGTTTTAAGCTTGCGACAGGTATGACAGGCTGTCATCGATCGGCGTATCCGTCCTTTGGGACGGACGGCATCAGGATTCGACGCCAATCGCCGGCCGTCATCGGAAACGGTGACGCCTTTGTGCTCCCATGGGGTAGCCTCATACTTGATCTCATCGGTGGTTCTAGTCATGGCCTTCAAAGATGCGGCGTGGTTAATCACTTGAATGACAGTGAAATTGATTGCGTGTAAAGACAATTGCAGAAGGAGGGAGGGAATTACGCGCGGGCCAGCAATAGCAGGGCTGGTGGAGAGAGGGAGGGAGAGCGATCGGCCTTTTTAACAGTCGGCAAACCAAGACTGGGAATGCGATTGTTCTCGCTTGCTGCGAATTGGCGACAGATGAATTGTTAGATTGACTATGGGTCCCGCTCCAGTCCGTTCTTGACCTGGGGTAAACGCTAAGTGGCGGAAGTAAGTGCGACCGGCCAATCCAAGACCCTGCATGTCTTCTAGAAAAATGAACGATCCGATGGGTCGCGATGATTCTCAGCAGACCGAGGAAGAGGGGTTGATTGGCAAGCGCTATGATACTCTCAGGCTCTTACCGTGCACTTCCGACGTAAACCGGATCGAAAGTAAAACTCGCCTCCCAAGGGAAGGGGGGAGAGAGGGGGTTGGCCTGGGCTTGTTGGCGCCAGTGGGAAATTAAGACAGGCCCTACTAGGTCCAATGATTTGTTCGGCGGTAATCCTTATCATGTACTCAGATTCGGTATCGGGCGGAGTTCCAGGATAAGAAGGTGTGTAAGTATCTTTTGGAGTCGAACGCCTTGGATAACCACAGCCTTGCATTCTTTCTCCTCTTGTTAGTGCAGTCTCCTGATTATCTTCCCCCATTGTTTGCCCTGTTTAATTTCCATGGTCTCTTCTGCCGTTTGACCCGTGCTCAAAGACCATAGGATGCTCGATGCTAGTGAAAGCCAAGCCACTGATGTAGATCGCGGGGCCAGCGGATCATCCAAGATATCTTGTCGAGAATCGAAGCCATGCGTCGGCCTGGTTAGCTCGCACGAGGGATATCTCACCAGCGATAATTTCTCCGACTTCAAGCAGGCCTCCCTGCAATGCAACGTTGAGCACCTGCCAAAGCGGCTACCAGCGGAAATGGTCTATGGCAATTGCAAGGCTATAGGGCTAGCGTCATCCTATCCATGACTAGGTTTTCAGCCAACAAAGTATATCCGACGCAGGTTCATCGTTTGTGGTGCCAGGGCGCCCATTTTCGTTCCCTGGTAGCGTATCCCGTGGGGGATTCTCAGTATTGATTCGAGCCACCAGGAGCATGGCGGGAATCCTCTATGGCCCACTCGAGCCCCTGTAAGCCGTGTCAATGTCAAAAGATCATACTATGTGCTACCCTTATCACATCATCTCTGGTCCTGAGTTGACGATTCGGAGTGAGGCAGAGACATAATTTGGCTGTAATCGACAGGCACCCGAGTTAAAGCCACCAGCTGTGTGGGTCCGAGTCCGGTGCTCTAAGTGTGGTGGAGCTTGTGTTGTCTGTTCAAGGCTTGTCTTGGAGTGAGCCCGTGACAATAGGACTGGTGGCAATCAGGCACCATGACAATCTAACTTCATATTGGAGGCTTTACCAGCCCAGGATAGGGGTTGGCATTCGCGTCTAGTATGAGTACCCGTCTTTTTCTCAGTCAACACCATGAAAATTGAAAGCTGTGCATCGGAGGGAGAAGGGGGAGCCCATCGATTCAATCTCCTTCCGTGCTTTGCGCGCTGTCAAGCATCAGCTAGTGACAATTGTGCCTCGGCCTCACGGACCGTAGACCCCTTTTGGAATGGAGCGCTTCGGCTTGCAGCGCCAATTCTAGAGCGAAAGGCGCAATTCAACCAACCACTGCCGCTACCACAAACTCCCGGTTGTTCTAAGACCCATCTCGCTTCCTGACCCCGAGAAAGGTCAATTGGCACTGGCAGAGAACGAAAAGCGGGGACGGGATGAAAAAAGAATAGGAACAGCAGTTTCGTGTGAAAAACTCACAAAAAAGAGCAGCAAACAATAACGTGGGGTATATGCCGAGCGACATCTTTTGCCCTTCTTTTTCTCCAAGTCGAACCAGATGATCCAGTAAGAAAGCCCGAGGAATTCCATCACTGTTGGTCGGCTAGACCAAGATTGGATGGAACTAAGCGTTCCCCACTGGCTTGATAATGTGGTTGCATCCGACTCCATGTCTCACATGCTATCATTCGATTCGAGCAAATAAATGACGATGTGTCAATAGTTTAACGTTAAAAATGGTCGAAATCGAAACCGATCCTGATTCCTCGAGATATGAGGCATTTAATCTCCCAGGTTATTGTATCGGCCAGATCCGCGGACTCAGGTCCTCAAGGCATAGCATCTTGAGCTTATCGAACCGTAGCTGTCGGCGGCTGGGATGATATGGTCCATCGAGGGTGATAAATTAACCGTCGCCACTTTCGGCAGGCTTCGGCCATTGCCGACAATTCCCATGACCAATCGCTCATGCTAAAAAGTCAGCTGCTAGCTGAGCGTCCGCAGTCCAGACGGCCCAAATCCATTCTCAGCTCGAAGGTGAAATCCGCCAATGGCAGCGGACAAAGGCCGGGTTGTGCGAAGTGCATACGGCTGATCGGCACCAGCAGGTGGTCACTCAACCGACATACCGGGCGAAGGACCAAGAATCATGGAGACAGAAGCTGAGAACCGGGCGGACACCGCCAATGCGAGGACAATCAAAGCCGGAGAAGAAAAGCCCGTAGAAGAGCCAGTCGCAGAGACTGTATGGAGATTTGAGATGAAATGATGTGATTGTGGACGAAAATTGCTGGAGAGTTGAGTCTGCGGTCTGCGGCCAGAAAAGCACCTTCCTAAACGGGCTGTAGAAAGCACAAGGTGATTGACACCGTGTTTGTTTGTTTGTTTTGCTTTATCGCAGGTCCCGAAGGAGGAACAAAAAAAAAACCCTTCCATCCAGAAGACTTTCTTGTCATTCCACTGTCCTCTGCCACAAAAGCAATTGGCGCAGTGTCCATTATTTATATTCATGCGCTTGAATAGAGCTGCTCCAAAGCCTGGCCCCAGCAATTGAAACACTCATGTAATGGTTTCTGGCTCAAGGGCGCGGCAAGCGTCGGCGCAGCGGCAAGCAGCGGGATTCGGTTGCCCTGAGTGGAACGATGTGTGTAAAGTCCACACCTTCAGATGCAACCCTCTATAAAGTAGCAGCCCATGTCCAGTCCCATCAGGGGTTATGCTCCACGTGGGTGAAGGTCCGTAGTCCGAGACTCGTCTCAAATGATGCCAGGGTGCACGATGTGTCTTCGAACGCTGGCCTCCACTTCTCTTCTCCAGCTGCCAGTCTGGTGGAGGATTGAGGCATCTACTCGATGGGTCAGATAGATAGTTGATGCAGCCAATAACAGCCTCTGCACAATTGCACATCTATACTCACTTGGCGATAGAGTTATGACCCTGCAAGTCGAGGGACTAGGGCTCGGGATCATCCCTCCGATGGGACTTAAAAGGGAATCTCTCGACTATCACTACTCCTCTTCAACAACATCAAAAACCATGAAGGAGACATCATCGTCAGAAGCAAATGCGAAGGAAGAAGAATTTATAATATCGAGCCAAACCCAAGACGGTCCACCACGACAGGCATTTGCACCCCAACAGCGCCGATGCCGGACGTCCCGAGATTAGGTGGCTCCAATAGCAGGCGGGAACACGGCTTGCTTGCAGAAAACTACTTCGTTCCTCTCCAGTCTCATTGGTTCAGTCCTACTGCTTAGTCTTAGACTCCCGAGCGAGTCTACCGGCTCTCCGTGCGGTCAAGGAGTCGGACGTCCAACGGTTGGCCTCTATGCCTGATCATGTGGCCATGGCCACACGCACTACAGCGAAGGCGGATCGACGGCATCAGTTTTCTTGTCCTATAAACTTTGGCCATCGGCCTAAACTCCGGTGTTAGGGCAACCTGGTTCATAATTCGGACGTCCGCATTATGCCCGGTTCGTCCGATATAGCGGAGATGTGGAGGATCGTAGTCGGTCTTTGGTGTTCAATTCAAGATATTGAGTTGACATGCCATGATTCACTAGACATACTAGTCATACAAGAGCCCAGGACGGAAATCGGTCTTGAGATCAGGTATTGCACCTGGTCTCCCTGTCTCCTGCTGACCCGTACCCACAGATGCAGTCAGGGATCTGTGCGGCCGTGCTCTGATAAGAGGGTCTCAGACCCATCACCTGAACAACAGGGGTCTAGCCGTTGTATAAGATGACTAGCCGCCTCACTGTCCAGCTTGCATCATATTTCGAATCCTCTGCGCCCGCGAATCAAACCTTTTCGAGACATATACGTTGCTTCGCTAATGTGGTGATAGGTAAAACTGGCAGCGATCATGAACAAGAACCAGAAAGTGTGTAGCGTTCATTGGAAACACCAACCAGCTGCGTTACATCGAGTCAAGAACACTTGCTTATGAGATTATGCATAAGCAGGGATCCTGTATCTCGCCCTGGTTATGTCTACCCCGTGGATCACCGACTCGCCTTAACTCTTGTGAGTCGTTCGTGAGCTCGAGGCCTTTACCGGAGATGATAGCTCAAAGACACAACACAAAGTGTCACTGTTCTGTCGACGGAAGCTTTTCGCACTCTCTGAAAACTTCTTTCTGGCTATACCGTTCCGCCTTTGTCTGGTGTTAATGCGATATTGCCTGGATCATTCAGAATAGTCAGCGCAATCCTAGCTAGCCACCGGCCCTAGTGATAATAAGATTCAAAGCAACAAGGATGCCGACATGTGCCGACTCACCGCGCTTCGTCACGAGCCTGTTGATGTAGCCACGACCTCCGGCTAGTGTGTAATCATACTCTCAGCGCTTATCGGCCATCAGCAGGCAGCAAAGCTGATGACTGCCACATCATGTTGTAATCGAGCGTTTCATACCATTTCGACAAAGAATCATTTTGCTAGCATCTGACCCAAGGTATTCGAGGATAGGATGCTCACGCTCGCGACGCCTGTCAGGAGTTGCATGTAGACAGCTTATGGCTATAGCTGAGGGGCGATGGATTGAAGCGCTAGTTCAGCGACTCGCATCACCTACAAGAGGCGAGAGTATTCTCATGTAGTGATTCAAACAGTAGGCGGAGTCTATCCATCCTATCATCAGATGAAGAAGCCTGCATTAAGACCCCTCCACCCCCGATAACACGGATCTAGACTTCTCCCAGCCAGCACCTTCAGAGCCGTTCTGTTAATCCAGGGTCCTTTAGGCCCCCGGCCTCCGACTTCGGAGTAGTCAATTACCGAAGAGAGGAAGGACGGAATTGCTGCGGTGATTGCATGAGATAGGGACTTAGTACAGGTGTAGTCATTACAGGCCCTATGCTCAGCTGAGCATCTTTGTCCAAGACGCACTTGACCCTGTCCTTTGCTATGCTTTGCCAGGCTCTGCAATCAACCATACATCAACAGACTAATGCTTCCATCTCATCCGTCGGTTCAAACGTAGGCCTGTTGGCCGATGATTAGTCCAAGCATCCTCAGTGACCATGGACCACACTTGGACTGCCTTCCTTCTTTCCCAAAGCATCCGTGCAGTTCAACTTCTTAGCACCAGGATGCACAAGCACCCTGGCATTCATAATCAACCGCTGCATTCATTCCAGTAGACCGCGTTTCAACGAACATCTTCGATCCCTCTCGCAGCATCATTCTGAGAGTGACGCAAATAATTCAGAAAACAGACATTCATGGCGGTTGTTCAGACTTCCTGCTGGAACTGCTTGAGATTCCTTTGAGTCGTCACGCGCCCTTTCACTCAAGGAAACACAAAACAGGCCGAGAAACTCGCTGTGAACTGGCATTTCAAACAGCTATTCTGAATCCGTCATCGCGGCGTCTCTCACTAGGCCATCGGGAAGGCGTACGGTTAGTGAGAGCCCGCTCTCGCCCCTAAGTCTAGCTCGACGAGATATGGGCTTAACTTTGAACATTGAATATGGATGTAGCAATTGCTATTCAAAACTAGTTAAGATCGTTCTCGTGAGGGACCATAGAACACACCTTGAGTAATCTGCGCAGTGTATCGGAACCTCGAAAGACGCACACTTGTGCAGCTATTGTAGTGGTGTAGCGAAGGCTACACCACGTTTTAGTAGTTTGGTAGTTTCCATGGGAAGCTTTACGTATAGTACGAGCTTCTCCTTCTGGGCAGGTCTGATATACAATCATCCATGGCAAACTACACGAATAGCTGAGCAGACACAAGATATGTACACCCAAGCAATCGCCCTCCGTCCACACATAGATCAAAAATGATCGTGAACACGCGGTCTGACAGACACAGCCATACAATTCTATAGCTCAAGCCATCTAGCATCGCTACAAGTGTACAGTGTTCTCTGCTAAGCACTCCCCTCGACATAAAATCACAAACACAACAACAATAATAGCAACATCAACGCCACACCAAGCTCGACAACAACAACCCCCAGAATGTGCAGAGCATCTCCAAGTGCATCTCCTCCCACCTCCAAACACACCATCCCTTTCCATTCCCCTTCAACATAATCAAACTTAAACCGAAACTCAAAATCCCGCCGGCGAAGCATATACCCAACTAAGCAAAACAACAGACCCTTAGTCCCAGAAAAGGGTTCATCTCAGAAACCTAAAAAGAAAGCCAACGTGCTTTGTATCACGATCCCCCACCCCGCCATCCCCAAAGTACTAAAACAGCAGCCAAAAAGTCCCATGCATTTGCCCCCTCCTTCCTCTCCCTGCATATCAGAAATGGCCAAGAGAGAGAGAGGGAGAGAGGGAGAAAGAGAGGCAAGCAGTGCCCCACAGGTGTTTAGGCAGGCGGATATTTATTGTACTGTACATAGTACAGTACATACATATTCCGGGATCTCGCTCAGCAAGGCCCGCCCCATCGATTCGCATTCCTAGGATCGGGAAAAATCCCCTCCACAATTGCAGGTCGTACCGCTTTCGTTGCTTTTGTCCCGTAGGGCTAAGAAGAAGGGGGGCAATGAGGTAACGAGTACACCAATTGTAATTCACTCCAGTCCGGCGAGTGCGACAGAGAAACCTGGCATCATGTTGTCACACTCGAACCTATTATGTTGTGCTACATAGTTTCCTTTACCTTTCTTTTTATTCGAACGTTGGACAAGGTTCGACACTGACCCTGAACTGACATGCACGAAGCAAAGAAAAGAAGAAGAAAAGACGGCATTACTACATGATGCGACGTAAGCTAATCCCATCAGAAAGGTGTATCACAGGTTCGCTGGGTAGCATTGTAAGAGAGCTCCGTGCTTTGCGGCACACATACATACATAGTATATACATGCACACATACACATATGAGCGTGTCTGCACAACCGTCCATTGAATGAGAAACACATACAAAGGTTAATCTCTTCTGTTGTCAAGGCGTCAGTCAATTGATGAACCAGTGGCTAGAAGGCAATAAGAGTCCGGAACCAAGGATTCAAGGACACACGTTAGAGTCGGGGGGGGGGGTTGGGCAGATAAGGATGATCACTCATTTGACATGCATAAGCTTTTTTTGGTGCTCTCCTGTCAGTAAGCTGTTTGGATTTCCCTGGTTGGAGGGAATGGATTCCATTTCCAGAGGCAGATGCAAGAGTGGAGATGAACCTCATGTCATGCAAGCGCTCGGTCCCTCTGTTGCTCCCATCCCCTCCCCCCCGCTTCCACCTACAGTACAGTCAATCGCGACGGAAGGGGTAATTGGGGAGATTGTTGGGGCGAGCCATGACGAATAAGATCTTGTGCTTCAATTTAAGCATTTAGGCAACTGGATATGCATATGCTCTGACAGGATGTCAGGCTGTGCGATCGGCCTGGAAAGGGAAAAGGAAGGATGACTTCAAGCCGTAATCAAAACAAGGATCGCTTGCAGCAAACGACCACATGTACAAATCTTCCGCGCATAGTCTCCCTGCAATTGAGGGAATGACTCGGAAAGGAGCCCCGCCAATACCCTCTTTGAGGATCAAAGGATCTAAGGATGATGAGGGGCAAGAGAACGACTGGCATGTGGCTAGAATTGTGGCGAGGCAATGCAGCTTCTCATTCTGCTAAGTATTAGCTGCAACTCGGTTCCTGTGAAGAGTTGTGGTGGCGTTTTTAGAACGATCCAACTGACTGAAGAGCATGCATGATAGGTCATAGGGATTGGAAGGAGATCTTTACCGACTCCCTCTACCTTGCAGCTTCTAGCGAGAGAGTATGTGAAAGTGATAGCCAGGGATGACGCCTGGCGGACATGCTCGGTGATTTTGCTCTGTCAAGATCCGTCACGAACAGCCGAGCGACGCCGATCCCTTTGCTACAAGTACATGTACGGTACAAACAACACGTCTCCACCCCGAGGAAGGGAGATCTACTGCATCAAAGTGGAGTGCAGATGGGTTGGTTTCCAGGTTTTCCCTGGTCGCACCGGGGAGGGAGTAGGAGTTATAGTGCCCTGACGGATTCGGTTGTCTGTCTGTTTGTCGGCCGTATGTACTGTACGAACCAGACCGACCGACCGACCGACAGACATACATGCATCTGGTCTGTAAGTGACCTCCCTTTTCAGATCATGGGAGGAAGGATGATACGACAGGAAACAATTCCATAGACACATGTTGAGGCTACTGCCATGCAATACCACTTCGTATTTTCTTCATCACCCCCTCTCCGGGACGGGATTTGACTGCATCAGCGCCGTTGAGCTGGCATGTCAAAGCAGTAAATACAGTACATTCCTGTCACCACACACCCTCTTCTCCGATCGATAACACATACTTACTGTACTCACCTACAGTCTCTCTCCACATTTACGTTTCCCTTTGCCCTTGAGGTCCGATCACCCACCCACAACCTCCCCCCTCGCATTGAAGGTGACATTTGAGCAGCCTGGGATGCTATGCACATCGGTCAGATTCACCGCCATGTGATAGATCGGTTCAAATCCCGGTTTTCACCTTGAGCATGCCAGTCAGTCAGTCAATCAGACAGACAGGCAGGCAGTCCCTCACCTGCTGTTATTTCACTCCCCCGTGCTTTATGCAGCAACTCGGTCGGTCGGTCCCCTCTCTTTCACTCTTTCCTGTCGGCGTTCTGTTCCGCCATAACAACGATGACTTTGAACAGGACAGACTCTTTCCGTATCACCTCTAGTGTCCCTTCCATACATGCCACCCGGAGCTTCATTCCGCCCGGTCCGGGAAGGAAGAGGCACTTTGAATGGTGTATATTCCTGCATCCCGCTTTGGCTTCTTTAGCGACCGTTGCGATCGAAAATCCGAACTGTTCCCAAATATGCTTTTCAAGAAAAAGCACGGGACAGCAAACAACAAAATGGAAAAGAACGTGAAGATAGAAGTCTAAGAATCAAAAGTAAACCCAGTACCTAGTCAACCCTAATGAGGCACTATACGTTCCCAATCTGTCTATCCAAACCTCCGACGGAAGACACCTGAGATGGTCAAAGTAATACATGACAGGGACTAAATGGCAGTTGAAGCAAAAGCAAAGTCAATACACAGACAGATAGACAAGACGAGCTTACACCTCTCTCTACCTTTCACGCGCTCAACCTATTGCCTGACTACCTACCTACACTCCTCAGGTGACACCCAACCCAAAGAAGCGAAGCAACGAGAGAAGAAAATAAAAAGGGCCCAAACGGACCACCAAACGCAGGTAAACAACCTCCCTTCACGCCCTACCGGAAAAATCAGGAGCAGACAAACAGCCAACAGGAAAGAGGATAGAGGGAAGGGGAGGGTAAGGTTAGGTAAGTTAGTAAGGTTCAAGGTTCCGCTCGGTCCCTCCCCTTCCTGCCAACCAACCCCCTCTCTTCCCTCTCTCCCATCTGTACCTAACCAACAGGCTATCTCATACGGAGTAGCCCTGAGCACTGCAGTGCACTTATGTAGGAACCCTAAAACGGTAAGTACTTGGGTATCGGACCATGATTCGAATTAGAGCATAGGTACCTAGGTAGGTAGGTAGTAGTAGTACATACAGTAAGTACATACAGTACACACTGGTGTTTAACCACCAAACCAGGTAAAACCAGCACGTACTCAACTTACTGACTTACGTACGTACATACATCGAACATATCACTTCACTTGATTATTTACTTGAACTACCGTCTGTCTATCTGAGCTGTCCACGCAAATAGGTCCATCCCTGGAGCAAGAAAGCAAAGAAAGAAACTAGCGAGCCAGTCCCTAAATCCCCAACGGAACTATGTAAAGTAGTCTCCATCATATCTCGTAAGTGTACTGTACATACATACACAAAGCAAATTAGACTACCTAGAGATAGTAAGCCGCTTTGCATGGCTAGACTTGACTATAAGGGCAGTACTTAAGTTGCTGAGGTGTACTGGCAAGTGTTCCCAATTGAGTCATCCATCGCGGTGCGATCGGCCGATCTTATCCGTCCCGACTGGCTGGAACCAAATTTAAGGCTGCGATTTGATCCCGAGTCGATTTGCTCACTCGATTAGACGCAAACAAAAGCATAAAAGAAAAAAAAAAACCAGGAAGAATTCTGTTTTTGGTAATGAGGCACCCTGGGACCGCACGCACCTATTGGGGGCGTTACTACTTAGTGGTTGGTTAGTTATCATGACGTGTGACAGCATGGATGGTGGTCCCGGCCGCCGCCGCCGCCGCCGCCATCCCCCCTGGCTGGTGCTGGCACCAGACATCTCCCTCTCTCTGGTAGTTAAGTAGGTATTCTTGTTCCTTTTCCTAATAGAAAGTGATTCCAAAGGACAAAGAATGGGTCGATCTTGATCATACTCCGCATCTGAAATTTCTTTCCTGGTGGCTCCTGACGTGATGGCATGTCATCCGTGGGTTCTCAGGGTTTGTAGAAAAAGAAAAAAAAAGCTCCACGCGCAGGAATTTGTCATCCTCGTTCCGACTCTGTCGCTCTCCTGCACCCGTGGTACGGGCAAAGGGAGGGCCGTGTAACCGCCAATAATCGGGCCCCTTTTCCCATGCATCGCAGCAGCAGCAAGCCACTTGTGGCACACAAGCCCCGTTCGGAATAGTTTCCGGTCGATTGAGGGGGAGGGGGGGAGAAGATTGGAATGTTGGGCTCGAAGAGATGGATGCAACACGCCGTGTGTCGCCGTCGGGTGTGAGATTTGGGACAAGAACAGAAACCGTGGTTCAGAGGGACAAGCCACACGGAGAGAGGGAAAAGAAAGCCGAAAACATACTCGACCAACCCTCACACATCTCAATCTTTGGTGGAGAGAAACAAAACGGTAAGGCTCGTCCGACGAATCAAGGATGAGATCAGCTCTCACTAGATGCAAGGAGGTCAATTTGTTTTCGATCGCTTGCTCACACCACTTCATAAGATTCTTCGGGAATACTCTTATAAGTGGTTTATCATTAATGCTTCTTGAGATTTTTGGTCTAGAACGGGAATCTTGTAGAGAGGAATCGTGACATAGGAAAAGCAACCGTAGGAAAGATGACAACAAAAGAAAAGCACAGATAAAAGAAAACCAGTCTAGCTTGACATGATCGCGTCGCCCATGTACTGTACAAGATCATTTAGATGCTCATCGAAGGTAAAGACCCATCACAGTCCAGAAACCCGTATGGTGTATCGGAGAGGAAAAAGGTCGTCTAATATATGTTGGAGGTTCAAAAATAACTCAGAAAGCCGACCTGAACATGATAAGCGCAAACCAACAAAACGCCGCAAATGCGAGATTGTAATCGATGAATAAGATTAAGGAAGCGAGGTGACGCCAATGCTTCGTGAACGTCGATCCGGATGTGCTCCCAAGCGCGTAACCCCCCCGTGTATCGAAACCATGCAAAGTAATTTAAAGTCGATTAGAAAAACGATAAAGGGTATCAAGAGTGGTCTTGTCAACCTCACTCGGCTCGGTTCGTAGATTGTGTGACAATCCATCCAGAAAGTAAAAAAGCGGAAGAGAACAACTGTCGGCAAAAATCTCATGTCTATTCGGTTGTCAATGTCCCAGGGACTCCATAACTCATGACGTAGTGGATGTGATTCGTGGCAAATGTGACCAGTGGTCGAACGATAGACTTTTGTCGGGATCGATTGGGTCGCAACGTTCAGGGCTTCGTGCCCATGTGGGGAGATGGCATTGACTCGGGAGACGTGTGCTCTACGTCGCTAAAAGGAGACTGCCGTTGAGAATCGATGTCATTGCCACCGTTCCGCATCTGGTTTCGGAGAGCGGGGAGTTGTCGCCGCCTCGCGTTAATGAACCAGTTGCTAATCTATGGAAAGAATGAGCCAAACGTGTTTAACAGACAAGAAAGCGGATGAGATCGGCTTACCTGACTGATCGTGAGACCAGTGCGAGTCATAAACATCTGCTTGTCCTCCTCGCTGGGGTATGGGTGGTCAAGGTGCTCGTGAAACCAGGCGCGTAGGATGTCCGTGACCGGCTTCGGCAGATTGCCCCGTCTGCGCGTTTTCTTGGAATCGTTCGGATCGCCAAGAATGCCAAAGTTGGATTGCTGCGCGTGCGATAGCGATTGCGGGGTGACTTGCTCGGAGTCGCTCTGGTAGGCCATCGTGGGGTACGGGTATGCGACTTGGTTGGGCAGCGGTTGCGGACCACCAGGGCCTCCCATAAACGAATCTGCGCTCCTCCGATCACCCAAAGGCCCTGAAAGACTGGTCGCGGGAAATCCGTGGCCGCTCATAGGTCCAGCGCGAAAGTCGGGTGCCGCATACTCGGGTCGCGATAGCCCCCTGGATTCCGAGAATGCAGCCGCTGAAGGGGACATCCCCCGTTCAGGAAGGGACTGAAGATCGCGGATCGACGGCAAAATGGGACTCGGACCCCGGGACACAAATCGAGTCGAGGCTGAAGCGGGCTGAGGGGGATTCCCGGCTAGGCGGCTATGAAGGGGGCTGCTGTCTCGTGGCAGGGATTCGCTAGGCCGAAAGTCATCGGCCAATGGTATCTTCGAAGGGGTGGCATATGGCAGGCGATCGGACAGAGAGCGGGAAGTCGGCGTCAGATCAAAGCTGGCTGAAAGGGGTCTCTCGCGGGTGTGGGGATGCTGGCGGGAGGAGAAATAGGAAGTCGATTCGATCTCATCGTGAAGATGAGGAGGGAGAAGCTACAACCGAAATGAGGCTAATCAGTCTCTATGATACTGGTGGTTTCGACCATGGGGAGCGACCCGAAACTCACCTATCGAAAGGAAGGGAGGGCTGGAGTGTGATCGGCTGTCATTCCACTTGCGTATGAAATAGCCATTTTTCCAGATGAACCCTCGCCCAGATCACGGTACTGGGACATAGACTGCAAAGTACTCGAAAACAGTGGTGTGGCGACGTTGAAACACGATGTGACTCTCCACTAGCGCAGACACAGACAGGGTAAATACAGCCGACCTGCGGCTCTTCAGACTATCCTGGCGGGGGTGATCAATCGGATTCGAATGACGAGGATCTTGCGCGTCAAGTCTCTCTTATGCTGAGTGAGAGAAGTGAAGGAGGGAGAGGGCTGAATCTAGCCTGGGTGGATTGTATTGTATTGAGTGGTGGGTGGTGGTAGTGGTGGGGGGGCGGATTGGTAGATTGGTATGAAAAGGATGGAAATGTGGAGGGGAAGAGAGGGGGAGTGGATTAAGAAGGATAGATAAAGAATTGAAGGGGAAGGGAGGATCGTGAGGATTAGTAGGTAGGATAGGGATGTTGGTATGAATGCGACTGCTCTGGTGGAAAGATAGTCGATGTGAGAAAGATATGGGCGAGATAGAATAATAATATAGTTACCAGGGCCTGAGTCTAAAAGTACCTTGACATTGCCGCACACGATGACGATGGAGACAGCTGAACCAAGGTTATGCAAGGTGAAGGAGTGAGGCAGCTCAACAATTGGATCTGGGCTGGGTGGACACCAGATCTCTTTTCTCAAGGTTGTCGGGGTTCAGACAATGCTGATTTTCGATTTGTGTTTTTTTTTTTTTTTTTTTCCTTTTTTTCTTTTTCTTCTCTTGGGGGGACTTGACTTTTGATTTTCTTTTATTTCAATTTAATTTTTTTTCTCCCCTTCGATATCCACCTCCTTCCCTCTTTTCCTTTCCTTTTCTTTTCTTTTGCCCTTTCTCTCTCCCTTTTTCCTTTTTTACCCTTCAGTGTCTTGACTCTTTTGAATCGCGTTTTTATTTTATATTTTTCCTTATTTTCAATTCGATCCCCTCCTCCACTTCTTAGTTACTGCCTTACTATCCCATTTCCACTTCCATTCCCAGAGTCATGCACGTCGATTCTCCGAGGTCCTGCAGAAACCACCTGTACGGTAAACCCCCCCCCCCTCCCCCCTCCCATCCCTCTCCAATACTATAAACCATGTCATTTGACAAGAAGTAAAACATAAAAGAAAAGTAAATGTCAACTCACAACACACACACACTACAAATCTCAGTAAATTTATATTTGATTAAGAAGACTACACACGCGCATCATCCGCGCGCAGCCCCTCGCCCGTCAGCTGTTCCATCCAAAGCCAAGTCAAGCCCACCAACCATGGACGATTTGTTAAGAAGTTAAGGACAGGGGGGGGGGGCTGTTCTATAGCCCAGCGAAGAAGCCGACGATCGTGTGGGATGGATTGAGGTGAAGGAAGTGGATACACTACGAACGAACGGATCGGTCAGGTCATTCGTTTTTTGCCTCGGTATCCCACAACTATGCAGCAGCAGTAGCAGCAGCAGCAGCAGCGAAGAAGGGGGTGGGATGGGGAAGAAGAGCGAGCGATAAAGAAATAGGGACCAGACCAGGAACGAGAACGAACGAGGTTGGTGAAGCGCCAAAGAGAGAAAAAAGAGGAACCACTGGGGTATTTTAGTGATCCCAAACTATAAAATCCAGACTGAACAACGAGGTATAGTCCATATTATGGTTGGGATATCAATCAATGCCATTCTTACTTTGATCCTCATTCAGATTTGAAGATCATCATCTACGATCGTGGTCTCCTTTCTTCTTCATCATCCATTATTCATTGCTCGTCTTTCCTGTTCCTCTTTTCGGGCCCTACCCGACTCATCTTTAGGGTTGGGGTCCTGACAGATGCCAAGGGATCTCGAAAAGGATGGCTAGTTTGCTATGTTACCCGTAATAACCTCGGGGAGGGGGACGAGGGGGGCTGAACAAGAGGAATTTCGCTCACCTCCTGGGTAGTGGCGTCTTTGGAAGCGACCAGACCAGATTCAGTCAGTCAGTCAGTGCTTTTGAGTCGAAGTGTCTGTTTTCTGGAGCTCCTGCCTGGATGTACTCCGGGCGTACTCCGTATCGGCTCGTGTGTATGGAGATGGAGGAGCCTGGGGGGTGAAGGGGGATGGGATTGTAACTATATCTGTCCGGCTGCGCGACGTAAGTTCATAGCTTGATGGGGTGCAAAGAGGGATGGGGTTCCTCTTCCATGAGGAAACCATCGCTGCGCTAGCCCCCAAAGTTACCTAGCGAGGAGACGAGGAGATCCTGGTTCAAGATGCCACATCGTAGTTTGTATACTCGGCCATACAGTAGTTAGAGGGGAGCAATGGATGGCTTGCTTACCCCCGTTGCGTGTTTGCGATGCCATTCCTCACCAGAGCCATTCTGGTCTTAACCATTTTCCTTTTTTTACTGTACCCTCTGCTGTCTGCTCTTTCTCCCCTCTTTTTGTGTTTTCAGATTGGCTAGTTTTTTGCTTTTTGAGTGGTTCATGCCAAACATCTCGTACCAAAATGATGGGTGAATGACCCGTGTCATCCGTGAACGTCTTCAAGCCCGTTTCATTATCGTTGCTGGATGGGTTTCTGGAACTGGGGTGGTTAACTGAAAATGGAATCGATGACAGCATGGGTTCACCATCCACACACAGGCAGTCACGCTCACATAACACCCTTCACTCACCCAGTTTGCCTCTAATTCCTCCTCTTTTCTTCAGTTCTTCTTTGCCGGTTCGCCAGACTAGGTTAGCACCAGCCCATCCAGGGCAAAACGAAGCTGAAACTAAGGGCAACCCAAACCCGTCAATCCAGAACTGGAACTGGAACTGGAACTCGATCGAACTCTCACTTTCCCCCTTCATACCTCAAGATCGCAGCTAACTCAGTAACCTTCCAGAAACCAGGCTAGTTCTGATCTTATATGTTTGTCATGTTTTCAAATTATCTGGCTAAGTTTTCTTTTTTTAGAGACCATGTGGACTACATCCAGGCCCAGGCTGTCTCGCTATGTTGTTCTTTTTGTCCCAGCCTCAATCCTAGTTTTCAGGAGATACTCGTACATACTAGTTAGTGACTTGTCGCAGACAATTTTTGGGGGTTGTCTGTGAGTGCCTCGGCTTGAAGGGTTGGGGTTAGTAAGTAAGTATAGTTAGTGACCGGTAATCTTTCCAGGAAGATGCTTGATGGGCCGGAAAGGGGGGGGGATGAGGGTGGCCTGAACGATATGGTAATGCGTTTGGCATGCAGACATGTCCCTTTCGTCTTACGGTGGCGGGAGGTTGTGATGGTGCCCTTTGGTCGGTCTTAATGATTCTGGCCTGCCTTACATTTGGCTGCCCCGTCTGGATTAATTATTGCAATCTCTGCTTGATTAAATGCCCTAGAAAGGTGGGGGAGGAGAGGGGGGCGGGGGGGGGGGGGGAAAGGGCGCCGAGGTGGTACGGTTGACGACCAAAGAGTCCACCGCGCTTAAATTTTCAGTCGGCGGAAAATGCTTCCTGCACACATGTCTTGATCAAAACCGAGAGAGACACTAGAGAGATAAAGAGGTAAGACTTCACCAGGACCCTGCCTTACCCACCCATCGTTCTGCGTCTTACAAAGCAATAATGGGCGGTAGCCGGGGGAAGGGAGGAAGGGATAGATAGGGGGGGCATCCCGGGGCACGATAGGCAGCACTTCAACAACCAGCGGATTTCCGAACCGACCAACGATACCGCACCAGCTCAGTAACTGCACAGAGGAAGTAACAGAGGCGCAAGGAAGCAAATCCTCTTTCTCAGGAACGGTCCGGAGCAGGTATGGCTGCAAGCCTCGCCAAATAGGCTTGCTTGTTTCGTGCGGAGAGGGAGGCGCGGCTGCAGCACAGTCTACTGTACAGTACAGTAGGAAGATATTGGCAATTGCATTGAATTGAGATCAATGCTCTCTCTCGGCTGCGAGGTTGCTGTTGCAGGCCAATCAATTATTCGAAACAAGGGCGAATTCGAATCAATTCCCTCGACATGCGGACAGGGAAACGATGTGACAATACATGAAGGGAAGAAGAGATCGTCGGGTTGGATCCACATTGCCGGTGGTGTCAGGAAAGGCGCGGAGGCCGGCCACTGGACCATCAAGAAAGACGACAAAGGATTCACAAGTCTTAGCTTATCCCGATCGGTACTAAGCAGTCGATGTTAAGGAACTGTAGGTTAGATTCAAAGATAGGCAAGAACCAGACAGCTGAATGTTACTAGTAGGATGAGTGTTCGAGATAATTTGAGGAACAGAGTAAAGAGACAAGAAGAAGGAGTAGTCAAAATTGACAAGAGAAACCGAGTTACCAAAAAAAGAAAAAAGAAAAAAGAAAAAGAAAAACACCGAAAAGGGAGGTCTGTACAACGTGTTGTCCAGGTTTTCCCTCAAGGCGACTTGCCTTGCAGCATTTTCTAAACCGTGACGGCTACGGCGTCCCTCCCGCTGCAAGGTTGTTGAAGGGACAGCTTCGATCGAAGGCTCTGAGCGAATGATCAAGATCGATCGGTGAGCAAGTAGGGAATGACAGGCGCACAGGGAGCCAGTCAGTCATTCTCAACGGCGGGGTAACTGAAGGGCATTGGGGGATATGATGGCATTGAAAGCGAATGCCTGCTGTAGGCTGGAGGAGAGAGTCAGTCAATCAGTTAGTCAGTCAGTAGTAACAACTAAACAACTAACGGGTACCTAGTTAGTTTGTTGAGTTGAGTCGGTCGGTACTAGTTATTACCTACTACATGTATACATGTACTGTACCGTACCTCCTATCTAGTGAGAGAGGTCCCAACTTCCGGGACAGGGGTCGTCCAAGCAGTTCTTCCTTTCCGACCGACCAAACCCCCCACTCGCTTCTCATCTCCGTCATTGTACGTCAGACATTAATCGGCCCATGTTATTGAATTTTCTCCAAGCGTCAGAATCAATCACTGAA